TTTAGCCAAACCAAATGAAGAGTGATCTCCTGTGACATATGAGAATAAAAATTCCTTCCTATCTTGGCATTATGAAGATTTTTGTCCATGTTTTTCCTATACAAAAATATATCCTCTGCAATACAAGAGGCAATGAGATATGTCACTGCTCCAGCTGGTCAAAATGGGCACAGAAACTTTTTTAATTTAACTAAATCTCCTCCAAGACAAAAAGAAACACAGATTCAAAGAAGTTTTGGGAAAACATTTGTGCTGTGATTAAAAGCAAAGGCTCTTCTAATTCATGTGTTTGAGACCTATTTCACAGGTTGCTGAGATTAGTTTAAGCAGACCTCAATATACTGAGTATGTTAATGAGGAAAAGGTTTAAGATATGTTTCAGAGGAACAGCCGTGTTAGTCTGTATTCGCAAAAATAAAAGGAGTACTTGTGGCACCTTAGAGACTAATGTAACTATTCAGTGACAGCAATAGTTCTATTTACTTACCATACACACAGGAGGGCCAAATTATGCTCCCAATGGGAAGATAGCATGAGTAAAGTGAGCAGGACATGGGGCTGACCCTGCTTCCACTGAGTTCATTGATTTCCAGTGCAGTGATCAGGATTTGACTGCAATTTGTAACAGATGCAGTTCCTGCATTTGTGGATAAAATGTAAACATAAAATCTGCTGCTTCTCCTCTCTCCCACAGACACACGGACATTTTTGGATCCCTGCACCTGAACGTCTATCAGTAGCTCGAAAGCCATCCAAACACATACCCACTTTCAAAGGAAGAAAGCTGACCAAAGGCAGATAAACCCAGAGAAATGGAGGTTCCACCAAAAACATAAATAAATGATACTAAACACTGAGCTGAACTTCCAAAACCCACACAAGGCAAATGTTCACCCTTGGGCTTGAAGTGATTTCTTTTTTTTAAGCCCAGCTTGTTTCCAATGCTTCTCTGCCTTAGGTCATACCTTGAATGTTCCCACAAAGACTGGATTTCCTGGACACACTGAGTGCCAAATCCTGCAGTCCTCAGTTGTTATTTAGATACTACGTTTCTGCAATAAGGGCTGAAGGGTTTGGCTGAAGGTTAAACATTTAGTATCCACTCAAGCATTATACCGACAGGTCAGAGTTGGGATGAGATGACTAAATGCCACCTATTTCATACAACTCACAACCTATGCAGAGAATGAAAAAACAAACCCTTTGATTAGCCACAAAGAAACTGTCCCTGCATCTTTTTCAAAACTTATATCATGGCAACTCCGTTACTTTCTAAAAACTGTAAAGAGAAACACTGAAACCAGGCAAAATGCGCATTCTTATATAGCCGCAAGGAAAAAATGAATCAGAGCAGGCAGACAGCAAGAGTCTCTAGGTTGGCAGTAAATGTCTAAATCTCACATAGCTACTGAAGATTAAAGGCATTTGTGGATAAACTTTAAAACTGGTATTGTGGTTAAAATTGTCGTGCCAAAGGGCTCAGTGCCTCAGAATTCTTGAAATTAAGTTTTGAATACTGCCTTGGTAAAGTCGGAGGCTGATCAAAATAAGCTGCAAGAGCTTTCTCAAAAAGGATTAAAGCAGCCACTTCCCTTGCAGCAGACTTGGAGTCTATGAAAAATGCATAGTTGGTATCTATTGTGAAAGCTGAAAGTGAGGCCTGAATCCAGTGACTTAGCAGGACTTCGCATGAAAAAGGCAAAACCAAGACAGCGAGCAAGAGACAGATTCTTGCAGATTAAAATCAATTCTGGAAGACAGGATGTTTGTTTAAAGTTTGCAGTGAAAGATGGAGTTATTCTTGGCACTGATCTCAATCACTGTTTAAGTCCTTTGCTATATAAGTTACAGGGAAAGAGTGCATTTGATTTCTGTGTATCTGACATAGAGGACGGAAACATTATGTAACATTGAGTAAAGCAGACCAGTGAGTGAACTAAATAGTATTATAGATATTAAGTATCCACTGGATATTCCATTACCATTGGCAATCTATTTCGTTCCCACAGTGTAGGAGCAACAATAAACATTGACTTCTAAGAACCCCTGCTCAGTGACCTTGGACAAGTCACTTTCTCTCTCTCTCTTTCTGCCTTCTCCACCTGTAAAATGGGAATACTGATATTGTACTTATATCTCCCTTGTAAAGTCCTTTGACATCAGTGGCTGAAACGTGCTATGTAAGAGCCAGGTATCATTTTTAATACTTGAGCATACTAAGGTGGTCTAGAGGACATTTATTCAATGGAAAAGGTTACCTTGACAAGCATGAAAAAAAAAGAATGCTCTGGGCCTGACTTTACATTCCTTGAATACCTGACACACCCAATTAACAGAAATTGGGGTGCACAACATTCATAAATGCCAGCACTCTGTTCCTCTCCTATTAGCCTGTTTGACAAATCACTTAAGCATGTGCTAACCTTTAAGCATGTGGTTAAATCCTACTGAAGTTAATAGACTTAAGCATGCGCAGAAGTTCTTTGCTGAATCGGGGCCTAAAAACATTTTATATTTCATAAGTAGTGCTAGTAATGGTATTAACTGTCACTCAATTGTTAGCAAGTTTAATGTAAAATACAAGATCATCAAATATGAATATATTACTGCATGCATTCATATGTCCACCACCATGGAACCTGGGCACTCTCTTCATGGCTTAAATTGGGTCATTAATATTTCAATTTACACAAATAAATATTTAGACCAATAAAGTGCAACATACATCTCCAAGGCAATTACAAGCGAAATATCATTAATAATGAAATTTAAAGATGGAATATACCTTTAGCTGATTCATATTTTAATTAGTCAGTGACACCTTACTGAATACCAACAGTGGGCATAAGGACTTCAGGACCCTGCTAATCCATGTTTCTAGAAAGTGAAGTAAATCCTGGTAATCATTTTAAAATAAAAGGATTATATTAATGCTTTAGGACCACTGGATGTTGCATCTGAGCTGGAAATGTAACTTTCAGCCAACATCATCAAAGCCAGCACTTGGGTTGGGGATCAAGAATTAACAATTAACCTAACAATACGGAAGAGCTTTCTCACTGTACTAAAGCAATATTAATGGTTTTTCTCGTGCTTTGAAATGCCGAATCATATTACTACTAAAGTTAAGATAACACACTGTACTGTGGTGAGCGAACACGAAAGAATCTTCATCTCTTCCAGGTGCTGGGCTTTTTGTTGGCTGCATGTTGCATACAGTGTTTTAAATCAAGGGATTCTGACTCAGAAGCAACATAAGGGATGGGTAAAGTCCTAAAATAATCCCTTTTTTATTGGGATGAACTTCAGTTTTCACACATGTGGATGAGTAGCATGCTCAGCAGTCACTAAGCCAAAAGTGACAAATTTTAAAATAACCCAGTGTTTTGAAAGGGCTTGCACAAGTTTAAGATTTAGTGAACAATTTAGCTGAGGATGCCTAAGGATGAACAGAATCCAGCTCCCTCTCCAGGGATGGCGCTGGGGGGCAGGGAAGGCTTGTAGGGGCTATAGCCACTCCAAAATTTGCCTTAGCCCGCTCGTAGCCACCCCTCCCAGAGCAAAGGTCAAATGTTATGCAGAAGTAAGGATGGCACGGTATGGTATCGCCACCCTTACTTCTCCGCTGCTGCTGGTGGGGTGCTGCTTTCAGAGCTGGGCAGCCACAGAGTGGTGGCTGCTGGCCAGGCACCCAGCTTCAAAGACAGCCCTGCCACCAGCTGCAGCATGAAAGTAAGGGTGGAACGGTCTGGCATTGCCACCTTACTTCTGCAGTTCTCTCCAGCTCTGAAGGCAGCGTTGCTGCCAGCAGCAGTGGAGAAGTAAGCATTTAAGTGCGTATTGTTGAAAAAAATAAATAAGTATGTGTGCCTATAAGATGTATAGTGTAGCCCCTCCCCCCACTTATCTGTCTAACCCACCTCAGCATCCCTGCTGAGAAGAGGCTGGTGCTGCTTCTGTCCCTCTCCCATAGCTGTGAAGAAGTAAGAGGAGGAAAAAGCAAGCAAACAAAAGTAATGAAACAAATTTAAGTCAACAGAGTAGTAGAAGCATGACTAAGGACACAGTTTAGCCTTCGGAACCTTTAGTTACAGGTGATGAAGCTTAAGGAATGAGCCTTTCTTGACTCTAAGACCAGGCTGAGTTAGCAGGGTTGGCATTTGGAAATGTGCTTTTTTTTTACATTTAAATCAAAGCCGTTTTAACGGGGATATCAGGAAGAGACAGTGAACACCAAGATACTTTTGAGTCATTTTTTTAAAACACATGTTAAAAGTAAGTTTGCCTACAGCATGGCCCGTGCTTCCCACCCCTCTATGTAACACTGATCTGACCAACCGCTAAAAGATGCATTTCCTAAACCCGTCTCCCTCAGTGGAGCAAACAGGGAAGGAAGAGAGATTACCTACTAGCACTGGTACTATGGGTACATGTGGTGACAGACCATCATGATAACCAGAGCTTACTGCTAGTATCTGCAGCCATGACAACTTCAGTACTGATGTCAAGGACACCAGTGTAAAGATGGTCACAGCCAAGGAAAACAGCAAGCTTGCATTTAGCGTAGGAAGAGTCGTTACTAGAAACAGTTCCACTGTTTACAGCTACACACTTTGCATGCAGAGTTGCATCCAGGATGTGGTGGTACCATTTCCATATAAAATTTGACCTAGAAAAGTCCGGGTGAAATGGAAGCAGCATTATCGATAAGAACCAAAAAATTAAGACCCCCAAACATGCTCCGACTATTGGCAGATGATTCTGTTGTGTACCACAGCTGTACACAGATAACACTTGCTTCCTTCAAAAGGGTGCTGAAGGCTCATTAGTGTCTGAGTGGATCCAGCATAGCTTTAAATAAGCTACTTCCCTTCCCCCACATCTTTCACAAACCGATAAGGATGTCACGTAGCTTGGATTCAGGGCAATATGAACCTTTCCATGCCAAATCCGTGGGAAGGGATGTGCAATAGGTCAAGCTACACAAACACGCAAGCATGCAAAAGAAAGGTGGTCATTCCTTCAAAAGTTTATTTTTGGTGAATACAAAAAAATACTTTTTGTGGCCAGATAAACAGCATACATACAGTGTAACAGCATGGCTAACCCCCTTCATGCTTTTCTGTGTGGTTAAAGCTCTAGGAGAAAGTTGAGCTACAGAACATGAGCTCACACCCCAAACTCCAGCACGACTTGCAAACATACCACTATAAAACTGTCTCACTCAGAAGGTTCTTCAGCTGCAATCATATTAATAAAGTAAGTAAATTTCAGTAAGAAAAAAATCCATAGTGGTTTGATTTTTTAAAGCAACAAAGACAGCCCTAATTACTTACAACTCAATATATTACTCTATTGATGGACAGGAATTCTCTCTAGGCAAAGTAATTATCTTTCATATACCATGTTGCCACATGAAAATGAAATAAAGGACATGAAAAAGTATCATGTTTACATCCTTGTCATTTTTATACTAAAAGATACTTGGTTGCCTTACAAGGCAAGTTAGAACAGAACTATGCCATGGAGGTATTAGGCTTTTAAGACATGCATGGTAAAGTTTGTCAGCTCTCTGCTATAGGCAGATAGGACATGTTATCCTGTTGGCTCATGCCCAGTTTAGAATGATTTTGTTGTTGTTTAAAGACAGAGATCCACTTAAATTTCTGTTTCAGAAAAATTGTAGCAAAGCTTTCCTATGCTGCTTTTCCCCATTTATTACCAGTTGTATTCTTGCTCTGGTTAGTATTAAAGATGGACGGTAGAGAAAAATCTACTCTAGCCACCGTGCTACCATTCCACATCTCTGCTAGGTATAGTGAAGTTCAGCAGTCCATTAGCTTCATCTCTTTTGAGATTTTGCTTAATGTAGAATATTGTATCAACAACGTTAGCACCTAACCAGTTGGATTTCACTGCAGCATTAGTTAATATGGTAAGTCCAGCATAAATGGTTACCTTACAGTAATCAGTAGCAGACTGGTAACATATATTACCTAAAAAAAAAAAGGTATTAACTTTGTAGATACTATGTAAGTTCTATGGGAGTGTTGACTATCGGAATTGTGTCGTGTTACCAGCAATGTCGTAAAATTGCTGGTAACAGGCACTAACAAACACACACCCTTTTGAGCAGTGTATTTCTCTTTATATTACTGCAAATACAGAAAAGCGAGTTCCAGGATTAATATCGACTCGGGATGATGAGCCGAGTCCACTGAAATCTTCCAAATTTCTATACAAGCTCAAAGAAACCAACAGTACATAAAGTTTAACTTTCCCCAACTTTAAGTATAAGATAGGGCAGGAGCTTTTAATATACATAATAAGGCACAAAAAGCTCCAGGAGTAATGATCAAAAGAAGAATGGATTAGCCATGGCACAAAACATAAGATGTATTCCTTGATGGCCTTGTCATCAGCATGTTCTGGGGCCTGGTCTGAGTGTTTTTTAGTAATGTGAGGCTAGAAAAACCTCTATTTCCTAGGTAAATTTAAAAGACCATTTATGCTGTAATTCTGATAGATTCTGTCATAGAAACTAGTCTGAAGATGCAGGAGATCAAAGGCAACTGGACAAAAGAAAGCAAGAGCTCAGTCTTCAACTTTTGGTTTTAAAAAACTCTTCCCCATCCCTCACTTTGCGGTTGCTGGCCTATAAAAAAGAAAAGTTTAGACAAACTATAAAAGTGTTCCCTCCAATTCCAACTTATCTTCTGGACCTTCGTGTAAAGCCTCCCTAGAATATTTGTACATTCAGAACTTTGAGACATTTTGCTTTTAATTTCCAGACATTTCTTAAAGCCAGTTCCACATCACGAAGATGGGCAAGATACTACATAACTTGTTTGTTATTTCAAAACTTAAAATCCAGAAGAATAGGTAAGGAAGAAAATAGGTCTAATTACTACCCAGTCCTCATTCCTGCCTGAGATTTTCTGTTGCAACTCTCCATGCCAAATAACTGCACTGAATTAATTACAAACACCACAGATGTTCTAACTTTGATTTCAGTGTTACTACAAGTCCCACAGATAAGAAGAAAGTGAAATGGACTTCAAATGAGTTTGTGGAATCTAGCGGTCTCCCAGATAGAAATCCAAAAATCAAGCTGAAAAACACTGCAGCTAGTCTGCTGGATATCCCAAGTTTGTCAATATGGAAAGTTACTGAATGGCAAGCCAGCGTGCATCTACAGTGCACTAGCTTGCAGTACAATAATGTTTGACTGTCCCAGAGTGCACTCTAGCAGTATCCAAAGGCGATGTTACTGTGCCGCAAGCTATTGTGCTCTAGGTTCACACCTTGGCTTGCTGCACAGTAACCTTCTGTGTAGGTCGGGGTTCTCAACCTTTTTCTTTGAGCCGCCCCCAAACATGCTATAAAAACTCCATGGCCCATCTGTGCCACAACAGCTGGTTTTCTGCATATAAAAGCCAGGGCTTGCAAGCAGGGCAATTGCCTGAGGAAGCAACATCCGTCAAGTATAAGTACTGAAATTAACTTCCCTCACAACTTTGACAAGAGGATGATTTGAACATAAAAATTACTATTAGCTTGAAAAAATCCTAGCAGTACAATTTCTGTATACAATTTAATTTTACTGGGGTTTTGGCTTATTCTTTTCCTAAAACAGGGAAATACCATTCGCACTGTATGCATAATTAAAATGCTGTGTTATTGTACTACAGTGATCACAATGAAGCACTGGTACATTAGTGAAAACGTCACGTTACTTGGAGTACTTTAAATTACAGTACGTGAAATAAAAGCAATATGTAGTATCAGAAAAAATCTGCAAGACATTGACCCAACCCCCCGCCCCGCCCCAAAATCTTTAAAGAAGTGACAGGAATGTTGATACTATCCAGGTAAGCAAAAGAAAATGCTACAAACTGAAAGCCTGATATACTGAATAAGCAAAAGCAGCAGAAAGCTCATTTAAGACCATGTGTATTTAGATCCTACAAAAACAAGCTGTGTTTCAGCCTTCCAGATTACTTAAAAATCTTAAATGAAGGATTTGTTTTTTCTAAATAATTTTTTATAGAGATGTTTTGTGCCACTGCTCACTGGACTCACTGCACAAACTCATGGTGAGAATCTAACCAATACAGCTACTGCTGGGGTTATAAAGCCTAGACTGGAATCTCTCTCTGGTGGCAGTTGCGTACAGAGAGGCTACATACTGCTTTCAGTCTCATTTTACCTGGTCTACGCAGTCAGGGCAGAGGCTCATTTTGGACACACTTATGCAAATCCATATTTGCTCCTATCAAAAGGATTCTGCTCAGGGCTTGCCAACTGCTCTCTCATCATTTACTGAGAATCCACAATTCCGCTGAGTCTGAAATACTTCAGCATCAGAGAAGAGACACTAAAAAAATTTGTACATTTTAATATTTATTTTCTATGGATTTTTGTGATATATTTATACTAGTGTGACAAAATTTCCGATAGGTATAATACATGCAAGTAACTTAAATGAGAAGTTATCAATATCTAAATTGGTAACCTAACACAAGAGGGTTACTTCTGAGTCTATGTGACAAGTACTTCTGCAACAAGGGCAATTAAGTGGGTAGGTATCTAACACAACTGGCTCAGTTGGAAGTAGTGGTAGGTATCTAAAATGGCAGCATGGCTTTCAGAAGAAGTGGAGCAACAACATTCTTTGACCCAAATGGACTTGACATTATTTGCTCAGAGGGCGTGTGCAGGGATGGGCATATGCTGGAGAACCACGGTTAAGAAAGACCTTGTTTCTGTAGCTGGTCTAATAGGTGGCTTTTGCTAGTTCTGGTTTCTGCATTGTTTTTAATCAGACATTATAAAATGCACCATTGACTCTACCCATCTTGGAAACGTGTCATGTTATATCTGTAGTCCACACTGTGGGTTTATGCCACATCAGAGATTGAGAAAATTACAGTACCTTTTGAAACTCAAGACATAAGTACAATTTCTTCTATCCTTTCTCCGCAATGTAGTTCCTTAGAGAGGGTATTTTGATCAATGCAAATTAGGAAAATATCAACTTCCAAGCGTCCATACTTCAGACTTGCCGATGTTCTTTTATATTTCGGAAAAGGGCCCTTTCTAAAACAGCTATAAGTTTCTTCAAAAAAACCAAACACACACAAAAAACAACCAAAAAACAACCCATCTAGATTTCAAAACAAAACAATTAGAAATAAAATCCTCATGAGAATAGCAAGAGTTCTGGTAGTCTTTTGAAGTACTAAGAATGTCTCTACTTCAGCTAGCATACATTCTAGCAGAAATCCCACAGTTTGAGCCAGGTAAGATACTTCGAAAGGAACTATTCAGTCCAATGTTAATTGAAATTTTGTGGATGTTTCCTATTGTAAAAGTAGTCGCATATTGAGAGGTATATAATTGAAAAACATTTTCCTTCATAACCTGGTACTAAGACGGTGACAAGATTTCCATTTCTTGGTTTATTTGAACAATGAAAAGAATGGATACTACCATGTTTTGCAGGCCCGGGAACTGTGAATCTAAATACTGTACAAGCAGAAGCTGGTACAGGAACTAATAAAACTAGTGCAAACAGGTACAAAGAAGATCCCTCCAATCCTGGGGTGAACCAGCTTCACTGAAAGAGGACAAAATCTCTAGAACCCACGCTCAGGTGTCTTTTCCTCTCAAATAAATATTCACCTCAATCTTGGTCTTCTTGTTGGAGGAAAAAAAATCCACTGGTTCCATAGTGATAGATAGCTATGATAAACGGTTTTCCTATTAATATTAACAAAGTCTTACAACAGGTCAAGGAACAATAAATAGATCAAGCTTAAGGTAATGACATAATACTGATTTTATAACCTTCTGGAAAAAGTGAGGCATTCTCTCCTGAGATACAGTGAGTCAGGGAAGGAAGGAAGGAACAGGAATGGTGGACTTAACACTGTACCATCTGTTTGATGAGCACGCACCTTAGCTGAACAGATGAGAAAGAACAAATGTTTATTGCCCTCTGCTCACCTAAAGCTATTACAGGCAATTTGTTTAGGTAAGTGCTTGCATATCAGAATGCTGTCAGGTTAGTTCTCTCTGCACTGTCCCCCTTGAGCTCATTTCATTAAAAAAAAACGTCTCAGCAGTTTAGCCCTCATCTTCTCTCAGTTCTGTGGGGAGAAATTTATACTGCTGCTGGCGGATCTGAGCCAGTTTTTTCCTTGCCTCTTCCAGCTCTCTTTCCTTCTTCAGCATTTCCTCCTGGGCCGCAATGATCTAAAGAAAAAGAGAAAGGACTGTGATAATGGAGAAGAAGATTAAAGAGGGAGAAAAAAAAAAAAAAAGGCGAGGATCTTTGTCCCTTTCACAAGGGGATTCGTGATCAGTGCACAACAGTTCTAAGGTGTATTCCTGCAGAGCGCTGAACACACTGTCCCCAATCCAGGAAAGCATTTAAGCGTGTGAAGAATCCCATTGATTTCAACAGGACTTGTGAGCTGAAGTGCTTAAGCAAAGTAAGCTGTCATGGGATAAGAGGGACGGTCCTCTCATGGATCAGTAATTGGTTAAAAGATAGAAAACAAAGGGTAGGAATAAATGGTTAGTTTTCAGAATGGAGAGAAGTAAATAGTGGTGTCCCCAGAGGTCTGTACTGGGACCAGTGCTTTTCAACATATTCATAAATGATTTAGAAAAAGGGGTAAACAGTGAAGTGGCAAAGTTTGCAGATGATACAAAACTACTCAAGATAGTTAAGTCCAAAGCAGACTGCGAAGAGTTACAAAGGGATCTCACAAAACTGGGTGACTGGGCAACAAAATGGCAGATGAAATTCAATGCTGACAGACACAAAGTAAAGCACATATAAAATGATGGGGTCTAAATTAGCTGTTACCACTCATGAAAGAGATCTTGGAGTCAGTGTGGATAGTTCTCTGAAAACATCCACTCAGTGTGCAGCGGCAGTCAAAAAAGCAAACAGAATGTTGGGTATCATTAGGAAAGGGATAGATAATAAGACAGAAAATATCCTATTGCCTCTATATAAATCCATGGTACACCCACATCTTGAATACTGCGTGCAGATGTGGTCACTCCATCTAAAAAAAATATATTGGAATTGCAAAAGGTACAGAAAAGGGCAACAAAAATGATTAAGGGTATGGAACAGCTTCTATATGCGGAGAGAGATTAATAAGACTTTTTAGCTTGGAAAAGAGACAACTAAGGAGGGGGATATGATAAGAGTGCTATAAAATCATGACAGGTGTGGAGAAAGTAAATAAGGAAGTGTTATTTACTCCTTCTCATAACACAAGAACTAAAGGGCACTACATTAAATTAATAGGCAGCAGGTTAAAAAAAAACAAAAGGAAGTATTTCTTCACATAACACACAGTCAACCTGTGGACTTCTTTGCCAGAGGATGTTGTGATGGCCAAAAGTATAACAGCATTCAAAAAAGAACTGGATAAATTCATGGAGGATAGGTCCATCAATGACTATTAGCCAGGATGGGCAGGGATGGTGCCCCTAGCCTCTGTTTGTCAGAAGCTGGGAATGGGTGACGGGGATGGATCATTTGATGATTACCTGTCCTGTTCATTCCCTCTGAAGCACATGGCATTGACCACTGTTGGAAGAAAGTCCAAAGTTCCATCTACCCAGTATCCTGACCCAGTATGGTTGTTCTTATGTTCTTAAGTGCTTTGCTAGTCCAGGCCAGCATGCCCAGTCCCTTGCAGGATCAAGCCACTAAAATGCATTGTTAGCTCCCATCCCTCCTCCTCAGTGATCCCAGAGTGCAGGAAAAGAGGCTGTCAGCATATTCCACCATCTATTGGACCACTATACAGACCCACCAATCAGACGCATCTCAGAATAAACTAGCTATAAAACAGTGGTAGGTGGAAACAGGATGAGGCGAGTTGGAGAAATCAATCTGGGCTGTTTCTATTTTACTAACTAACTAACTTTACTATTTACTAACATATTGTACCTTTCCCTATTTTAAAATCTTTTCTCCTCTTTTGGTGTCTGTTGGATCCACAGTAACAAAGGGGACACTGACCTTGAACTTATCCTGCAAACACTTCATAATGTAATACACTGAGCAACATTAATAACTGAACAATCACAGTCCCACGTACCTGCAAGAGTTTCCTATACCTAGGAGTAACACAGGAGATATTACTGTGCTGTAAAATACTCAGGAATGGCAAGTTCCCATACTTTTAATAGCAGCCACTGTAGAAGCAGCTTTTCATTATTTTTTAATAAGTGGCAATTCTAGAAATTGATTGAAATAGGTTTTTAAAGTTATTTTAGTCCTGTGTATTTGTTAAAGCCATAATAATGAAGTAAAAGTAATTCTCCCCACCACAGCCTTATTACAAGATTATCTGCACACAAACGGTCATGTAATTGAGATTTCAGAAGATTTAAAGCAGGTCTAGGAGCATCGGGAAAGAACCATTAATATAAGTAGCAGGAAATCTTCACTTTAACAACAACAGGGAGGGATACATAAAGATATTATACAGTGGCAACAACTACCATGACAACTATCTAACACACTGTGTAAGACAAACACAGAGTATTGCCTATTCTCTGTATGCATTATTTGTCTATTTGTCCATAACAGAAATATACTGAGGCAAGTTATTTACAATGAAGTTTCACACAGTACTGCATGAATCTATTACTGTGTTACATAAGGCAATATTTTTGGGACACAAATTTTTCCTACTGTTGCTCTGGATGTTCACACCAACCTGAGCGATGCCGCCCACAAACTTGGTTTTGACCACCACATCGTCGTCATCCGCTTTCCTAAATGCTGCTTTCTGGGCTGCCCTGACAAGATTGTCAGATGCTCGTTTAACAGCATTCCCCGCAGCCTAGAGAGGAGATAAAAGGAATTTAGCAGCAAAAAACATGACCGCACACTGTATATGTAATGTGGGCTCCTTCTGGGCAGGAGAGTGTGCTCCACTGAACTCCAGAGGCAGGACACTTGTTTTCCTCACCAAACGTGCTTTTACCATCAGTGCTTATAAGGTGAACATGAACTTGGATAATTCTGTAGGTCTCTGACCCAATTTGGGGCTCTATGTACAACTTATGAATTGCAGTTGATTTTATGAAAATGTTGCATCACTGAATGCCTCCATGGATGTGGAGTCAACCATTTGCTACAACGGCTGGTGTCAAGTGCCACCCAGACCGCAATGCTGAGCCCCAGACAAGTCAAACACCTGGTGCCTAATGACTTGACTTGGCAGGCACTGGAGATGGTGGCCTATGGCTCATCTTGTCTCTGGAGTGGTACTTCTTCCTAACCCTCTGAGAACATCGATGGCAGGATGGAGGCAGATGACTGGGGCCTCTTGGTCAAGGTAGCGAGAGAGCTCGGGGTGGAATCTCAACTTGCTGGGGAGCTCACGGAGAGGGAGTGACCAGAAGATGGAGGTCTAGCCACAGCCTTCCTTTCAGCGTTCACGGAGGCTTGCATTGAGTGCCCCATGGGAACAATTTTAGGGGGGCCAAGGGCCTCTCTAGCTTTCTGAGTCAGCTTAGGCAAGGAGCAACATATGGATCACTACTCAGGAATATTTCCCTCTCCGAAACAAGAGTTGCACCTGGAGTACCTATTGTTAAGTGGCACTGAAGCCTCCCATGAGGGGCAGGTTTTGAACCCTGGGGATTTCAATTTTGCCATATTGGTAGAGCCCCTGTACATGGTTGAGGGTCTGGCTGTACACTAAATATCTGACTAAAGCAGGTTTTTTTGTTTGTGCCAACTGGCATAAAGACACTAGCTACTAATTAATAATACCAATAACTAATGCACACTAATGCTAGCACAGCGTGCAGAGAATCAGACAGTCACTGCAGGGGTTCCATCTTGCTGCCCAGGGTGATAAGAAGGAATGGAGGGACTGTTGGACCTGCTTCAGACGGTATGCCCTCATCTTGGGTGCACGCGTGGCTCCAACAGACACTGCTAGCCAAAAATAATCCAATCTAGCATGCACGGGGCACATGTGCATCAAGAGAGGAATTCATGTGTACAATCATTCAAAGAAGAATTAGATGATTCACATGCATTTTCATTTCCCCAGACTCCAACTACAGCTCCTTCCAAAACAGCGTTCACATGGAAGGTAGGTTAAACAACTTCTCCACAAGCTTGTCTGTCTGTGTGAGTGTCAAAGAGGAAACCAGGACATTCCAACTCCCATATCCACCCTATTGATGAAGGCTCCATGGAAACATGGATGCTATTGGCAGAGCCAGCAGAGGAACCCAGGTGCTTGCCAAACGCACCAACACAAAATATGTGATGTGCACAAACCCAACAGTTCTGCTACAGTAAAGGGCATTACTTCCAAGTGGAAAGTGCTGTTCCCACCTTCAAACCTCCTCCACAGCTTGGTGGAGAAACTATTCAAAGCCTGTGTCTGAATACTTAAAAAGAAACACCTTTCCATAGCTCTTGGGCCTGCCTCCTTGAGCCTCGCACTTAACTGTATTCTATGTCCATTTAATAAAATTTGCTTAGGGTAACCCAATGTCCTGATCTTCCTGGATGGGCAGGAAGAACATAATACTAGCGTTCGGTCCCCTTTTTTCGCCATTATTCTGCATTTAGAGTTCCTCCAGCCCCATCTTGGCACTCAGATACTAATGTGTGGACACATTAGAAAGAGAACGGTTCTCCAGTTACTAACATATGACCACTAGTGTGACAAACCCATCCAACAGGAGTCCCTCATCAACTGCCAAAACTACCTCTGTTTTACCTGCCTCCTGCCAGGGATAATATTACAAAACCATTGTTTTCTATTTAAACCACCACAGAACCCTAAATTTGCCTCAAGGTTTGACCATAATTAAAATCACAGTTCTATTTTGAAAAATGACTGAAAATAGACTCCTCTTGCTCAGATATCTGTACTCAGTCATAATTGCTGATTTTAGTAACAAATAAGTGTATTGGTTTTTATTCCCACAAAACTTAGAACCAGAACCCAGCTGTTAGAACACAGACTGAGACTACATGGCTAGAAGTCAGTAAAAGCTGCAGTAAAATCCAAGTTCATACTGAACAGTCCCTTGAAATGGGTGTTAACTACTTGTGCTAAACAATCTGTTCCACCTTGTATTTAGCTGCGACTCTGAATAAGTTTCCCAGATTGGAAGAAGAGCTCTGTGTAAGCTCAAAAGCTTCTCTCTCTCTCACCAACAGAAGTTGGTCCAATAAAAGACATTACCTCCCTGCCTTGTCTTTCTAATATGCTGGGACTGACACAGTTACCACACCACTGCATACAGTAAAAGCTGCAGTCATTTCTAAACTAAGCACATTGCAATTGTAAATCCTTGAGACAACCAGCTTAATACCCAGAGTGCGGTATTAACACAGCCACCTTTCAGATAAACTCTGCTCCAGAAGAGACACTCTACATGAACTCGAACCAGTTTTTACAAAAAATGAATGGCCAGTTCTGCTCCTAATCCAGAATCTGTTGTTTCTCTGTCAATGTTTGTGGTCTTACAACAATGTTCTTATTTTAAAATGTTCTCTCCTCTGTTGCTGTCTGTTAGATCCACATGGCAGTATTCATGACAATTAATGACCCTGAACACTTGCATGACAATGCCCCTCACAGTGGATTTTCCAACTTCAAAATGATTTCCCACTGACCAGCAGCAATCTGGCATTTCAAGTTTCCATCGTGTGATCACCACTCGCTTCTCCACTGTCAGTGAAGCTCTTATTCTGGTATCAGTGCACTGGAGGGCTGGGGCGTGCTCGGCACACAGACCCAGGAACATGGCCTTCTGCATCTGGAAGCTTTGCAGCCACTGCTCGTCATCCCAAGCCTGCATTATGATGCGATCCCACCAGTCGCTAATCGTTTCTAGGGCCCCGCAGTGGCGCTCCCCCTTCTGCAGCAGTTCCATGACCACCACCAACCACCCTGAAATGGGGTCTCACTACATCCCACAACAATCTGTCCTCCAAGAACCTGTCACGTTCCATGCTGATTTGGTGGTTCTTACGGCTTTGCAAATACCAGAGGATCACGTGTCCTGAGCTTGCAACACTTACTGCAACAGTGAAGAGCTGCGCAGGCTCCATGCTTCGATCAGAGATGGCAGACGGCCAGGAGAGCTGCGCAGGCTTGTGGGACATTTAAGAGGTGTGAAAATTATAGGATATAGATGACGTTATGGAATGAGACAGTTGCATGCTTGGAAGTTGACCCCTTGCTCCCAGTAACCCTGTACGACTTGATTCTGTGCCACCAAGTATCGTCAAAACCTCCCAAAAGACAGTGTGCTGGGTGGTGCCAGGTTATACAGTGGAATTCCTACCCAAGGTGCTTGGTGCTGTGCATTGGCACAAGCACTCCTGGTGAGTATGCCCAGAACTGGTGCAAAGAGCCAAGTATACACATGGACAAGTGAAATACTCATTGCAGTGGCTTGATGCCGACGTAATGTGTGTCAACCAAAGTTTGTAGTGTAGCTATGGCCTTAGTGATGTACTTAGTTTAAACACGAGTAGTCTCTCAGAAATCTGGTAAGCACGTGCATGAGTGTTTGCAACTGAACATACACTGAAAACAGAAAAGCCAACTAGACACAAAGCGATGTCAAGAAACACCCAGTAAACACACTGAAAAGATCATTTCCCCCAATATCTTTCAGTTATAGTAAACTGAAGTGTTACTTCTGACCTCAACAAGTACAATGTTTTCTAACAGCAGTTTCATTTTGGATGCATTACTAACAGGCAGGGTGGCACTCACTCTGTTTTTGATTCTGAGACCGTTAGCATTAGTAGAGTTCCCTCTGATCACTATATTCTCCCTCAGCTGGTGCGAGGTACAGATTACTTCACATTTCTATCTTTCTAAAAGTTCAACCATCTCGAAGGTAATGGCTACAATGATCCCAGAATGAACTCCAGATGCTGATTAACAATGGCAACATGCAGCATGGCAGCCTTGAACTTAACACAACGTATTTCACTACCGGAGAAGATAAAACCCAGCCATGATTTGGTTCAGGCAATTTCCTGAAGCTATTGGCTGAATTCTGGATTTGTTGAAAAGGCATGACGGTGACTGTTACATAGCTCGGAGATGGATTTTTACATTGTTTATGAACGCTGTTACCTGTAATCTTCTCATGGCCTCAGAGTCTTGATCAGCCTTCACTTTGCAAGCCACAAGTAACTGTGCTGTAGAAGCCGCAACTTGTTTGGCAGATGAGATGAGTTTCTCCTCGCTAGCATGACCTTGTACCGAGGCATTAGCTGCCTCACACAGATTGCTGGTTGCAGCTGCCACCATTCGGGCCTAGGAGTCAATAACTAAAGTTACTCAGCATTCTTGTTTCTCAGAGACTTTCAAGAGAAAGAAAAAATTGAAATTACTCACAGCGGAAATAAGTCCCTGAGACCACTGTCCATCATCCACTGCATTTGCAAGGATAGCTCCAACCTGGAAGAACCGTTCAGACACTTGCTTAGAGTGAAATATAAAATGCAATTGCCTTGATTTGCATTCAAAGATCATAACCATCTGAAAAGGAAACTTTATGTACACCTCCCCCTTTCCCCCAATTCATCTCAGTGCACACTGTCTAATGATGACAGAAGAAAATTTCTGACTTACATTCCTATGCTAATATAAGTCAGTGGTTCCCAGACTCTGGCATGTATCTCTGTACTAGCCAAGGTTTTCTGACTAGGACTCTAGGCGCTCCTGCTCCCACCATAAAAATGTGCCTTTTATGGCTGTTGATCCCTGCCATTACCTGTCTCTTGTTCATTCAGGGACACTTTAACCTACATTGTTACTTGAGCTGCTCCAGTCTTGCTGTAAGTTTAGAGAAACCAATAAAGGGTACAGCTGAGGATTTGCCTGGTCAAGGCTTGCCAGAAGAGGCTGGGAAATTCTAGTAAGTTGAAAGGATTTGTTCCTGTCTATAACGCTCATTCCTGACATTCACGCCATTGTTCAAGGCTACTGAACAGTAGAGTTATGCTATATTTCTTCAGTATGTTCAAGCTGCCACTGCATAGAAAAACAAAGTTCCTTCGAATTCCCACACTCCTGCCTGATGTTTGATTACCAAGTCAAGATAGCAAATACCTTTTTCTATGTGTTCATACAGCACTTAGTACTATTGTCTTCTGATCCCAGTATTCCCAACCCCATGTATTCAGAAATAATGAGTCAGGGCCCCCCAAAATTGTGAGATTAAAGAAAAAAAAAGTTTGGTGTCTTTTCAATTGTATTCTGGTTTTTGAGCTGTTAGGGTTTACATTTTCCAGCTTTTCTCCTCAACCATGAAGGTTGCAAAATTGTTGAATTTCTTTAAAAAATGAAAGCCAAAATTCTCATATAATTGCCTGACTTCCGAGGTGGGGGTTAAAGAAAAACACAAAAATTTGCAAGACTTTTGATACAGCTGGAACATCCCGAGTGGGGTTTTTTAGGGTAATAGCAAAACATTAATAATGTTGCTGTAAGAGAAAAATTCAGTTTTACAATAAAATGCTTGAGACCTATGGGTTTTTCAGGTTTCAAAGTTTTCTTGCATCACCTTCCCTAGCAAAAGCATCTAAAGTTCAGCAGAGATCTACCAGTCTGGACACTAGTGCCTGGGGAACAAGAAAAAGTAAAGTAGATCAGATCTGACTTCATAAAACATTACCTTTATTCCAAAACCTGAAATAGCTGCTTAATGTCAAACTAATGCCACTACAACAATTTCATATGAGAAGGCAGAACAAACTGGAAAGAAGGAAGTTTAACAAACCTTTTTGCTGAAACATTTCATTGACTTTTCCTGCCAAACATTTTTACAGCCTTGACTGACTGCTGCTGGGAATTTATATAGGACAATATTGTGTCTGGTCCACATGGTTGAATGAAGGGGTAGGAACTCCCTGTTACCTTCTTCTCTTCCCCCACACGGCCAGTGAGGGGAATGGCCTGTTAGCTGTTACCAAGGGAGCTATTTGCTGCTTGTCATTGAGGTGATAGGCGGGTAGTAGATTGAACCTCACCAGGCATAAGCCATCTCTTCTGACACGTGTAAAAGGGTGGAAAGTATGCTGTACTGCTTAAGGAAATGATATCAGACTGCATCCTCTATGTGCAGACAGGGGAGATATGGGAAGCATTCTGTCTGCTCATTTCAAAGGCCATTATGCTGTAAATCTGGCTAGCAAGTGTCTGCTGTAGACAGGAATTGGAAGACACCCACAGTACCAATTAACTGAAGATTGATAATTAGGAAACAGGTACCAGGTGTGTGTCTTGAATTCATTATCTCAGAGGAATCTTTATTATTGTTCATTTACTTGTGAATGGTTCTCTGCCTAATGAAAGGATCTGTTTTAAACCACTCCAAGTTGACTCCAGTTGAGCCTGAGCAGCAAAGTTTGGATCCTTCCTGAAGCTCTTCCAAAGTATGTGGGTGTTCAGAGCGAGAGTTTAGGTTCGGCTCTGCCCTTAAGTGGCACCGCACTACTTGCTGGATTAGTTGAGCTGGAGAAGGCAGTGCTCATGCCAGCAGGCAACCCACTGTTGATAAAAGGCACTGACTGAAAATTCTTAGTCTTAAAGAATTAGTGTGTTAGCATGGGAGAGCCGGGACTAAGAAGTCTTCCATCAAAGCTGGAAGAACAGGTTTGCTAATATGGCACTACATTTGACTAATGTGCTCACATCAGAATGACAAGCTATGGTTTTCCTGGAGTGAAGGAATGAAAGTGTTTTTAGCAATTTCTCTGAGCTTTGCTAGAACAAGGCACAAGTGCTGCTTGCTTCCATCTCAAAAAGACATGAGGAGAAAGATGTAACTGTTCCCTCTGACAAGAAGTCTAAATTGACAGATATTTAGGACTTATACCAGGATATATTTATTCTCTTTCTCTTCCGGGGTGGTGGGTAAAGCAAAGGATGCTCTACATCGTAATGTAACTAAATTTGAACAAGTTCTGTCACAAAGGCAAACAATGCAATAATCTAAGGGTACGTCTACACTATCCGCCTGATCAGTGGTAGTGATCGATCTATCGGGGATCGATTTATCGCGTCTAGTGTAGACACAATAAATCGATCCCCAATTGCTCTACCGTTGACTCCTGTACTCTACTGCTGTGAGAGGCGGAAGTGGAGTCGATGGGGGAGCGGCAGCAGTTGACCCGGAGCCGTGAGGACGCGAGGTAAATCGACCTAAGATATGTCGACTTCAGCTACGCTATTCTCGTAGCTGAAGTTGCGTATCCTAGGTTGATCTCCCCCTCCCCCCCACCCCAGTGTAGACCAGGGGTAAGTGGAGCAATATGGCAAAGGGGTCTAAATTCTCATTTGCTTGACTATTCTTGCTGCCAGTTTTCAATAATAATAAGCATTTTAAATAAGTTCTATAGGAGATCTTTTCGAACAGTTACAACATGACAGTTCCAGAACAACTGCTTTGTGATCACGGTGGAACCAAACACAAGTTCCCTAGGAAGCCCAGCTGAATAAGACAGAAGAAGAAGAAATGGAAGTGAAATGGAATAAAAAGCACTCAATGCTAACAAGGCAAATGGACGTAGAGCCATTTTGTAAGCACTTTAGTTGTCCTAGCAATAGCTGTAAGTGCATCCATTTGCACTTGCCTAATTTGTGTTCATACAGGGGCCCTAACTGAATCATTCAACACACTGAAGGCACAATTAGTGATGCCTCTGCTAATCTGGACCAGAATGTTATTGTTTACTACTCCGTTTCTTTTTAAATCCCAAAACGTACTATGGGACCATACATCATGAGCATGGATCTTTGTCCTTCATGAACAAGAAACAGCTGAGACATTTGAAAGCCAAATATCTAATTACATTTGCTACGTTTAAACAGACTTTTCAACCAACCCCGGCCAGGGCATGCAATCCGATAGATTTACATTTTTATTAGTCAATCCAGAGTGCCTTCCATACATAGAAAAATTAAGAAGCGACATGCTTTATAATTTAAAATAATTCCGCTGTGTTGAATGTCCTGTTCACCCACCTTTCCCTGTGCCACCAGCTCTCTCTGGGCTGCCGACGCTGACTTGACTAGGGCACTGGTAGCAGCTGCAATGGATTTAGCTGCTTCCAGGATCTGTTCTTCAAAATCCAGAGTCTCATCGGCTTGCTATAACCAAAACAGAACACTGTCACACACAATTCAGAACAGAATGGTTTCTCTTCAGTTTCCAGGACACATTTTCTTTGGATTCTGTAATCCAGCTCTACACAGAGACAAAAGAATCTACAGTGGCTTATTTGCATTCTACAAAGCACTTTCCTGGGGCCTAAATTAAGAGACAACAGTATTAACTATTGGATACAAACATAAATATTAACTTGAAAGTAATGTTCCCCTTGTGGCCAACCTTGTGCAAAATTTAAAGTGACAGATTTTATTTAAATACCACACACAAGATATTTCAGTGCATGCCACTGAGTTTTTGGTTTCCACCAGAATCATTAAAAACTCTTTTAAAAAAATACAGGTAAAGTAGTAGTCTGAAATGGAATTCTTGCTTTCCCACGCAATATTATCTTCGTAGTATTCTAACGTGGTTTGTTTGCTGAGATTATTAGAGTTTGTTAAACAAAGCACATAGTTACTTAGTAAATATAATAAAGAGAATGCATAAAAGCATTAAAATAAACTACAACTCTAATGTTATCATTATGTTTCTTTGTTCATCTGCAATGAAAAGCACAACATAATTATCAAGTAAGCCCATTAATTAAATTGCTTTTTGTAAGCTGCATCACTTCACTGAAAGCAAGTACTGCAAAGCAGTCCAGTCCAGTCCTCTTGGAGTTACAACATGTTGAGGGTCTGTTTGAAACCATTCCAACACCTAAACCAACATTATAACAAGCATGTACTGAACAGGAAGATTAACGGCTCCTAATAGTATTTTTCATGAGATGAAAGAAACTATTGATCTGCAAATGTCAGTTTCCTAAACCTGGGCTTAACATGAATAAAGTAAAACAAACAAAAAGCTTTAAGTCATTTAAATCTGCACAGGAACGTTATATCTATCTCCTCCTGTGTTGTGTCTATGCTGCCAGCAAGGATGGAGTGTGTCTGTTGCACGTAATGTGGCTGCAATAGCCTGGGCAGGTTAATATGGAGAAGCTGCTTTGCCCATGTGTCAACCTCCCCCATCTACTCCTAGCTTAGGTATGTTTATTACTTTCAGAACAATTACAAGCATGGTTATAAGTGTGCGTGTGTTATTTGTTGGTTTGCTTTGATTTTTACTTTAACTGTGACCATGAACAAATGATATATTAAATGGCACCAAAAGCAGAAAGATCAGCGAGGGCATTAGGGCATGATGCATTCCCTAACAGGACTCCTTAAGAGAGATGGGTCTTTTCCCACAATTCACGCAAGTACAGCTTTCTCATACCACAACCACAAACTCTTCTAACTGAGACTAAGCAGTGTTTTGAGATAAAATGCATAATGTTCAGATTCTTCTCATATTTTTGGTACCTTAGTAGGGTGTGGGAAAGTAACCGAAACAATGGACATGTTTATTACTTGTCCTTTACATACACTGATGCGACTTGACTATTCAAATAACAAAGTGAGTTAACATCTGACGAAACAGAACTTTCCACATGAGCTTGGTCTGTAATGTATGATTAGATCAATGGCCATAACAGCTAAAGGCATCTGTCGCTAGCACTGGTTTTAATGACAAGAAATGACATCTCCGGTCAAAAGGTTAACATCTTCCCCAGTGAATCTTATTTCTGGTGGTACCAACTCCACTCTTGTGGCTGAACCTCTCTTATGTTGTATTGAATTGAGATTTAAAAATATTTGTTGTAGGGACCCTGTCTTCCTAAGTGTTTGAAAAGCACCACGTACAGCTCTGGTACCAAAGACTGAACACTACCCTTATTATCACATTTTACTCCACCATTCAGAACAGCTTAATACTTGGTGGCCTTCAGGTGGTTTGTTTTTGGGTGGAGGATATCAGACATACAGCACTTTCAGGATTAATCTGGAGATCTTTCCTTCAAAGAAAGTAGCACATATTCATATGTGAATATGAAAAAACCCAAAATACTCCTAAATTGCAGTGCCTAAACCTTTAAAATTTGTTGACCATTTTAATTACCATGTGCCAAATCCCACTTGAAAGCTGCACAGAGCTGAAAGCCATGATGTGGAGAGTTTATTCAAATTTTCAAAAGTGTTCAGCATCCAAAATTGGGGGCAGATTTTCAAATGGGCACAGCAGCCACCAGCTCCTGGGTGCTGCATCCATTTGAAATACTGAGCACTTCACTGAAGGGTCTAAATGAGGGCAGAGTCTTTCTGAAAATATGGCCATTCCTGCATTTCTCCCAATTTGCCTTTACAGAAGGAAAAGGTATTTTTAATATCAGCCCCTTGTTTCTATAAATGTTTCTAAATCAAGGGGCTACAAAGTGCAGTGATTTTCATGCTCTAGCTCATCTGTAAAGACCTAATTTGATGTACTGGTAAAAATCACAAACAAAAGTCACTTTTGTGAGGTGCTCTCATTCTAGTTCTCTGTGGGACACTACAAAACCACCAGACATATTCCGGGGGAATTAGGAGCCACACGGGGCTCAGAAGTGAAGTAACGGGAGCACTGCACATACAATAAGAAATATCTTGGGAAGCTGGTATACAGAAGCATGCACATCCCCTGCCCGTTCAATACTCAATCAAAAGCCAATTGTATTCTCCTGTTACTTTCATGGGCATTAATTCATGTCTCACAGTTTAAAAAACAAGCCATAGGGTGCTTGATTCTACAACATTTCATATAACTTCTACCATGTGAATAAAACAGAAAGTCACAAAGTCCAGCATCCATGGAAGTCAAGGCACCGGTGAAGAAATATGGCATCCTAAATAAAAACTATTTAGCATCAACTTTTGTCGTGTAATGATAATGTTGGAGGGCACCTTAAAGGACGAGATAAAAGAACAAGAGCTGCCTACTAAATGCAGAATATTTGCCTCTGCTAATTAGGAACAGCACACGTGTATATCTGTACAAAAGGGTTATGATAAGGAATTACCATGTTAATGAAACAAGTCATCTCAGCAGACGGATTTTTGGCTGTGTTTGTAATGCAACACCACCACAACTATAGTATCTAAACACTAATGTGGCCTATGATTTATGCAACAGGCCTCAAATGTTAATCTCTTACTTTGACCACTAACACAAGGGCACAATTTGTAGCCCAGAGGGACTATATTTAGCTCAGTTGGTATCATTTTTTGAAAACACACTTAGGTAAATTTGGCTCTCTTGAAGTGAAAATCTAGTAGCACACAAAAAAACCGCCCAAGCTTCATGGGAGCGGACAGTGGACAAGTTGCAGCACATATTTCTGCCACTGCGCTGCAACGCTGCTCTTTCCAGTTCTGGGCCTCTACAGAGAATGCAGTGCCAACTTCACCCAAATATCTCCTGGTTTGGGGACAAGGGCCAAAGTCCACTGTAGAGAAAGTAAAGACCAGCAATTCCATCTTGATTACAGCTGAAATCCGAATTCAAGTACCAAGTAAAGGAAGGTTAGTACACAGCTCCATCTACCTTTTGCTTTAGCCTCTCTGATGTGTCACAGTACAGTTTTCATTCACTGATTTTTAAGAAAAATACTGTCTTGAGCTGGAATTATGGAGCCTGTATCCAAACCTGTGGAAGCGTCCATGAGCTGAGAGCTATTTTACTTCTTTATATCAATAGTAGTATCTGCACTATTCTTTAAATGGCCGTGCTGAAAGGAAGTTAACTCTAATTTATCTACTGAATCAGCAAACAATTCAGCAACTATTTTTATGATGGATTTTATTTATTCACACAGCCTAATAAAATGTTCACTGCCATAGCTTTACTATATGGATATCTAGATCAGGGCTAGAAAGCTTTTCAATTAGCCCTTAACTACTGAATTAGAAATACCTCTACAACATGAAACACCTTCTCAAAATATTCTACAAGTTTCCAGAGAACCAACCCCAGATGGGGAAGAAAAGTACCCGCATGGGATTCATTCAGCATAGCATGATGTGCTCAGTGTTGTGCATATAAACACAATGTAAAAATGACTATTTTAAAAAGAATTGCAGGGAAATCACATCTCGCATCACTGAGAAAGCTATGGCGCAGCTACTAAGGTGCTGATACTAGGGGCAGGCATAAGACCTATCATGGGAATGGATAGCTAAGCACTAGAGCTGCCTGGAAAACAGGTTTTTCCCTCTGCAGAAAGTTTCTACGAAAACAAATTTTCTGGTTTTTACTCACGTTTTCAGCAGAAAATCTTGACTTTTTCAAAAAACGAAACCGCAAATTTTTCAGTTATCTGAATACTTGCCAGTTTTCTGTTTTCCAGCTAGAAGTCAAACATTTTCTGTGGAAAGCAGATGCTTGCCAGGGTAAATTTGGTTTTTCGAAAACCACTCTCAATGGAAACTTTTGACCAGTCCTATGCAGCACCTCCACATAACCAGAGGGGGAACTGATCTTACTCTGCTATTTTCTTCAACAGGTCCACTCTGTCCATTCCTTCCCATTATTTTTGTCCTGGACACACAAGTAAAAAGTGGACACACAGAGGGCTTGAGACACCGCTCAGTGCAGAGGACAACTACTGCTTAGTCATGCTTGTGGGCATGCTTACCCACCCCTCATGCTGGTCTTGGAGCACAACTAGCTTGCACATCCTGCTGGGCACAACAAAAGGTCCATACTTGTTTTCACCTACACCTTAGCAGTGTGGTTTGAAGGGTATACCTCAAAATGAGAGGTCCAAACTTTTCACTACATATACAATCCAAGACTGAGCAGCGCAACAAGTCCTACAGGAGGAGTCACTGTCCAATGTCATTTGGCTAATCTTTTTGTGTCACAAATTGTTTTTGTTCATTTTCATCAATACTGCTCTCAAATTATGCAGTTCTCAGAATGCATGAACATGAAACCAGACTTCCTGACATATGTGACACAAAATTCCACTGTTTATATCTTTAGTCCCTTGAGATGGCAATTTGGGTCACTTTAAAAACCAAGCTCACGAGACTTAATAATGTTTTAAAAAAATCGAAGTCAACATCTATTTGCACAAACTTAGGCTAATAAGAGTCATCCTATGCTTTGATGATTCTGTGATCTGCAGGTAGGTGAAGGGAGAGAGAGTCTGCCACATGAGATCACAAAAAATACATACAAATTACTGGGCCGACTACAAAATGGTTTAGGATAAAACATTGTCACAAAACGGTGACAAAAATACCATGCTGTTATTTTTTAAAGAGTTAGATACAGATATTTTTGTATTTCCTTACTTTTAACCAGTTTCCTACACGTCCTTCCAATGTAATGGACAGCATGAATAGGTTCAGGATCAGTAGAAAAATGAGTGAACCACCATTAACTTGTTGCCAACAGTCATGAAAGACAAACCACGTTTCTTCTGAAGTGCCTCTCAGCTTCAATTTAATAAAGAGACAGCAACAAGGGTAAGTTCCTGCACACAGCCAGGTAAACACAAGAGACAACTTCTATGAGATTCAGTACTTGCATGGCTGCTGCCCATTATAAATGAACCTATGCAACTTACACATCTCCCCAAGAACAACCCTATTAAAAAGAGCACTTCATAGTATATGTTTTTAAAAAAATCAGATTAGAATGAGAGTCTGCAGGAAAGTCTTCTAAATCTGCTTGTGATTTAAAGTATTCCTTCATATTGCCTTATACTACTTTATAAACCCCCGGAGACAGGGCAGGACACTATAGGAATATGTTTGATATATAGTTGGATTAAATAACAACCTAATATATCAAACATATCACACAGAGCCCTGCAGAAAAGGCATCCAGGTTTGATTCATCTTGGGGGGCGGGGGAAAGACACACTGCTGAAGGCTAACAGCAGGGAACTGTTATCGACTGCTAAAGACGCAACCCCTTGCCTTGTGTTTGAAGGCATAAGCCTGCATGGAGGCATGAAGAGTGCACCAACAGGAACATAATGCACATACAGCAATGGTCTCTGGTGATGTACCTAAGCCACAACATTGTTTTCCTATAACTATTTCTTCCATTGTAAGAGTTAATGAAACATGTCATTTTTAATTCCATAAAATAAGTACAGAGACCACTTTTTCTTTTCCTTTTTTTAACTTGCTCTTTTGGGTAGTTATTTTGTACCAGGTGGTATCTTTACAGATCAAGGACCATATTATATTAGAACAGGCAATATAAGGCCCCAAAGCAGAAGATATTCAACCCACCAAAAAAGACACCACAATCAGTGTAAATCCATAACTGTGTTGTAAAGGACATACCACCTACTATAACCTGTTTTATAAAACGAACAGAAAAGTTTGTACAGCTCAGCAGACCATTTTCCCCGTTGAACACCACAATTAAAATCCAAGACAGTTTGCATTACACCTGAAGGAGGAACAGATAAGGAAGGTCTTCCTCAAAATACCTTTAGATACACAATCTCAGAAACAAGACAAGTACTAAAACATCAACTGGACGTTGTACTAGTAGTCAGAGCATTTAAGCTTTTGAACGGTGAGAGACTGTATCTGCTCTGTAGCCAGGCTGTTGTGTTTAATTCAGAAAGAACGTACATTATGCAATAAAACATGGACAGGAGTTCCTTAACAGAATTTGTTAGTCTCTAAGGTGCCACAAGTCCTCCTTTTCTTTTTGAGAAAGGAATGATCCTCCTGCAGTGGAAAGTTGCTGCCCCACCCTAGACGTCTTAATTTTATTAAGACAGCAATGGGAGGTATGTGGTGCAGAGATGCAATGGGGTGGGGGCACAACAAAAAGATAAGGGAAATGGAATAAAATACAGAGATGGAACAAAACTAGTGCAGCTCAATTACAAAATTAGAACAAGTGTTAGCTTGATTGTTTCATTTCTATTATATTAATAAACTGGAACATAGACAGAGATCAAATAGTAAGGATTAAAACAAACAAGCAAAAAACCCCACAAAACCCCAAGAATTTTGGAAGGGATCCAGACCCTCAGACTTCAGAGTGTAAATCCACCTCTAATTAAGAGGGGTGAGGAAGAAACTTTCCCTGCAGACTGGGGCCTATTACAGGCTCTCCAGCAACTTTTTTCTGAAGCTAATGGCTACCGCCAGACGCAGGATACTGGGCTAGATGGACCATTGGTCTGATCCAATATAGCAGTTTTTATGTTTCTGTATTTGGTGGACTGTGTATAAGAGAACAGTTGTTGTCTAATTACTAATTTAGATTTGAGATTACTAATTACAAATTTAGATTTGAGTGACAGAGATGCCTTGTTGATACAGAAGTTTAAGATTGAAACATCTAAGAGTGAGCTACCGAAAACATTCTTCCCCCTACAGGCAGTATCTCCTGATCTGTATTGAAACACATTGATGGGCCAGAGATAGGAAGCACACTTTGATGCTGTTCTCTGCTCTGTGGATAAACAGAGGGCTTGAAATATAAAGTGGGGTCATTCCAGTACCTTTCACTTGCATTACAGTAAATGTTTGTGAAAGATAAATTGAATTACGAGCAATGGAAAGAAAGTTTTATTGCAAAATGAAATATAAATCCAGAGATATGAACGTGTTTTCCACAAAATGACAAAGAAAGAGCCCAATAAAGCACCGGCAGACTGAATGCTCAAATTAACATGTTAAATGAGGAGCAGGTGTAGGATTTGTATTCATTTTTAAATGACAGTGGCCACTGGAATGGTTTAGATGTTAGCAGGAGAATGGTTTTAAGGTTACTGGGCAACTCAGATATTCTGTTGTGTAGTGGTTGTGTAGAAAAGGTGTTAAAGGACTTTTCCAGTCTCAATCCTCTGCTTTATATAATCTCATTACAAGCAACTTTCTTTCTTCACAAAAAATGAATGTACCAATTATAAAACCCATAGAACAAAAAAAAGCATTGCTCTTTCGTGGACTTCATTCTCCCCACTGAAAGAAAAATTCCTCAAGCAGTGGGCATCACCACAGCCCATCTTGTGAGGCTATTAAAAACCGTCTTAATCTTATGCTCCTGAATGACAGAAAATACCACAATCCCCTGACAACAACGGTCTGACACTGAATGACCTTTAGAACCTGCTTGCTTGGAAAGACTCCTCCCTCATCTTCTTAGAACAAAGTCGGGTAACTCTGAAGCTGCTGAGAAAAGGACATGACCATGGCATTGCTTTCTGAAGTTAATGGCAGGCCTTATTTTTATTAAAAGAGGCCCAGTCCTGTGTCTCATGGAGATTTATTTCAAAACTTGTCAGGGGCTCTACACTGTGGAGTGAAGTGATTCTGTGTCATGCCCCCACTCCCTGAACTGTGCAGGTACACTAACTACTTCAGGTTATAATAATTGCCTCATAATTCCTCTGACCCATGTGCAAGCAGTTAATTCCATTTTACTTAAAAATATTCTCATGGACATATCTGAAACACACAAAAATATGAGACTACATAAGCATTCATATGGCACCTTCATTTATACATTTCCCTTTATAGAATTAAGAGAAAATAAGCACAGAAGAATCAGTTTATATTTTAAACAAAGAGTTTAAAAGGAGACACCTGTTTGCTACAAGTCAAATACTGTGTGTTGATCTGATAAGATCTTTTGGCCACAACCTACCATAGTAAATGCACACACACAGAAGATTGAGTGAGCGGGACACAAAAGTCTCTGAAACTGAGGAACAAGAATGATCTTTCACATCAGAAAAGATTTTTTGGACAGAGAAAAGTGAATGAACAAACAATAACTATCTTGTAACTTGAAAAAGCTTTTCCTAAGAATTTCCTTTCCTTCCCCTCCATATCCAAATCTATTACTCGCATGCCCACCACTTGAAAGAGCCACCAAATATCTTGTGCCTTTGTGGTAAGTCACACCTAGCTTGTCTGAAAAGTGTAGCTTCTACTGGCACCAGCTGAGGACAATGTAGGGATTGATTATTCCAACCATCACCTTGATCTATAGCACTCAGCTCCTCACAATACCAGTTATTTGCATTTCTGCGGCATTAACTTTAAAAAGAACATGGAAGATGGACACTCACCTTTGGCTTGGCTCGTGGTTTCAACTGCTCTAACTTCTTTGCTGCAGCCTCAATTGAAGCTGCAGCCCCCAGTAGCTCTGTCTCAGCAATGACTGTTGGGTCCTCTGGATCCACCCACTCCGTGCCTGAAATTAATAGAGGGGAAGACAATAACTTCAATAGCATTGTTAGTGCCTTTTGACCAAGCTGATGCCCTGTCACACCTCAAAACTATGTGCAAAATATACAGTGTGTGTATATGGAGACCTCACTTTAATACCATTAATGGCATAAAATACTATAATTTAAGCCAGTGACTGCAAAACACAAGTCAGAATGGAAAGAGCACTTAGCCATTACGTTCTATTATGGAAGTGGCTTGTAAGAAAAGTAACTCTGAATTGCTCCTTGAAAGGCCATGTCTACACTGGGTGCTGAACAATTTATCATCCAACCAGCTTTAATCATAGTTGTTACTCAGAAAGATTCTAGTGTGCTTTCCTTGACCAAGGCAGACAGATGCACTGTTTGAGAACTGTGACAAAAAGAGCACAGAGGATGCATTAGACTACCCAGGAGATCATGGTCTGACTAACAGTTCTCAGTAAAGTCCCCACCTACAGCGGCTAGGGAGACACGGTTAGCGCCCATCCACAGAAAACACGAGAGTGAACAGTGCTGTTTTAATCCCAGTGCCAATAAGGCCAATAAGCAAGTTTCTCCTACAAATACAAGGCTGAACATTTTTTTGGAGAGGAAAGATCTTACACTTTTGGAGACCTCACAAAACAAATGCTCAGAGGCAGCTCACTTCAAAGTTCTGCAACTTACCGGGAACGGTGTAGAAAACTCACATAGAAGAGAATTATTTTTAACCCTCTGGTGAGACTGATATTACATTACAGCTCAAATCAGGACAATTATATGCCAAACTTATGACAGGAAAAGCAAACAAATGTAGTTTTACTAGATATCCTTTTTCTAAAATAAGAATAAGTAGCACTGAAATGATTTTCATGTTACATTGCCTGTAATATTAAAGTATTTATGTGTCTATTTGCTGGTCATGTAAATGTGCTCACTGAACAACGCTTCCAGAACATCCTGTACACTTTAGGTTGGATGCACTCTGGAGTCTGGGCTGAGGTGTTTGCATCAGCACTGGAGGTTGGATGTAACTTTGTAATGAGCTGACTTGATTTGAAGTTGGGACACAATGACCCCAGAAGGGCAACGGGCCTATTTGTCTGCCCTTGAGGACTAGCAGAACCACAGGCCTCCAGGCCGGCAGGAGGAAAAGCACTGTTCATCCAGTTGCCATTCTACTGATAATTTTGTGGGACTTCAATTACATTTTGTCCTCTGCTCTTAGGGCTCCTGAATGCACCTGTGTGATGGCTTCATTCTCAATGGTTTACAGATGACTGTGACAAAGTATATGAAAGAGGAGGCTAGAGTGTCGTGGAAGACATATCAGACACAACAAAATTGTGACAGATTTTTGAAGACCATATGCTGTAGCTGTATGGGAGTATCATGGGGCCCAGCCCCAAGTCAAACCCACATCCACAGAATCACTTCACCAGCCTGTATGGCTGTGTGTGTGGCTGCTGGGCCATCCCCTTGTTTGCCTCCTCCTGTTAATCGCCTCCATCTGGATGTTCTCTGGCTTAGCCTCATGGTCAGGTCACTTGAAAATCTGATCCCCTTCTGGGGTACTCAAAGTCTCAAAACAACGACCACCTTCCACAACAGTCCCAAGTTAAGGTAAACAAGAGGTCTTTCGCCCCTCCCTGGGCTCCTCTTCAGTTTCCTGTTCCTCTTGTGGAACACTGGTCCCAGAACTGCTTCCCTGGAGCTGGGCAAGTCAGACGGTTATTACCTCCTCCTTCAGCCAGAAGTCCCCAGCCCTCCTTCTGCAGCAGCATATACATCAGTCACCATCTCGTCATGAGGCAGGTGTCCAGCCCTCCCCCTGGAGTTGGGTAATTCAGGTAGCTGTTACCTCCCTCCTTCAGCCAGGAGTCCCGAGCTCTCCTGGAGCAAGGTGTACTTTAGCCAGCTGTAGGACCTTAGCCAGCTTCTGCCTCCACTGGCCCTTTCCCACACCCCAATTAGTCCTCAGGCTCAGAGGGTTCAGTGATCTCCTGCTAGTGTGTGCCCAACTATAAGGAAGGAGGCAGCATTTATTCTGGTCCCTGTCTTTCAGCTCATCCCCAACTGGTTGGGTGGGAGCAGATCCTTTCTATCAATATCTCCTAGGCTTTTTGTGTACACATCAATATATACACTGGATTTTAAAAACCTTAAAGGGCCACACCACATGATGGGATTGGCTGACCATTATGCACTAGTACCCTCAAAGGGGAAGACTACCTGTCATAGAGAAACAAAGATTTCACCTGTAGAGCTGTACTGGTGGGGTCACGCACCGTGGAACTATTCTGGGCATTCTACACCTTTGTTAATCCCAGCAGCCTGAGCTTGGTTACAGGAATAGAGTCTCACAGTGAATGCTGTTCTCACTTTCAGGTAACATTGTAAATAAGAAGCAGGCAGTAGTATCTCCCGTAAATGTAAACAAACTTTTTTGTCTTAGCGATTGGCTGAACAAGAAGTAGGACTGAGTGGACCTGTAGGCTCTAAAGTTTTACACTGATTTCTTTTTGAATGCAGTTATGTACTCCCCCCCCCCAAATCTGCATTTGTAAGTTACACTTTCGCGATAAAGAGATTGCACTACAGTACTTGTATGAGGTGAATTGAAAGATACTATTTCTTTTGTTTATCATTTTTACAGTGCAAATATTAATAATAAAAATAATATAAAATGGGCACTGTACACTTTGTATTCTGTATTGTAATAGAAATCAATATATTTGAAAATGTAGAAAAACTTCCAAAATATTTAATACATTTCAATTGGTATTCTATTGTTTAACAGTGCAATTCATCGCGATTAATTTTTTTAATCAATTTTTTTTTGAGTTAATCGCGTGAGTTAACTGTGATTAATCAACAGCCCTAGTGCAAACTATACTTAAAAACTATTGTGCAGGTTCTCTTGCTGTGGAGAATGAGGCTGGTGACCCATCTCAAATCCATTGCTGGGGGAGAGCAGCCAATAACAACATTTTTGTGCAATTAAGTTGTACCAGAGCAAGTGGAGGTGGGCAAGGGAATCATGAAGTTTTTAAATATCAAAAACTAACTATGAAAATAACATCCAGGTAAATATTTAATGTCCCTTGTCATTTCTGGAACGTGAACAACTCTGTGTATTAACTAAGTGGGTTGTCAGACCTACCTTTCATTGCTTCTGCTGTCTGGATAAGCTCTGTCACAGCACCAGCAACCCGCTTTGACAAGGCAGCCAACGGATGCTTCAGTTCTGGGGTTGGCTTCTGAAGAATCTATAAAAAGATAAAAATTAATTAGGAATTAGAGGCTAAGGTTTCACAGAACATACACACCGCAAGTTCCCAATAAATTAGATGAAGTCCTAATGCTACGCTAGGGAAAAAAAAAAAATAATCTGAGTCTACAGAAAAATGCCCACAATTCAGAAGCAAAACTAAAATAAAGACCCCCAAGCAGACTGGCTGAGAGATTGTGTAAGGCATCTAGCCCATGCTAGGAAAGCAAAGCTGCCTATCATTGTGAAAGTATTCCACAGAGCTGTTTCTGGAAGTACTCAATATTTGACACATGATCTCATATGTCAATCTATTAATGAAGAACATTTAACCAAATTAAAATGCAAGCCAAGTGCTTCGTGTTGCATTTTCATTTTGGGGAGAAATGTAAACTACATGGATAAACAGGGTACAAAACTATATGTTTTACACTACCAGCATTGTCACTAAAAGAAAAGGAGTACTTGTGGCACCTTAGAGACTAACCAATTTATTTGAGCGTGAGCTGTAGCTCACGAAAGCTCATGCTCAAATAAATTGGTTAGTCTCTAAGGTGCCACAAGTACTCCTTTTCTTTTTGCGAATACAGACTAACACGGCTGGTACTCTGAAACCGAGCATTGTCACTGTTTCTTCCAACTATCCTTATTATAAATTAAGATTTATTCCCCACAATAAAATATCTGTCAACAGATTGTAAGTACTTTGGAGGCAAAGACCACATGTTTTCTTTATCATCTGTAGAGTGCCTAGTACACTTTTGGGTGTTGCAATCAAGTTAATTTTTGAGGGAGATGAGGAGTGGTCCCAAGACAGTAAGAATTATGTGGCTTTAATTTTGGGCATCCCCATGTAGATGGAGTCGTTTTAAAACTTAGTGTCATTCACAAGCACTAGTGAAGTTTGACAGAGCAATTCTTCCCTGTCTCTCAGTGCCAAAATATATCAGAAATTTCAAATATAGTTTTCAATAATTCTAGAAGAATTTGGCTTTCCTTCCAAGCTCACCGTTCCTCTAGTGCTGGTGAGCTCTGCAGTAAAAGGACTGACACACAAATGTAGAAATTGATGGCGCATTTCCTCATTCATTACTGTGCCAAAAGATGCTAAAGAAACCTAGGTGCTAGGTTTTTAACAGTCACATGAATCCCTGAGTTTCACAGAGCCGAAGGCTGAAGAGCCCCGTTTCCATAGTAAATATAAGTACCTGAATCCTCAATAGCCAAGCAATCTGCTGCCATATTAACAAAATGAAAACCTTTTGGAACAATGAGGGCTGTAATCAGGGCCCTGTCTGAGACTCCTTCAACCCAGCAGACAGTACTATTGTGCCTTTCAGATCTAACCTTCCCACACAGCTGAAATTTCCAAAAATACATACAGTGTGATCATGACCGCAGCAAAGCACCACGTTTTCTTCTGCGGAAACAGTCTGTAACATCAGTACTACCCTTGACAATGGCAACAAAGTGGCAATTAAATGAGTGGGTATAAGTGCACAAACTCTAAGGTTTTCCAATTACCTTTCTGTAAGTGTATTTAGAACTCGTGACAGGTGCTGGTGACTGAAGTCCTGTATTTACCCAAAGCAGAGATACAGAATGGACATAGAGCAAAAGCGTCTCACACACTGATCTGCCAGTGCGTCTCAACCCTGACCTACAGGAGCTTTCTGAAGGTAGGAGAGGATAGTTCCATCTTTTACCCTCTTCCTGAGTGCGCCTCTCTGGACACTGACTCATACTCAAATGTGCACATGTCCATTGGGAAATGGGGTACGATCACACAGATCACCTAACAACCCTTTTGACTACAAGATTGAGATGTTTATCCCCTAGATAATTTGATAATCCACAAGAATGTCACAGCCGTATTGCTTGCACATGAGCCCTCAAGTCAGTAACATGCACTTTACACTTCATAGTCCCAGCACAGAGTGAGTTTTTGGCATGTGGATTCCTGGTTATTACGCTCACTAAACCGTAAACCTTTAGAGGATGGTATTTTGAAGGGCTCTGACTGCCAAACATCATGCTCTCTGATCTCTCTCAATGTCAACAGACTCACTCAAGCAATCTTGTCCACAGCCATCAGGCTCAACAAGACATTGTTAGCACTCATATCAACAGCTGTCAATAAGACGAATGAGCTGAAAGGTCTGATGCCAACCAGTCCTGTTGCTATGAGATCATAAACTAATGCACCAGCTCAGCATACTAAACCAAACAGAGAGATTAAGAAGTGTATGGACTCTCGCTGGCTTGAAAGTTGCCTTGCCGTCACCTTCTGAATAACCATGTCCAAACTTGCTAACTATCATCCTGTGTCAAGGAAATTATTTGATTAAACAAACCTGCACGGGCTGTGTAAGCCGATTCTATGCTACAGCTCCAACCAGTTAGAATTTTGGGGAAACTGCCCCAAGGTAGAGGTTAATGTCCTGGGTAGAGCGAAGTTGGCCATCCTCACTGGAAAATGACAGTCCTTCTGTACTTGCTACTAAACAACATCCAGCACAATTCTATTTACAGTTCTGGGGTGCAACCAACTTTTTAACAAGGAATACACTGTGAACTTAAGTAGCCATTTCTATCCAGCTTCCTGGAAGCAGTTAAAATGGTGACACCATCTTCATTTCTACACAGACTTTATGCTCACTAATTTTGGCTTTGTGTGCATGGGCTTGAAACCTAAACCCAGTCTACACATGGCTCGAGTCAGTTGGCATTTTTGGGTAAATTTCCCCAGTGGACTCAGGCCTTGTAAGTGAAGCTGCTAGAAGTAAGAAAGGCTGCTCTGCTAAGAAAATGGAATAGATGGGAGAAGTGAAAGGCAAAAGATGAAGGAGTAGGATCAAGCAAAATCTGATTAGTCTTTTGCTCTGTTAAATGACAGGTTTCAGAGTAGCAGCCGTGTTAGTCTGTATCCGCAAAAAGAAAAGGAGTAATTGTGGCACCTTAGAGACTAACCAATTTATTTGAGCATAAGCTGTCTCTAAGGTGCCACAAGTACTCCTTTTCTTTTTGTTCTGTTAAGATGCATAATGTTGAGTCAGATACTGCAATGTTCAATAGACTGGATACAACATGACAAATTTCCCCAAGTACAACTGTACTAAAAATACACAAGACTTCTAAATGCAAATTATTCCCTGCTGGGCAAGTTCCAGTAATGAGATTTAACAAATTTAATTTTTCTTACATTATCTTCCTTGCTAGTGGACAAGTGTTAATATAATCGGGCCTCTATTTTTTTTGCTTTATCTGTATTCCTGCACACAGTCATTAATTTAATTTAACTAGACACACTAAAATCTCTGCCTTGCAATGTATTTCTACCCAGGAGGCCTATGTCCCACACCAGCCACTAAAAAGTAGCTTCTCAGAGGAAGCGCACATGATGACTGCAGCTGCAAGTCAACTTGAGAAAGTTGGATATTTTATTAAACCTTTGTTCTTACACACCCCATGCTTCAATGTGTGTGGAATGCCCATGTTGAAACAATGCTACAATATTACCAGATAAGTGTTCAGATTCCTGAAAAGCATACAAAGTTCAGTATTCACGGCTTCAGAGTGCAGCAAGTTAGTCACAAGACTTTAAGTGAAAAAACTGATAGAATTGGGGAGCTTTTAGGTGGGGCTTGGCGATGGCCTCGGATAGCCATTTCCTTTGCTTACCTCAGGATAGGATCAGGCAAGCATGTGAATGTAGTGCTCCCCCAGTGATTTTCACAACATTGGTGTTTTCGGTGATTGGTGTGTGTTCTGCTACATGAGGTTAAGAGAGAGACCCACTGGAGAACACCAACGTATGATTTTAAAGGGGCCCATTTTTAGATGCGGTGATGCCTTCACTGACTCATGATAAAGTAAACTCCAGAAGAGAACTCTATGCAAACACTTCCAGATTCCCTTCTTTCTTTTTTAAGAAAGTGTTAACCATTTGTTCAGGAACTTGCAGCAAGCAAATAAAAAGTTAACCTTGGCAATGATTATGAAAAGGGCTCAGTGGGATTATTTGTTCTTGGCAAAGCTTCAATACATGCCTATAGGCTCCTTCTTACCAGGAGGACATGTTCTAGGAGTTCCAAGTATCCCAGGGTACATTCTGTTCCAAATCGCAGCGCTCTCGCTCTAACATCTTCACTCACGTCTGGGTGATAGGAAGCTTGCTAAGGAGACAAAGCAATATTAACACTCAAAGACTACAAAGCAGAGATTGTGGGGAGGAGCAGACATATGGATGGAGACGATATAAATGGCATAAAAAGGCCAGAAAAAAGCAATTTCCCATCATTTGTAAATAACATCCAAGCCAGTAAGTCACCACTGTTGTAAAGGTGTAGCTTAACTGGCCTGCCAAAGCAGCAGAGCCTCAACTGTGAAAATGGATTTACGAAGAAGTTTCCTTCTGTTACCATATTCTTCACTCTGAGGATGCAACAGCTCACTCTTTCTTAACGTTCTTCATTAGACATGGTCAGCATCAGGTACACATCCTGCCATCAGCCCAAACAAAACAGCTGCCTCAGCAAAGGTCCAAAGGAGAAAGGCAGCAAGTTGGTTGTTTTTTTAGGAATAACTGTAACAGATTCTGGGAATGGACTGAACTAGTAGCTTGTGGGGGACATGTACTGCAGTTTCGTATAAGCAGTGATGCTAATAAGAAGGAAGATGGCGTCTCTATATTCCTACTGACACACAGAAAGAGGAAAGAAAATGAAAGACGTCTGAGCAATAGTTTCTCCATCCACAAATACATACAGCGTTACAGATTTTAGAACCCTTAAATCCCCCTTAAAACTTGCCCCCTCGCAAACCTTCAGACCTTCCATCTAAAATGTGAGTGTTCTGTGCAGCCCCCAAAAGTGAACACAATGTATGGCTCCACATCAGAGACAGTGAAGCCTAGTGGATAGATCACTGTACTTGGGCTTAGGACAGCGGTTCTCAAACTTCGTTGCACTGCCACTCCCTTCTGACCACTAAAATTACTACACAACCCCACGGGGCAGGGACTGAAGCCTAAGCCCCGCCACTCAGGCAGGGGGCCAAAGCCTAAGCCCAAGGGCTTCAGCCCCAGGCAGGAGGCCTGTAACCTGAGCTCTGCCACCCAGGGCTAAAGCTTTAGGCTTTAGCCCTCGGGCTCCAGCTTCAACCCTGGATGGTGGGGCTTGGGCTTCGTCCTTGGGCGATGGGGCTCAGGCTTCAGCCCCATCAAGTCTAACACTGGCCCAGGCAAGTTTAACTCCAGCTCTGGCAACCCCATTAAAACAGGGTTGTGACTCACTTCGGGGTCCTGACCCACAGTTTGAGAACCCCTGGCTTAAGAGATCCAGGGTCTATTCTCAGCTCTGTTACTGGCCTGCTGGGTGACCTTGGGCAGGTTACATCTGTGCATAAAACTTTCCCATTCTGTAAAATGGAGATAATGAGGGTGATCTTCTTTGTAAAGTGCTTTGAGGGCCAATATTATTCTGTATATGGGAAAACGGAAGATTACAAAGAAACATGCCTGTCTTTTAAACATACTGCAGCAAAGGGCTGATTAATGACATGAGCTTGATATAGAGATTAAAAGCAACAACTACCTGTCATACGTAGTATTAGATTTCATGTGGTTAAATATGTACGACAAGCAGTAAAAAAGCATCTTCTACCGGTAGAATCATTTAGAGGGCAAAATAAAAAAATTCAGAAGTAGTCCTGCATCACAGATTCACCACTACTAAAATGGAAACTACAACTGGGAGCATGTTTAAACTTGGTATTAATTTTTAAAAATAGGCCTTAAAATGCTTATTTTCGGGCAGTTTTATTGAACTCACCTGCCCACTTTTGCTAATATGCCTCTACCAATTTCTTTTTGTCTTCTGGCATTTGCAATTGGGACTAAAATTAATTTGGTTGTTTGTACATTTTGATCAGTTCTTTCTTTCCTTATCATCATAATTGATGATGTCACATTAGACTCAGTTGGTTAATGGGCTCCCCCTACTGGTTAGTTGAAAAGCAGCTGAGCATCAACCACTACAACCTACACTAAAGACACCGTCGGCTCCCTACTTTGTAAACAGAACAGTAGTTTTTTGGAGTTTGTTTTGGGGCTTTTTTTTGGCATATTTAAGGCTGGGTGACTATTCTACTGGAGAGAATTAACAAATTTAGAGAGGTCCAGAAACTCCTTGAAGTCCAACAGTGACGTTTCTGCACACATTTAATTTACTTTGTACATACTTCAATACTATGGTGACGGATGCTTCAAAACCCCTTAGATACCAAGAATTTCTTCAAACTTCTACCAAAGATAAGCCCAAGTATTCCTATTAACCTTAGGGTACACAATTGACTGAGACAATACAATATTTCTGGAAGAAACACTGAACATATCAAAATATCTTTAAGGCCTATTCTGCCTCCCACTGAAGTCCATGAAAAAACTATTTACTGCCCTGGGAACAGAATTAGGCCCTAGTTCTTATATCAAGAATACATATTCAAAAGGTTCTTCAACCAGCAGCAAACTAACAAAGAGCCTATTTGTTCATTTACATCAGAATGTTTTCCTGCAATATAAATTAAATTGAATTTCCTCAGAAAGTCTCTTGGACAGAATGCATATATATTATATAAATTCATATCCTCATCTGTGAAATATTGTTAACTCAGAAATTTGTTTTAGTTACTTCCTGTGTGACATATTGTATTATACCAAGACACACTGCTCATCTTGTAGAATAGTCTGGAAGGACGGATTTCTTTCTGCTTTAAGTGGAGGAAGTGGCTTAGGTTAGTTTTTAAAGGATTTTTCCCAAACCTTCTGCCTATGGTTTGATGTTCTCTTGCATTCCCAACTCTGATTAGCAAGATTGTCTCAGACACCTGGGGGAATGCTAAAGTAATGACAAACAATAAGGGACAAAGCTTCAAAAATACTGTATCCCAACTCTGGTTTTTCTCCTCAGGTCAAATGATTTAGTTATCCTCTATTGCTCCTGTAAATTTCTATGGTCAATTTTCCCTGCTGCAATTGGCAACACTGTGTTTCATTATTATTAATTATTTTTATATCACAGAAGTGTCTAGGATTTCCCAAGTGAGATTGAGACCACAGCCACAAGGCATCTCTCTCGCACATCCATCTTCTGTCTCACAGAGCTAAGAATCTACACAAACAAGACAATGGATGGGAGAAGGGATCATTATTATCCTTGTTGTGCAGGTGAGGAACTGTAGCACAGAAATATGTACTTTCCCAAGGTGATACAGGAATTCTGCTTTGCATCTGCAAACTGAACCCAAGATCTAGGCAGGCATCTTGCTTGCCATTCCACGAGCCCATCTCTGCTCTTTCACCTCTTTTCTCTCCTGTTTTTGATACTTCTGTTGTACCTGTCCTCTTCACACTCAGTTCCTCTTTGCTATCATGCCCCATTCTCTGTTCAAGTGCTTCTAGCATTATGGGTTAGCAGTATGTGTACAATGCTAACATTCTAAGTACTGACATACCCCCATATGATAGAAGATGTGCAATCTTTAACTGCAACTGTATAACTAAGACGACCATCTCTCTGCCCTAGATAGTTCTCATATCCTTCTATTTTTGCTACAAGAGTCACCAGTAAGAAAGTAAAAAAATCAATATTTCCCAGTAGTTAATGCAGAGTTATTACTTTACACACATGGTATAAAGACAAAATCTGTTTTTATCTTTGGGTCTGATCCAACCTTGAGTACTTTCGGTTAAGCGTCTCCACCAAGTTTAATAGGACCCACAGGATGAGATCCTGAGATTGCACTGTAATCAATATATTTTTTTTCCAAATGGTAACTATTGATAAATGCCCACTTACAGACTCTCAGACTTTGAAGCCACAATGAACCATCATGATCTAGTCTGACCCTCTGCATGTTGCAGGCCACAGAACCCCAGTGACAGTGTATTATTTACATATTGCACAATTACTATAGACTTGTTTAAATATCCCAGAGCTGAACCCCTCTGCTTCAGGGAAGTTGCAGTGAAATTTAATGTACATTTATATCCTTGACATTAGAGAAGCACAAAGTGTACTGTACATAACAATTCATGCTATATTTTATTCACACACATGCATTTTGGTGGGTTTCATTCCATGCAGTGGTACATAATGTGTGTCATTATTAGCTTATTATTTGACAATATTAGTCCTATCAAAACATTCAGAAGATTGGATTGCTGCGTATTCGATGAGAAACCCCTATTTTGTCAAATATCACAACAAGATCAAGTCGTGGAGGTGTCATGCTGCCTTGATGGTATAGCAAAGAAAGTCAGGTGCTCCCTATTCACCATCTTAGAGTACAAGAGAAGTGGCTATTCAGATTTATCATGGAATTTTTTTAATACCCTAGAAAACATCCTATTGCCTCTATATAAATCCATGGTACGCCCACATCTTGAATACGGCGTGCAGATGTGGTTGCCCCATCTAAAAGAAGACATATTGGAAATGCAAAAGATTCAGAAAAGGGGCAACAAAAATAAGTAGGGGTATGGAACGGCTTCCAGATGAGGCGTGATTAATAAGACTGGGACAGTTCAGCTTGGAAAAAGGATGACTAAGGGGGGATGTGATAGAGGTCTATAAAATCATGACTGGTGAGGAGAAAGTGAATAAGAAAGTGTTATTTACTCCTTCTCATAACATAAGGACGAGGGGTCACCAAATGAAATTAATAGGCAACTGGTTTAAAACAAACAAAAGAAAGTATTTTTTCACACAACGCACAGTCAACCTGTGGAACTCCTTGTCAGAGGATGCGGTGAAGGCCAAGACTATAACAAGGTTCAAAAAAAGAACTAGATAAATTCATGGAGGATAGGTCCATGAATGGCTATTAATCATGATGGGCAAGGATGGTGTCCCTAGCCTCTGTTTGCCAGAAGGTGGGAATGGGTGACAGGGGATGGATCACTTGATGATTACCTGTCCTATTCATTCCCCCTGGAGCACCTGGCATTGACCACTGTGGGAAGACAGGATACTGGGCTAGATGGACCTTTGATCTGACCCAGTATGGCTGTTCTTATGTTCAAAAAGAGATAAGATGACTTTGTACAAGAGATCTGATACTCCTTCCTACAGCTCGAGTTCATCTATTACCAAAGTAAGTATATGAGTGGATAAAAACACACTAGCATAAGTGCAAAAAGTAGAAGGGCTAGCTTCTCTACCAACCATTTTAAATTGCTGTCTAACATTAACTGATATAGCTCTGGCTAAGGGGATGTGGTACACATAATTAAGTTATTTAACAAACTTAAGACTATGCAGTATAGTTGTAGCCGTGAACAAGAGAAGCTTTCAAGCCACACAGAGTTCTTCTTTAGGTCTGGGAAAGATACTCCTAGAGTCACAGCTAAATGAAAGGTGGAATAGATTGTTTAGCATAAGTAGTTAGCACATATTCTAAGGGACCATTCAAGGTAGAGTGGCCCTTGACTATCCGTTAGACGATATTACCTCACCAACCTTGTCACACTTAAGACTGACAGATGTTTTGACAAATTTTGGGTCACATGTTTTAAATAATGCCTATGATTAGTCTTCTAGACTTTCCACCTCTCTCCAGTGTTTTCAGAGACTTGTTTCTCCTTGCCTAATGATTTTTTCCAGCGCCAAGGACATAAGGAGGCCAAAACCAAATCCACTGGGCTAACTAGAGGGCAAGCTTTTATCCTCACTGTTCTGAACCATACTATTTCTGATTTCAGCTTCAGGCTGCCTTCCAGCTGTTATTCCTACTCTGCTGCTTTCAAGGTGGTGCTCTGTGGCACATAGCCAACTTTTTGGCTAGAGATTAACAATGTCATCTGCAAGCAACAACAATGGTGACTTCAAGGATCAGAACTTGCTACTCAAGTGATAACGATTTGCCACACTTACCATGTTAACCTGGTAGGCCCTAGCCCAAAGAATGACTACCATACCCAACAAGCTCTCAGGTAGACTGCTTTTCAATCTGTCCTTTTAGATAAGTAAAATCATTCTCAGCTATTTTTATTCTTTAGATTGTTTTGTAAAGGCAATTCTCTCATGGATACTCAGCCCCTTATCAACATCCCAGTTCCCCACTGCTTGGTCTCTAAATGGTTTATTCTGCAGGCCTGTGGCCATCTGTGAACCAGAGCAGGAGAAGCACCAAGTTAAATTATAGCAATAATAGGAGTGAAAGTGAAAACAAAAAGGAAACATTAATTTGAAAGTATACAAAAACATACACCTAAAATGCAGAATATTAGGCTGAAAAATATAATTTAAATATGAAGAACTGTAATCCAGAGAATCTGCAGAGTGAAATGCAGTTTTTTCTCCATATGAATATGCACCTACACTAGCCAGGTCATAAAGTTACAAAGGATATTTAACTAATATGGTTCACAGTGTTAATTGATCCTATATCATTCCACAACTGCACCTGAGAGTGTTTTCACCTTCCCTTGAAGCATCATGTACTGGACTTCGACAGAAGCATGATATGAGACCGAATGATACAAGATGTGGTGACTTCTGGGTTCCAGTGCAGAACTATAGCTATACTTTCAACTATCTGTGTTTTGGGGTGGGGGATCAAAGCTTGAAGCAAGCAGAGTGTTCAGGAACAGATGTACTCTGCTAAATACATACAAGAACCATCAAGGTCAAAATGACATAAGGATTTCAATTGACAATATATACATAAATCATGTTCAAAATCACATTGCATCATGCTTAAGTACAGAATCATTATTTTAAAAACAAAATTAAACTCTGTCCTTTCCTTACATCCAGTCATAATGGAGCTAAAAAGTGATCTGGGGACCTACGCAGGGAAAGATTTGACTAAATTTTGAACTCCACACCCGCCAAACTGCCCAAGCCTTAATTCTTCTCTCATAGTCATTTGTACCTTGAAGAGCAAAGATGCCTAAATGATGATTACGAATAAGAGCTGTCTAATTTCACTGCTCAAAACTCAAAGAATTAACTTTGTAAAACCCCTTTCTGGTCCTGCCCCTGTTAATTACGAATAATCCCTCCCTACCTCAGCATGAAGGGAAGTGAGCCATGAGTATATTTTGCATTACTCCCTGTACCATGCATGCAAACAGTTTTACAGACCTATTTCTTTAAAGTTGTCTGTCTCAAAGATTCCAAAAGTTCAGCTCACAGGAGCATTATATTTAGTACAAGACAAAAGGCACACACACTCTTTAAAAGCACAGTAAGAATTCAGCAGACCAATGAGTTTGTTTAGAAAGCAAAGGAATATTGACAATACATGTGCACATTTTTTCCATTAGAGAACTCCTAACTATATTAAAATCAGGTCACCATTACATTATTTTTATGCTCTCCTGTTTGTACGGAGTCTGTCTTGCAGTTTAAAAGAAACAAGAACTCAAGCAGGTTTCGTGTCTATCAAAAAACCCCATCCTCCTTCTCCAAAAAGAAACCAGTGTGTATTAATCCATATTTCTTTTACATAGCATAGAAACCCCCTCCTTCTGGTATAGGATGTTAGTCAGACTTCATAATTTTCACAATCATTAACTTCTCAGATAAAGACAAACACAAACTAAATTTAAGGACATAGAAACCTAAAAAATTAGGAGAGGAAATTAATCTTTACCTTACAAGCTGTTAGCATATCAGCCACTGCTTTGCGGCTCAGATTCGCTGTAGCAATCACATCCTCCTGTCTGCATGAGTTCCCAGCTGCAACAGCTTTGGCAGTTGCCATGGTGATTCCTTTCGTCATCCGGATCGATTCTTCAGGTGATGATGTCTTTTCTGGAATCTCCTTCGACTGAAACACCTGGAAGTTAAAGCAGAAGGGAGATCTGGTTGCCCTTTCAGAGTCAGACCACAACACAGAGCTTGAAACAGAAACGGCAATTGAAAGCAGCCTTCAAATGGCAGGAAATCAGAAACTGAATTGGAGTACTGCACTGCAATATCACTCCTGCTCGTCAGGAGTCTGGCTCCGATAGGACTTGCACATCTACACATAGCAGAGAGAAACACTAAGCTGTGGGAAATGTGCACAAAAGGTTAACCCATTCACTTGAAATGGCTGACACCTAACATTTGTCATTTAAACTATCTGTGTTATAGGATAGCGAGAAACCAATAGTTACAGCATATAGCTAGCTACTCGTCCTATCCATATATTCTTCCATCCTGACTATTGGACAGGCATGCAGAGATCCTCCTCCCATATAGGCCATGCTCTAATGTGTCCCCTCAGCCAGAAGCAGCAGAGAGAAGGACTGAACTGGATATATTAATAAAATGATCAAAAATCTTTTCTGTAAAGGGTTGAAAGGGGGAGGGACAGTCCTCTGTTACAAACCTAACTATACAATTGTGTAGAGGAACCCATATCAAGAGGAAGACATTGAATTACCTGACCCCACAAACCTCATTCCTATGAATGTTGAAAGTAATTAACTGTATTAAAACATTGAAGCTAACATTAGTCAGTTAGAGCTTATTCTGGCTCCTACTTGCCTCCTTTTCTAGCTTTATTCCTTATTAGCTTGCCATTCTTAAGCCTTACAGAACATTCCAGGTACTGCACTGGGTTACTCCTGAGGGTATTCTGCACCAAAACATTTAAAATTCTGCCCCCCAAAATTTAAAATTCTGCACATAATATTTTAAAGTTCTGCAAATTTTATTTCTCAATAAATAAATGTGGAGGCTCCACCATAACAATGGGGAGCACAGGCCACTGACTGCACAGAGATAGGAGATCACCCTGCGCCTCCCCTCCTCTGGACATGGACTGACGGAAAAGTTGCACCCGACCCTCACACAGCACAAGGACCAGGACTTTCCCAGAAACACCCCAGGGCCCTGCCCCTCTTTGCCAAGCACACTAGATGTAGGTAGGCAGGCTCAGCCCAGCAGTATCCAAGTATGGAGGGGCTAAGTGTAGGGAGATCCAGGTGTGGGGCAATAGGATTCTGTGTGGGGCAATCTGGGTACAGGCAGCTTGGTGGGGGGGTGCAGGTGCGAGGGAGACGGAGATGAACAGAGGCTTGGGGGGGAGGTTTAATTGCGGGGGGTGGGGGTGGGGTCTGAGTGCAGGGAGGTGATGCTCGGCAGCAGGGAGGTCTGGGTGCAAGGGGGCTCCAGGTGCAGAAGGTGAGGCATGTCAGGGTGTGGGTTCTGGATGCACAGGGTGAGAGTTGGCGGGGTTGGGGTAATCTGGGTATGAGATGGGTCCAGAAGCACAGGGGTTGGCGAATGGGGGAGCAGCTCCCTGTACAGTGACCCCGCTCCCCCATGACTGAGTAGTGATGGGGGCAGGAAGGGGGCATGTGCAGTGCTTCTTGCAGCCGGAGAGGCTTCCGGCAGTGGGTCTGACACAGCCCTGGATGCTCCTTGCAGGAGAAGAGGAAGTCCCGTCCTCCCCAGCCCAGCCAAGACTAGGGTGAGGCACAGGGTAGGAGCAACTGGCTGGGACATCCCCAACCCCCCCACCCTCAGTGATTTACTACTCTATTGGCTACTCCGGGTGCCCAAAACAATGCACCCGCGCGCTGCTGGAGAGTAGTGCATGACCGCTTTTTGCAGCTTCCCTTTGCTTCCAGTTCAGAAAGTCATTTTTCTCCAGAGAAGCAAGGAAATCTGTGCATGCGCAGAATTCCCCAAGGAGTAACTGGATAAATGTTACCAGTCACACCTATTATGCAATGCTGCTCTGACAGCATTATCTACTCCTTATTAAAGTTTTCTAGTGTGCCCATTGCTGTAGTATCTAAATGCCTGAACACACATTTGGAAGGGCCACTCCTTTTATCCAGGTTATCATTATTTGGCTTTCACCCCCTCACCGTGTGTGGGAGAAACTGAGGAACAAGCCCTTGCCAACTGTTACAAAGACATCTCTTAATAGTACTCAAATTCAACCTGTCTCAAGCCAGTTAAAGCAGTGCACACGTATATACAATATTCCCATACTGAGTAAAATCCCGGATGAAGTTTCTCCATTGATTTCATTGGGGTCAGGATTTAATCTTATTTTTAATAAATATATAGACACACCTGAGACTGCCTCAAGCAATCAACTAAAAGATGGACTACAAGCCATCAGGAACTGTATCCCTGATAATGTCATGGCAAACCTGGTGGCTGAACTTTGAGACTTTGTCCTCACCCTTAACTATTTCACATTTGGGGACAACGTATACCTTCAAATCAGCGGCACTGCTATGGGTACCCACATGGCCCCACAGTATGCCAACATTTTTATGGCTGACTTAGAACAACGCTTCCTCAGCTCTCGTCCCCTAATGCCCCTGCTCTGCTTGCGCTACATTGACGACATCTTCATCATCTGGACCCACAGAAAAGAAGCCCTTGAAGAATTCCACGAGTTCAACAATTTCCATCCCACCATCAACCTCAGCCTGGACCAGTCCGCACAAGAGATCCACTTCCTGGGCACTACGGTGCTAATAAGCGATGGTCACATAAACACCACCCTATACCGGAAACCTACTGACCGCTAAGCCTACCTACATGCCTCTAGCTTTCATCCAGATGACACCACACGATCCATCGTCTACAGCCAAGCTCTACGATACAACCGCATTTGCTCCAACCCCTCAGACAGAGACAAACACCTACAAGATCTCTATCAAGTGTTCTTACAACTACAATACTCACCTGCTGAAGTAAAGAAACAGATTGACAGAGCCAGAAGACTACCCAGAAGTCACCGACTACAGGACAGACCCAACAAAGAAAATAACAGAACGCCACTAGCCATCACCTTCAGCCCCCAACTAAAACCTCTCCAACGCATCATCAAGGATCTACAATCCATCCTGAAGGACGACCCATCACTCTCACAAAGCTTGGGAGATAGGCCAGTCCTTGCTTACAGACAGCCCCCACAACCTGAAGCAAATACTCACCAGCAACCGCACACCACACAACAAAACCACTAAACCAGGAACCTATCCTTGCAACAAAGCCCATTGCCAACTGTGTCCACATATCTATTCAGGGGACACCATCAAAGGGCCTAATCACATCAGCCACACTATCAGAGGCTCGTTCACCTGCACATCTACCAATGTGATATATGCCATCATGTGCCAGCAATGCCCCTCTGCCATATACATTGGTCAAACTGGACAGTCTCTACGTAAAAGAATAAATGGACACAAATTGGATGTCAAGAATTATAACATTCAAAAACCAGTCAGAGAACACTTCAATCTCTTGGGTCACTCGATTACAGACCTAAAAGTGGCAATTCTTCAACAAAAAACTTCAAAAACAGACTCCAAGGAGAGACTGCTGAATTGGAATTAATTTGCAAACTGGATACAATGAACTTAGGCTTGAATAAAGACTGGGAGTGGATGTGTCATTACACAAAGTAAAACTATTTCCCCATGTTTACTCCCCCCCGCCCACTACTGTTCCTCACACGTTCTTGTCAACTGCTGGAAATGGCCCACCTTGATTATTACTACAAAAGGTTTTTCCCTCTCCTGCTGGTAATAGCTCACCTTACCTGATCACTCTGGTTACAGTGTGTATGGTAACACCCATTGTTTCATGTTCTCTGTGTATATAAATCTCCCCACTGTATTTTCCACTGCATGCATCCGATGAAGTGAGCTGTAGCTCACGAAAGCTTATGCTCAAATAAATTGGTTAGTCTCTACCACAAGTACTCCTTTTCTTTTTGCGAATACAGACTAACACAGCTGCTACTCTGACACTGGTAAGTATCTGGAAAGTTTTAGATTGCAGAGTTCACCCAAAGGATTTTGATGTTTCATTTACTGTGCCACAGCTTATGTGGGGATTTAATTTTTAAAAAAATATATATTCTGTAATTATTCTTCCTTTGTCAGGGTCTGCATTTTTCACATAAAAATAAGGAAGCCAGTTAAACAGAAATTAAAGGGTGCAGTCACAAGAGTGAAATACCTGCAATCTGCAGAAACTTTTTAAAAATACCATCATAGAGGCTCAAATTAAATGTATATCCCCATTAAAAAAAAACAAAACATAGTAAGAGGACCAAAAAATGTTCCACCAGGGTTAAACAACAGAGTAGAAAAAGCGGTTAGAGGCAAAAAGGCATCCTTTAAAAATTGGAAGTCAAATCCTACTGAGAAAAATAGAAAGGAACATAAAATCTGGCAAGTCAAGTGTGAAAGTATAATTAGGCAGGCCAAAAAAGAATTTGAAGAGCAACGAGCAAAGGACACAAAAACTAACAGCAAAATAAAATAAAATAAAATAAAAAATTAAATAAATCAAAAGGAGGAAGCCAGCCAAACAATCAATCGAAACACTTGAAGAAAACAAGGCCATTGCGGAGAAGCTAAATGAATTCTTTGCATTGGTCTTCACTGTAGAGGATGAGAGGGAGATTCCTACACCTGAGCCATTCATTTTAGGTGACAAATCGGAGGAGGTGTCCCAGACTGAGATGTCAATAGAGGAAGTTTTGGAACAAATTGGTAAATTAAACAGTACTAAGTCACCAGGACCAAATGGTATTCACCCAAGAGTTCTGAAGGAACTTAAATATGAAATTGTGGTACGTAACCTATCACCTAAATCAGCTTACATACCAGATGACAGAAGGATAGCTAATGTGACTCCAATTTTTAAAAAAGATTCCACAGGCAATCCTGCCAATTTCAGGCCAGCAAGCCTAACTTCAGTACCAGGCAAATTGGCTGAGACTATAGTAAAGAAAAGAATTACCAGACATGTAAAGGAACAGAATTTGTTGGGGAAGAGTCAACATGGCTTTTGTAAACAGAAATCATGCCTCATCAATCTATTATAATTCTTGAGGGGGTCAAACAAACATGTGGACAAGGGTGATCCGTGGATATAGTGTACTTTGACTTTCAAAACATCTTTGACAAAGTCCCTCATCAAAGGCTCTTAAGGAAAGTAAGCCGTCATGGGGTAAGAGGGAAGGTCCTTTTGTGGATCAGTAACTGGTTAAATACAAGAAACAAAGGGTAGCAATAAATGGTCAGTTTTCAGAAAGGAAAGAGGTAAATAGTGGTGTCCCCTAGGGGTCTGTACTGGGACCAGTGCTGTTCAACATGTTCATAAATGAGCTGGAAAAGGGGGTAAACAGTGAGGTGGAAAAATTGGCAGATGAACAAAATTATTCAAGATAATTAAGTCCAAAGCAGACTGCGAACAGTTACAAAGGGATCTCACAAAACTGGGTGACTGGGCAACAAAATGGGAGATGAAATTCAATGTTGATAAATGCAAAGTAATGCACACTGGAAAACATACAAAATGATGGGGTCTAAATTAGCTGTTACCACTCAAGAAAAAGATCTTGGAGTCATTGTGGATAGCTCTCTGAAAAAATGCACTCAATGTGCAGCAGCTGTCAAAAAAAGCAAACAGAATGTTAGGTACCATTAGGAAAGGGATAGATAATAAGACAGAAAATGTCATAAAATAAATCCATGCTACGTTCACAGTTCTGGTCGCACCACCTCAAAAATGCTATATTAGAATATAAGTCTATAAACTCATAAATCATGTGGAGAAAGTGAATAAGGTAGTAGTATTTACCCCTTCACATAGCACAAGAACCAGGGGTCACCCATGAAATTAATAGGCAGCAGGTTTAAAAAAACAAAAGGAAGTACTACTTCACACAATGCACAGTCAACCTGTGGAACTCACTACCAAGGGATGTTGTCAAGGCCAAAACTATAATGAGGTTCAAAAATAATTCGATAAGTTGAGGGAGAATAGGTCCATCAATGTCTATTAGCCAAGATGATCAGGGACGCAACCCCATGCTCTGGATGTCCGAAGCTTTTAACTGACAGAAGCTGGGAGTGGATGACAGGGAATGGATCACTCAATAATTTCTTTGTTGTTTCATTCCCTCTGAAGCATCTGGCATTGGCCTCTCTCGGAAGACAGGATATTGGGCTAGATGAACCAGTGATCTGACCTAGTGTGGCCGTTCTTATGTTCAGTGAAAAACAAGCCAGAACAGAGTGAGCCCTTCGGAACTGCCACAATGGGAATGTTCAAGAAGACAAGGTTGTGTCAACAGAGCTATTGAACACTAAGTCCACAAATTATATAATATGTATTCTCCAGTACAGTCTCTCTCCATATGTGCGGTCGTTATTTTACTAAGAAAGGTAGGATATTTTAGCCTCCGCAAACATACAAAGGTATTAATTTACATCACTCACCAGTGGTTTACAAAAGGAGTGTCTGAAAGTAGCAGCTGGGGGGGTCAGAAAACTGTACTGTGAAGGGGGGAGGAAACAACCCTTTTGGTTTAAGATCTAATTCACTGCTACATGTAATTTCTGCTCAGATGAAATATCAGTTATCAGGTTATTTATTTATGAAAAAAGGAAAAAATGGAGACGAGTTTCAAACCGCAAGTGCCAACAGTGCTGCTCTTTGACACTAGAGAAACATTTACAAACCAAGGACAATGAAAAGTGAACATTTGACTCAGAAAATAACATTTTACAGTGAAAGTTTCATGTCTGGAGGAATGAAGAACCAGTTTCTCCAAGCGTATTTCATAATAGTAGCATCTCACACCTGAGAAATACAGCCTAACGGGGAGACTGGTGATGTGTGGAAGTCGATAGGTTGAAGTGACATGCAGTCGTGTGTTGAGAGCTGTGGGTAGGGACTCTAACTCACAACAGAGCAGCCAAAACATCCCTCCAGTGAAGTCTGATTTGATTTTAAGAGTGTACTTTAGAAAGTTGCCATGTGCAATTATTCTGTTCTTTACCGTGAGTTCCTGTTTGATGCACTCAATCGTGGCCTCGAGAGCTCTTGTGCCTCGAGTGGCTTCATCTTCAACTGCTTTAACAGTCTTCAGAAGTGATGTGACATTGGTTACCATCACCTGAAACGGGGAGATGGAGAGATGAAAATACATCATTTGCTTCTCCCACATTTAGGAGACACACCCACATGATTCAAGGAACATCAAGCTATGAAGCCATTATTAATCCTTTCAGGGAACAACAAGCTTTAAATACAATATGGATTAAACAGCTAAGAGTGAACTCTATAGACAGGCTTTTATTTTTGAATGATCCCTACTGAACTTAGATTGATACAGCCAGATTCACTGAGTAGTGGGGCTTTCCTAAACATGAGTGCATGGGGTCACAACTTGCCCGGGCCTCGGCATAAAACTTTTTCAACCCCAGTGTCTCTGGGTTGCTAGTACAGCCCTTTTAACCCTCTAAGCTTCCTCTCAGAACACTAGTCTGTGAGTATCAGGTGAACCTGGATGCTTTTCCTAACTATTTCGAGGGCCCTGCAGATCTCTTGCAAACTGACCAATTGACTCTGCTGCTGATTTCTGGGTTTGAAAAACCACTAAACTTCACTTAACCAAAGTAAACAAAACAAACGTCCCAATAGCATTCAGTACCCCTCTACTTTGTGCTCCCACAGGGAAAGCATGATCTTACAAGGACCCAGCGGTGCTTCCCTTCCTAACCCTAGTATAGTTCCCAACCCCTCTCTCCGGGATCCTGTTCCCTCTCTCCTCAGGACCAAAGTGATCACTTGTTAGATTCAATCCCCCAAAATTCCAAACAGGCAGTCTGGGTGGAACGCCTCTCCAGGAGTCCAAGCGTCTGTGTCTCTGGGCACTCCTCGGCATGTCTTTATGCAATAACATACCTCATCCTGCAATTTTGCTTAACAGCACTTACGCTATAACATTACCTCTCATATAATTTCAAATTAACAGAGTCCCTTCTCCACATCTGGTATGAATTGTCTACAGAAAGATGAAAAGTCAATAGGTTTCTAACATATAGAAACTAGTGCCCTCTTCTTTGCCTCCATTACCACACACACGCAAGACTATAACCTCAAAAAACCTTGTCAGAGACCAGGCTCATTATTTACTAATTTGTGAAATGCCACTATTACGTTCTCTTGGCACAGTTTGTAAAACCACAATTAAACACACAACTGCCATCATCAATTGAAAAGAAGTCAACCAGCTCCCAGGAAATCAACCCAAACCTTGATTTAACAACTTCCCCCTCAGGAAAAGGCTGAGTCAATACTGTAGCTAGCCTTGCCTTATGCCCTGATGGTCAAATACTGGTTCCAAAATACAAAGTAAGCAAGTAAGGAAGGGCATATCTTCCCTCCAGCCTGTAGATGTACAAATGCTCTCGTGACAGCACCTAAGCCCATCTCAGATCTTCGGATGGAACACAAGGAGCTTTCAGATAACCAGGATTCAAATCACATTGAGCTCTGTAAAGCAAAGGGAACCAGCTAAGGAAGCAGACACTGTTTTGTAGTAGGTGAACTTTGCATGGTCTTTGATGAGTGCCCCCTCACAGAATGCATCGCAGTAATCCAATCTGAGGCACTGATCACTGCAGGTCCACATTTGATGGGAAAGGGCAAAATCTCTTTGCCAAGCAAATGCGTAAAAGTCACTTTGACGACCCGATCATCTGGAAGTAGATCCAATACTGCCCAAATTTCAGCATCTCAAAGCACTTTACAACCATTAAGCCCCAAGAACCCTGTGAAGCAAGTTTCACAGAGATCTCAGATGTGGGAAAACTGAAGCACAAAGAGGTGACACAATAAAACAGTGGCAGAAGCTGTCCAAATCCTGTGCTCTGACCAATAGACACTTCCACTTAGAAGCACAGCCTGGGAGAAATGCAATCAAAGTACACTACATTTTAAAGAAAGCCTGTTTGAGATCTCCAGACCACTTTCTAAAAGCTGAAAGGTCCAAGTTAGCATCTTAACAGCTGGATGCTTATACTGTGGACTTCTTATTACTTGTTCATTACCCTTGCTATAGGATTCAAGTACACATTTTTATAAGGTAAACTTTTGTTTCGTAGCCTGAATATACCAGGGACTTCCATCCTCCCTCCAGACACATATGCTTGCAGAGTGACAGAGGTACCTGACAGAAGGAATATAACTCTTTAACTAGCTGTGGTGAGATGACTAAGAAAACTGGTATTATGTTTACAGGCACTGAGATGAATGATACTATCCAGCTTTCCATCAATCATCTAGTTTAAGTTAGTAGGATACAGATGAAACAGAAGGAAAATAAGAGACTGAAGTGAACCAGAATTCACTGCCACCAGTCTTTAGGATTCTAGCAACAAAGTGATGCTAGCTGTTTCTTTAAATAAACATCAAAGCAAACAGCAGGGAATAAGCAAAGGAATGTTTTCAACTTTCATAACAGAAGCTGAGATAACCTCTAAACTTCTCTAAAAGGGAGAGATATCGCACTACCTACCTTAGCTGCACCTTTGAGCTGGTACATTGATGGATCATCTGCTGGTTTGCTAGCAGCTCCTTTTGTAGCACCAATGAGATCAGAAAGGGCCTTAGCAACATCCTTAATAGCATTGATCAGTACAACCTACGAGAATGAGAAATTTGGATGCGAGGTTAGTGCAATCACAACTCACCTCAGCCCATAGATGGAAGATTTGGGCAGGCTGTACACTGAAGGAGTCTGCTAAGCACAGGGCAAATGTTGGTACACAATGTTAAGAGAGAAAAAGATACTGTATGCACAAATGCTAAAAAAGCAACACGTAGTTTCCTGCATAAAATAAAGCTGTGTTCATCTGTACGGTATTTTATACTATGTTCAGAATCCGATTCAGCTACTGTCTCCTGTAATTAAATGGTTCTCGAAGGAGGATTTCTCTTTCCCATCATGTTCCCAAAGAAGGGCTTATTCACCTCTGTGTTCTGTTCAGCATGGGAATAGAATGGGAGCAGTTTAAACAGGGTACGAACTTACAGCTTGATCCTCCCTTAGAGAATGACCCCATTTACTGTGACATCAGCTACTATTCTGACAGACGTAAGCAGATCAATCATACTTAGTATACCCTGGACATAAGGGAAACAGTCCATTTCAGGGAAAAGGAAGTTTTATGTAGCCTAGTCTCCTAAGAGCCCCCAAGGAACTAAATGATGAATGACTTGCCTGAGGTTAGAGTCAGCAGCAGTCAAATTGAAGTAAATTGCCTCCCAAACCAAGTACTGGGGAAAAAAAGTCTATTATGCCCCTCTCCATGAGCACACTAATTATTTCCAAGAAACATCAGAATAACTCTCTCCCCCAGCATCTTTTCCCCCACTCTCTTCTCATCTGCTGAGTGGTCAGATACCTTCAACCTTTTGCTTTGGTTTAGTGATATCAGCACAATTGTACCCTTTTTCAAAGCGAAAACATGCATGGAAAATGGGATAGCGCCGAAAGAAAAAAAAAAAGATATATGGATCTATTACTTCTCAGTAATGGATAGGAAATAAAAAGTTTAGCACTGCCTTGGTTCAGCCTGTTTGCAGTTTATTACAATCTATGGCCAAGTTAGAATCTTTGCTTTCTTGTAAAAACTTATTCAAGCTTTGGTAACTCAGAACCTCTTTGATCAGCAACGAGGAAAAGACAAGACCCTAAAGACCTAATGTAGATTGGTGCAGCTCTCGCTTCTTTATCTGGCTTTGTTACAGAACAGTGGCAACACACACACACTTTTCATGCTTCTGTGGCTTCAGCAGCCTGAGTAAAATGAGCTTTTAACTTATATGGAAAAGTTACATTTTGTATTTTCACACCTTGTGCAGAAGCTATTGAAAATGTCTGTACCTTAAGACACACACTACACTTAAAACTAGAATTTGAACTCCTTCCTCCACCCCCACTATGGATTATCACACCACATATAGAAGTTGTACAAATAAATAATTGCTTGTGCGGTGTGGTTTTTACTGGCAAACCGGTATTGTCAGCCTTTACTTGACGACAAAGTCAGAAAATGTAATAAATACTTAAAATTCCTCAGTGTTGCTAGTTGGAAATATGAAGTTATCAAAAAATGGCTCCTGAAGCAAACATTTTCAGTTTCAAAAATATTCCCCCACAGAAGAATGCTCTGGAAGTTGACACTGGAACAAAGATCATATGTGAGGTCAAAGAGGAGACTGACATACGCATTTTTTCCAGTGCCTCAAACAATCAGACATTTTCAAATTAATTTACTAACACAGACACATCTACAGTGCACACACCAGCGCACATTTCACTAGGATTCAAACAATTAAATGTTTAATTGAATCGACTTTGAAGAATTAAATGACTTAAAAGAGTAAAATAATCCAGGCATATCTGTGAAGTTCTAGCATACTGTTCATACCATACCATACCAACAACAGGTGTTTACCTTGGTCTTAAACTCAGTGAAAAGCTTTCTCGCAGTGAAATCAATTAAACTATGGGATAGTCTCCTAAAGGAAGCCCCATGATGAGCCATTTAAAAACAAGGCATTGGAGAATATTCTTGCAAAAAAAAAAAAATTCCAAAACTGGTGGGGGAGGGGCTAGACATCCTATACCAAGTCTTGTCCAGTTTTGCAGCATTATTTTTCGAAGAAGGGAGGTGCCTGATTAAACCGCAAATCATTCAAGAGAGGCAGTGCAAGGTTTGTGCTATTTGTGGGTAAAATTTTCATAAGTGCCTAACTGATTTGGAAGCCTCAGTTCCACGGAAAGAAACTTTAAAAAAAATTACACTGTACCTCCAGACTTCTCACTTCTGTGATATTCTCCATGTCTTTAAACACTAAAAACATTGGTCTATTTTCTGCTCCTGCAGCCCCTCCTACCTGAGTTTCAGGGTCATCTGATCCCAAACTGGCTGCTCCCAGTTTTACCACCTCTGCCAGTTGTGTGATGGTGGAAGCCGATGACTGAGCTGCTTGGGCTAGTTTATCCTGACTTGAGGCAGCCCCAGACACGAGCAATTTTGTATCTTCAACTAAAGCTTTTGCTGTTTTCAGGATATTTTCCCTGGGGAAAAAAGGGAAGCAGGAGAGGGGAAAGAGAGAAGAGAAAAAAAACCACACAGCTATTCAACATTGTCCTGACTAACAGAGAAAGTGCTACGTAGACAAAGGGCTCTATGTAGGTCAGCATACCAGTGTCTACTAGTGATAATCCTAGCTACAACGCCAAAGTCAGGTTGCAATTCCCACTTAGAACAGATGCACTACGTTTCAGGTTGTCAACACACCAGACTCAGGATGACTCAATGAAATGACTTCCTCTTGAAAGGAAATGAGATATGGGAATAGGGAGAGGGAGGGAGCACTGGGTCCTAATGTGGAGAGATTAAGCCGAGCCATTGTATAACTACCAGTTGTCAAACCTCCACCAGCATGTTCTGTGGAAAAGAAAATAAGGATTTGTGGGGGAGGATGAGAAAGGGAGAAGCTGCAGGAAACAGGACTGATTCATATCTTTTTTTTTCCTTCTTCACATAAACTCTTTAGGCAGACAAATCTAAAACATTTCAACCCCCTGCCCCCATATTCTGGGGAAAGTCAATCCAGTCAACTATTGTGAGTACTGAACTTCATAAAAAAGGTTAGAAAACAAAAGTGAAGGGTTGAGAGCTGCCAGGCCCACAGCCCTTATGCTTTACTGAACTTAAAAAGAGTAAGCCTAGAAATAAACAAAACGTGCACAAAACCCAGCAACTGGAATTCTCAGGATTGCTAGATATAGTGGAAGGAAAAACGTGTAACTTCTTTAAACAAGGATTTAAAAGTGTGATGTTAGCACATTAGCAATGTATGGTAACACACATTAAAAATCTGGTCTAGACAAGGCACACTGCAATGCACAACTGGTTGAGTTTAAGTACAGGTGCTCTTCTAGGATTTATCTTGACCAGTTTAACATATATTCAAGGCAAACACATGCTAACATCATACCTTTAAACTCTAGTTTAAACAAGGCCTGTGGTAAGATAACTCATGAGAGCATATGAGTTGGAAAGTACATTTCTTTTTATAGAAATGGGGCAATCTTCAATTATGTTGGAAGTGCACAGTATTAAATCCATATATTCAGAGTTTGGAAAAATCTGCTCTTACATAGCAGCTGTTTCATGCATACTCTCTTACTCCAATTACTCATTTAGGGAAAAGGAAATCAAAATGATTATCCAGCTTTACTGAAAAAGGATCAATTTCTGCACTTCCCACAGCAATTAAAGATTAGAAAACACAGATACAATGCAAAAAGCAGGTAATACCTTTTGAATTCAAAGAGACAGCAGACAGCAATTTGTTTGTTTGCTTTAATTAGAATTGAATTATGTTTTATAATGCAATATCCAAAACATACTGGGAGTGGATGGATCATTACACAAAGTAAAACTATTTCTCCATGTTTATTCCCCACCGCCCAATGTTCCTCAGACGTTCTTGTCAACTGCTGGAAATGGCACACCTTGATTATCTTTACAAAAGGTTTTCTCCCCCCCCATTCCCCCGCCTGCTCTCTTGCTGGTATTAGCTCATCTTAAGTGATCAAAGAAAAGGAGTACTTGTGGCACCTTAGAGACTAACCAATTTATTTGAGCATGAGCTTTCGTGAGCTACAGCTCACTTCATCGGATGCATACCGTGGAAACTGCAATGGACATTATATACACACAGAGACCATGAAACAATACCCCCTCCTACCCCACTGTCCTGCTGGTAATAGCTTATCTAAAGTGATCATCAAGTCGGGCCATTTCCAGCACAAATCCAGGTTTTCTCACCCTCCCCCCCCCCCCCCCCCACAAACTCACTCTCCTGCTGGTAATAGCCCATCCAAAGTGACCACTCTCTTCACAATGTGTATGATAATCAAGGTGGGCCATTTCCTGCACAAATCCAGGTTCTCTCACCCCCTCACCCCCCTCCAAAAACCACACACACAAACTCAATCTCCTGCTGGTAATAGCTTATCCAAAGTGACCACTCTCCCTACAATGTGCATGATAATCAAGGTGGGCCATTTCCAGCGTAAATCCAGGTTTTCTCACCCCCCAACCCCCATACACACACAAACTCACTCTCCTGCTGGTAATAGCTCATCCAAAGTGACCACTCTCCCTACAATGTGCATGGTAATCAAGGTGGGTCATTTCAAGCACAGATCCAGGCTTTCTCACCCCCCCTCCGCCGCCCTCCGGGAACACACACACACACACACACACACATGAACTCACTCTCCTGCTGGCAATAGCTCATCCAAACTGACCACTCTCCAAGTTTAAATTCAAGTTTAACCAGAACGTCTGGGGGGGGGGGGGGGGGAGGAAAAAGCAAGGGGAAATAGGCTACTTTGCATAATGACTTAGCCACTCCCAGTCTCTATTTAAGCCTAAATTAATAGTATCCAATTTGCAAATGAATTCCAATTCAGCAGTTTCTCGCTGGAGTCTGGTTTTGAAGTATTTTTATTGTAAGATAGTGACCTTCATGTCGGTGATTGCGTGACCAGAGAGACTGAAGTGTTCTCCGACTGGTTTATGAATGTTATAATTCTTGACATCTGATTTGTGTCCATTTATTCTTTTACGTAGAGACTGTCCAGTTTGACCAATGTACATGGCAGAGGGGCATTGCTGGCACATGATGGCATATATCACATTGGTGGATGTGCAGGTGAACGAGCCTCTGATAGTGTGGCTGATGTTATTAGGCCCTGTGATGGTGTCCCCTGAATAGATATGTGGGCACAGTTGGCAACGGGCTTTGTTGCAAGGATAGGTTCCTGGGCTAGTGGTTCTGTTGTGTGGTATGTGGTTGTTGGTGAGTATTTGCTTCAGGTTGCGGGGCTGTCTGTAGGCAAGGACTGGCCTGTGTAGGAAAAAGCAAGGGGAAATAGGCTACCTTGCATAATGACTTAGCCACTCCCAGTCTCTAGTGATCACTCTCCTTACAGTGTGTATGATAACACCCATTGTTTCATGTTCTCTGTGTATATAAATCTCCCCACTGTATTTTCCACTGAATGCATCCGATGAAGTGAGCTGTAGCTCACGAAAGCTTATGCGCAAATAAATTGGTTAGTCTCTAAGGTGCCACAAGTCCTCCTTTTCTTTTTGCGGATACAGACTAACACGGCTGTTACTCTGAAACCTGACAAAATGTACTGAGTTTTTAAATCTCTGGACCCTGTTTGAGCTCTTTGCTTATCTCTCTCCTTCTCAAACAAGATTGCTATTTTTAACAGCAAAAGTAAGTTTTGAGATACAATATTAAGATTTATTGTAAGGAGGAGAAACTGTTCAACAACTGTACATGGACACCACACTGTTGCTTTGTGGGTAGGGGGGCACCCCAACCTGTGTTTATACATACACACTTTGCATACTCCATTTAAGCCTCTGCATAAAGGCTTTCCCTTCCCTTAGCAAGTAACCTCTAGACGTCCCTTCAGAGAAGTGATCGGCTCGGTAACAAAGTAAGGAATGTGGAACGAAATTACTGCTAATCATCACTGCTCAGCCTTTTTGTCTATTTTTGCATTCCAACGTTCAGCTCTTTGAAGCAGGACCTTGTCTTCACACTTGTCACACAGCATTTAACACACTTACTATTTGATGATAAAAATGAATCATAACTCTTAGTGTATAAAGCTGCAATAATTTGGGCTGCATTGCACTTTTCATACTCCCAAAGCCACTGGCACAGCACTGAGTTAAATGATGGCAGTATAGGCCAATTGTGCTGTTAAGCAACAGCTCACCGTCTTGACCACTAGAACCAGGTTTTTAATATGAGGGGAATAATGGCCTGGATGCTCCAAATCTCTCATTCTATATCAGACGTTATCAGAAGGAATCCTGTGTCATCATCTCACCAAATAGGGTGACCAGACAGCAAGTGTGAAAAATCGGGACGGGGGTGGGGGGTAGTAGGCGCCAATATAAAACAAAGCCCCAAATATCAGGACTGTCCCTATAAAATCGGGACATTTGGTCACCCTATCACCAAATGACAACATGATTGACACTCCAGCATCTCTTCCATTAATAATCTCCAACATCAGCAGAGGGCAAGTGCATTTAGTAACCCAGGAAGAAAAAGCCATGAAGTAAAAAACAAGTCTCGCAAAAAACATCGGAAAACTATTTCTCTTTGAATTCATGGACAGTTAATTATTCAAACTAGGATCACAGTGTAACATAATCAGTAAGAATGAAATATAGAAATGGATTTATTAAAAAATTTCGATAAAACTGATCTTTGAGGTTTTCTTTTGAAACAGTTGAGAATGATCCAGCTGTTTCTTAAAATTTCCTCTCCCACATAAATGGGCAAAATGAAATTTGCTTTTACTATACAGGCTACTTTATCTAGCTTTTGAAGCGCTGACCCCAACCCTTTCCTATTTCTCTCTCACCCCTCTGCTCATCTGGCTTCATTATTAGGGGTTTGAAAAGGCAGGAAAAACTGCATCTCCACCCCCTCTTGTTTGCCATTAGCAGGACATTTATCTATTGCCCCCACCCCCTTGTTGCAGCCAGCCCCCTCCACCAGCTTTTTCGGTATCACTGACCTGTGATCCGCAAATGATTCATTGTTCTCAGCATTAAGGGTTCCAGCTGTAGCAAACATGATAGTTGTGTCCAGATCTGCAATTATCCCCGACACAGCACTAGCTGCAGTGATACAAGCCTGAGTACCTTTGTTTCCTGCTTGAAGGGCAGACAGAACTAAGGAAACCTGGAACAGGAAAATAAAAAAGAGGGTCACACTAAAACAAAGCATAATGAACTGATTTCTGAGTTAAACGAACTCCTGTGATGAAAATCAACAGGTGCAATTCATTTTGTGATCTCATTTCACAATCTACAAAAAACCTCTCCCTTTCCCTTCCCCTGTCTGCTCTATCTGCACATTAGCAGGTTTGATTAGTTTTTCCACAGAAGGAAGCCTGCTATTGGCATTTGTCTTTCACCGTAGGAAAAGGCTGTCTCCTGATCAAGCAGGATACACAATAAATGAGCAGATCACGGAGGCCTTAACTGCATCTGCTCTGCATATAAATAATGACACTCTGCAATCAATAGTGTAAGCACTCATCTTCCATAATATCTAAATGAAAGGAAAAGCTTTCCCCAGCTACAATAAATAAGAATTCCAATTATCCTACAGTACTCTGCACAGTCAATAAAGGAGCTTGGTGCATTTATTTCAGTGTCACAATTACTTTTCAGCAATCTACGGTGCTGCCCAGTAACATGATCACAAGGATGACTGATGCAGCCGATGACTGAAGCGCTTGGCAACTCAACTTTGTCACACAGCTTGTTTAAAAGACAAATCTCTGCTGTCACACACTACACAGCTCTTCCCACTCTTCCGCGTCAGTGATATAGTGATCTCCCCATCCCTGATTCAGAATAAAGAACCCAACCCTAAATGCTGGCACAATAAACAAGTCCATATTGGGAGACTATGCCAAGAAGTTAAGAGGTGCAGTAGTTGCTCCATTTTCCCTTAGGGGGTATTCATTTAATAGCAGTACTGCAGCCACCCTCTCAAAACAGATCACAACATCACCTTGATATTTTATGTCAAACTACAGTGTGTCTTGCAAATAGAGAGGAACAGTTTGTAACTTCTGTTAGTTATTCTGGCTTAGCAACATGGCAGACACTGGGAATTTGGGCTCCCAAGAGTGGATATGTAAGAGCTGCAATACCACCCTTTATCCCAAATGACTTGTTTGGAATATCTATGTATCAGATCCACTGAAATTAAGCTACTGTTGGGAAGGGAAGCCACAGCCAAGTGAACAAGTGACACACACTAACAGGAGAAAGATGGCGGGGGAGGGGATGAACCTTGGCCAAGAGCTATAGGGCAAACAGCATCTCATGGGAAGCGTCACTGGCTCTTGAATTTTAACACTCTGCTAAGAGCCACCCACTGCTAGCTACACAGTGTTCACAGTGTACCTGCCTCAAAATGATGAAATCTGAGAAAACCCCATCATAATTTAAGTAAAGTATAAAATATAACACGATCCAGTAGCTGGAAATCGAAGCTAGACAAATTCAGACTAGAAATCAGGCATAAATTTTTAACGGTGAGCGTAATTAACCATTGGAACAATTTAACCAAGGGTCATGGAGGATTCTCCATCACTGACAACTGTTAAATCAAGACTGGATTTTTTTTTTTTACAAGATCTGCTCTAGGAATTATTTTGGGGAAGTTCTATGACTTCTGATATGCAAGAGCTCAGACTAGATGATCACAATGATCCCTTCTGAATCTATGAGACAACAAGGGACATCTTACCTTTTCAGTGACAGCACGAGCACATTCTATCAACTCCCTCTTGGTGTAGCTGTCCGTAGGGCAAATCTGTAGAGCTCCAGCTTTCTGTGCTAGAAAGATACATCCATGACCAAGATCCTGTACCCGAGTCCTGATCTGGAATCCTATCTAGATAGGCAACAAATTGTGGGGAAGGGGAAATAGGAGACAAAGAAGGTGCTTAGAATGTTGAGGCTTTGAATAAATGGAAACATTGTAAAACACAATTTTTGTTGCAAATATTTGCCCACCAGTACCGTTCCTGCAAAGATCAGAAATAAGGGCCAGATTCTGACATCCCTTATTCACGCTAAGTAGCATCTTAATCCACAAGTGGTCCCCTCGACTTCAATGGGACTACTCATGGAGGAGGAATACTATTTGATCTGAGCTAGGGGATCAAAATCTGGCCATGTCTTATGCAATTAGCATAGGGAATTTACCCAGATCTAATGTAGCCATTTCTAAAAGATAGTAGAAACATCACAAAAATGTGTACGCCTCCGTGTTGCAATATTTCTTTGCCCAAGATATAAAGCAAAAATGAACTGCTTGTTCTCAGTGTGAGCTGACCTCAAGGCATACAGGCTCCTCCTCAACTCTGATCAAACTAGGTTGAGGAGTATGTAAGTTTAGTTCTGAGTATCTCAGTTTCAGTCACAGATGAATCTAGCACAAGTTCTTGGCTATTCATTTATTCTCCAATACTTAGCACAACCCTATAAAATAGCCAAACCTATACTTACCTCTAAATGCATCACGATTTCAGATTTACTATTAATCTTGAAATGGAGTATAGCAGTGTGGTCTGAGAAACATGAACCAATGCTAGTTTTAGTACTGCTACACATGTTTACATATAATTGTGTGTGTATTCTGGTTAATACGTAAGTAGGAACTGCAGCTATTAGTTTCAATAATGGAATTATTTCTACTTAAAGCTGAAGTTAATGTACACTTTTAATAAACAAATGTTCATTATGTCTAACAATACGCTTGATGAATATAAGCCATTGATTTTGATATTCAGCACCAAGAATATTTAAAAAAACTCAAGTGAACTGTCGGTGGAGAAGTGTAATAAAATAAGTCAAAAGCTGTTTGAAGGTATTTCGTCTCGATAATCTGATACTGTTACTGGTCAATGGAGCTAAACACCAACAGCCTAAGAATCAATAGGGAAAAAGCAGTCATCTTCACTGATTCAAAGATTTTTAATCATGCTCTGAGTACCATACACATGATGGAGAAAGAGGACAACGACCATTCCCTTCCTTCTATTATCTCTCTGAATCTCCCTCTCAGTGCAGTATGGTATATGTCAGCAGTTCTCAAATGGTGGGTTGGGACCCAAAGACAAAGTCAGAGAGCTTCAGCTCTGGGTGGAAGGGTTCAGGTTACAGCCCCCTGCCTGCAGCTGAAGCCCTTGCGCTTTGGTCCCCCCGCTTGGGATGATGGGACTCGGGCTTTGGCCTCCCCACCAAGGGTGGTGGGACTCAGGTGCGCTCAGGCTTCGGTCCTCCCTCCTGGGGTCCTGTAGTAACTTTTGTTGTCAGAAAATGGGTCGCAGTGCAATGAAGTTTGAGAACCGCTGGTATATGTGAAACGGTTTGAGGAGAGGAGAAAAAAGTATGTTTATGTGATTCATCAAATCATGAGACTGGGGGAAATGATCTGTAGTGAATAACTAGAGAAATGTCTCCAATTTTCTGTTCCAGGTTGCCTGCAAGCAGTTGGAAACTTTCCAGTTATTCTGGAGAACAGTTCTTGTCTGTGGAGTGTTGCAAGCAATTTGTTTCAAATACTTGATGATCGACGTTGAGTTGCTGTTCATGCTTGATTGGATGTTTCTGTCCTCTGACCTGGTGAGTAACTCCTATAATTTGGCTTGTGGTGTGAACACACACACTTTTAGAAATTAAAAGCTTACTTTCTTTGGCCTCTAACATTTGCTAATTTGTAACATTCCTAAGAGAAAACTAGTGCCCAAGATATTTCACAAAAAGTGAGATAAAAAGGGATAAGAACAGTAGAAACGAACTCGTTTAAAAACTTAAATATTAGTAGAAAATGTTTTGCTGTATTCCGCAGCTCTTATTCACATACACTTTGGATGAGCAATGTTGCAACAGAATGCACGTTAGAGCCTACATGTATATATATGTATACTGTATTGTTCCAGGATGTGTCTGTATTGTAAATAAATATCTAACTACAGATGTTTTCCACAGGTGGCCATATGCCACAGTCGTGAAAGTGGTGCAAAATGGGTAATGGCAAACAGTAGCTGACTTATGATTCAACTGTGATGAAAACGAAGATGACAATATTTTGGACTTTATGCCAACACGATGGAATGTAAACATTTTCTACTAGTTCCCCTTCCCTTCAGAGAAAATAATAGCATTAAAGCTTTTATCTGGTTGTGTGTGCTGTATGCTTGAATTGACTCTTTTTAAAAGGTACTGATAGAGTGCTAAAACAGATAGGCCCAAACCTGAAATCTGATGGAAGAGAGAGGTTTGAGTACAAATCTCCAGATCTGAAACTGCACCTTTGGTTCTGATCCAAACCACAGAACGGGGCCTATAATGCAATGTTAGGCCCATGTGGAATCCTTCTGAAAATCCCATGTGTCTTACTACCCAATATTTCCAGTGTCAATGGGACAGAGACTGTATCTTCCTACATGTTGGACAAACAGATGGTTGACAAGACTGAAGTACAGTAAACAGAATTTTCCTGTCTGGGAAAATATTTACTGTATTTCTTTTAAATGATCTCAGAAATGTTTCAGAGAAAACACCCCTACTACCAGAAGGTTGTAGCCCTATTTTCTATTTGACTGCACAAGAGAAGACTCAGACTTGGGGATAACTGCAGCTGCATTATAGCAACTGGGTGGACTACTGTCTTTGGTTACCGTACCTCCCCCTCCCCCCCATATTAAAGTGCAAGAGAATACTTAATGTTGACACCACTGTGCATTCAGAGTTTAGAGGTCTAAAAACTGCAGACCTCCTCTGGTTCAGCTGTGGCTGCTGCCATTCGGCCCTGGAGAGCCAAATGCCCATAGTCATTGGTCATTTGTGATGCAAGTCCTCCCAACTCCTCCGGGTTAGTAACCGACTTAGTCATCTGAAAAAAGAAAACAAGCAATAAAACAATGACAGGCATAAAACCAGCTTGTTAATACTCCACACTGCCTAGAAGCACACAAGTATGTTTTTGCAGCACCAGTGATAGGGTACCTCCTGCTGTTTTAGCAATTCAGTTTCCAGCTAGAATTCTATGAGCGGAAAAGACAAGCAAACATGCTTTATTAGAACCACAGTAACTAGACACCCACAGAACACAAAGTAACTGAGGAGCAGTTAGAAATGGAAATATACTCCTCAGTACAGTAAATGACTGCAGAAGTACTCTACTCTCAGCTTAGTAGGTGAATTTGGGGAGGGGTAGACAGGGGCGAAGAGTGCTTCACACTGCATAACAGCAGCCTCTCCATTTGGCTGATGGGCTAAGTAACCCACTCTCTTCTAGACCCTCCTCAGCCCACTGATGGTCACCATGATGTGGAGTGGAAGGATCTTAAGTGGATCCTAAGACTCACAGAACGTGAAAGACCTCTGGGGCAAGATGGAAATGGCTGGAAATGTACAAAATGAAGAGTTTCTGATTTGGGAGCACAAAAAGTGAAACTATCCCTGGAATATCTGCCAACTCTGTGAAGGTGACATTGTTCCATTTCTGATAGTGAAAACAGGTGAAAGGAGTGATATTCCAGCCTTGGGATAAAACCACAAACTGGCCTTAGACAAATTCCTAATGTGCACAGAGAAGCGCTAACTGCTTTCTGTTGAAACGACAACTTACTACAGTACCTGCAAAGATTCTCTCTCTCTTTTTTTTTTTTGGCAAAACCAATTTTTTTTTTTGCACAGCAAGGTAGGGTAGTGTGCAATAATATTATCCTTATATTTAAAAAAGGTAGGGTATTATTTACTAATGGATGAACACTGTTTATTATATTAACCATTACTACGACTCATCAGAATCAAGGAAGGACCTACTTAGCCAAAGGTCCCTCCCCACTTCATTTTATGTCCAACTGAATCACAGCATCAAGAATTCTGTGAGAGAAAACAAGAATTTGACCATTGCTCATTTCATGAATTTAACAATTGTCTTACAAGGTTTGATTTTAATTAAGGGATAAAGTTAAAGAATAATTAAGCATCACACCCCAAAGGGCTAATGTAGGTCACCAAGCAACTTATGATAGGACAAGATTCCAATGATTTGAAGGGTTGATTAAAGCTCTTTCAACGCGTACCTTCATTTGTTTCTCATATAAAGTAAGCCTCATGAGAAGTACTTGAAATCACATTCCACTAATATATACATCTCATGCCAAAGAACCACTGTTAACACAGACTTCCAAATTCGATGGCTTTTCTCATTACAGGAGGAGGAATATAGCCTCTTTTAAATTGTAAAACTGGCTAGAAAAGGTCTATTTAAAACCAGCTGGGGAGTGTTAACAGACTGCTTCACGAGCAAATTAACTAAATGAATTGGTTGGTCTTAGTTCAGTCTTTAGTGGAAAGAAATCCTCAGCTGTAAAATGTTGTGGCACAGTCAAACCATTGTTTCAAGACAGGCTCAAGTAACAGACCAGCTCAAGTATTATTCTCTTGATGGGGGTATAAATCATATCAACATCTACAACAGTCTAAATCAGTTAGGCCCAAAACAGATCAATAATGACACGGTGGACAGAGTTTTGCACTACTGCTATTCCTAACTTTATTCTCTCCCCAGTAATCAGCATAACTTTCTTTTTGCTTCACTTCATTTGTTCCTGAATGCTATATTTCTACCCCATTCCCTCCACCCTCTTCATCATGGAGGCATTTCTTTTGGTTACTGTCAAGTTCTAGCACAGGCCTCCTAAGGTGTTCTCTCCTGTTTTCATAGCTTGTTTTTTTGGGCAGCAAGATACAGAGAATAGCATATACTCTTTAAAGCCCCATACTTTGAGTTAACTAGAGAGAGATCCAACAGAATGACTCTGCTGGTAGTACACTCCTGTCCATCATGCAATCAGGTTCCAATGAAGAAGTCCAGGAAATGGTGTCAACACCCCTATTTTGCCTACCCACAAAACAGATCAACTGGAAGTCAATGTCACAAAGAAGCGGCTCCAGTTGGAATTGGTTCAGATTAACCCTACAGCAGTTTGAATTTCTTACACATACTCAGCAGTTGTTACCCAGCTATTTTATAGAACTCTTGCTAGTTTCTCTTACCATTTCCTGTGCTGTTACAGCAATGGCTTTAGAATATTTCACTACAGTAGTTTGATAATCAACAAATGTTCCCTTTGGATCTGAAGGTGTGCCCTCATCCAGCTGTGGAGAGAGGGGAAAACATGAAAGCAATGACAGGCATGCAGGACATGCATATTACTAAACTTTTCAGTCTAGTACTGCAATTGTACAACACAGAGTTAAATACAAAATGAGTTCAGATGTACAGTAAAGCTACGTAGCTTATATCACTAATTTCATGTCATTTGTATAGAATATGCAGTTTAGTGCCCACATAGTCAACAAGTCCTGACTTTCTTCCCAAGTTCACTTTTTCTTTTAGTTTCCCTAACCCGCAGCCCATTAGATCTAAAAATGATTGTACAATGATCACAAGACAGATCTTTCACCTGAATAGTCTCTATAACATTCCTTTAGGCCATGCCATGAAACTTTCCATTCCGCATATCACTCAGCTACCAAAATGCCAGAGACTGAGTAAAATTAAACAAGAAACCCTGCATAAATAAATTGTTTAAATTTTTTTTTGTTAGCAAGAGATGATGGAAAACATACTTGCTTAATAGATTAAACTTCTCCATACCTTCCTTTTGAGACTAGCATACTCCCAACTTACTAGTTATGTTTTTCTCATAAAGACTTGCTAATTATCTTAGGTAAAGACTCTTCAGACGTGGCTTCCTCCACTGTGTTCCTCAAGTTCATCTCATTTTCCCCGCCATGAAGTAAAACCAGACTAACTCGTTTTAGAAGACAACATGACAGAAAATAGCATCCAGAATTTATAGGACTACTATATGCATTTCTGCCACAAAAGGTACTTCCCCAGACAAGAAAATAAAGATTACAGTTTTGAGACACTCCCCTTCAAGGGAAGATAATTGCTAACCCATCCTTCTGATTTCTCTTCCTAGAAAGACCCACATACTTGGTTGCTATGCAACAGCTTTCAACTTGTTATTTTGTGTTAAAATTGGCAAACTCCTCTACATATGGATATGCAACCAGAGTGTCATTTAAGAAAACCTGGGGGCAGGGAGAGGGAGATGTTTTAGCATAAAGAACATTATATGGGATATTATATCCTGAAAAGTTGAATGTGTGTGAGTGAGCATGCAAGAAGTGAAAAACATAATGGAGGACACAGACTGATGAAAAGCCTGGCTGAGGGGAAGGAAAATAACTGTCCATTTTTCCCCATAGCGAATGACCACTGATATATTAGTTAAGTTTTGTTTTCTCTTTGACCTTCATGTATTTCATTCAAGGGTAAGCTTCAATTCTTTGAGGTTGGTTCAAAATGAAGAAGCGAATGAGGAATCTGAACGAAGCGTTAATCATTGATAAAGTTCCGAGGGAAATTACTCCTAATCTCAAAATTCTGAAATGGCAGAGTTTTGTACCAACAATGTTTACCACATTCAACCTGACCTCAGAACTGAATCCTAATTGTGAAGAGTCTTCCAATAGGAGAAAAACATATTACGTTTGGGATAGGTGGGGGGTAAGGGACAATGTTCATGAGAGAAGACTTGCTACAAACCCTGGCAGATAGAAAGGAAATTCTTAGCACATAGAGATAAAAATGGTCAAAGCAAAAACTGAAAATTACAGGCTGCAAACGTCATTTAAAGCAGATGCCATCTAAAATGACTCTTCTGTATGCGATTAAATCAAGCAGCCCAGCACTATGTCTCCAGCCAACTGAAGCACTGGGATACCATGCCATCAACCAGTACGCAGAGATATCTGAAAACAGTTATTTCCTCTTTAGAGCACGCTTTCTTTTTAATTTGAATCTCAGAAATGTTTCTATCACCTGTCATTTCAGAAACTTGTTATGTATATTGTTATCTTTATCAAATAAGAGAAAACAAGACCCAGTCTAAGTCTAAGAAGGGAGAGTCACTTCATGAGGAAAAAAACCTATGTTGTAATGCTAACCCAATACTACTCCAGTGTTCATTTTCAAGGCAGTTTAAACCATTTGCAAGACCAAAAAATTGAAAGGTCTAATTTTTGACTGTTTTCTTAAATACTGGCACACCACTCAATGGAATAGGTCTCCAAAATAACCCTACCCAACCAGTGCGATCAAAAGGGAATGATTTTGTGTCTACTGAAAGTGCAAGTTCCATCATGTGCATCGGTGCTATTTTGCAATTAATGCTAATAATCTCCTAGTTTTATGGTTTCATACAGTAGGGTTTGTTGTGATTGCTGGACCTACAAAGTCACCCTAACCTCAACTGTAAAAAGCATTTGAAAGTCTGTAATGCGTTACAACAACCATGAAAAACTGATCATGTTGTTTACAATACTGAATGTTTTAAACAGGTGCAAGAGAATGAAACAGAGAAACTGGGTCAGTCTAAACAAAAAAGGCCATGTCGCTATAATCCAACGACTGCTGAAATTATACCCGTTAAAAACAGATGATGTGGAGCTGGAAGTTAATGTAACAAAACGAGTGAGACAGACATTAGGCCTAATTGGTGGACAAAATAATGAGGTGAATGAACTATGCTGCCCACTTTTCCCCTTTTTGGGTTATTAAAAAGAGACTGAAAAAAAAACAAAACAAAAAAACACCTTCTCTCTCATCCGCATCCCAGCTCATCTTGTCTCATCACATCTTCCCTGTTTCCCAGACAGAAGGAACAAACCAGACTGACAGACTTTCTTCCACAAGGAAAGCCAGCTGGCCTTGCTCTTGTTTAAGTAACTTTGTTTTCACCTGTGAGTGCTGAAAGTCATCATATTACCAGGACATCCCGTCCTCAGCCCACCTGGGGGGAATATCTATTTACCAGCACTGCAAAGCCACGTAGGATCCTGTATTGCATTCCCTTGTTGTGTTATCTTCTGTCCCACTATTTTGTTCCTCCTATCCTATCTCATTCTCCTGGCTTTGCATCAAATCCTGAAGTCAATCTTATTACATTCAAACAAACCTGTCTTGTCTAAAGAGAAAGGCTGCAACCAAATGATGGCCCTGACCAGACTGTAACTAACCAGTGTCCAAGCCGTAGGTGTCATGGTTCACTTGCCGGCAAAAGCATCCACTCGTAACTAAACAGTGTTCCAGAAACATCAGCCAAAGCCTATTTCACCCATCTTTTTTATCCTGTCACTCCTTCACCTTGTGTCTGTCTGTTTGTTAAGAACAGGACAAGTGATTGCTCTTCAGATCAGGACTGAGGATAAAATTAACCTTTTCCTTTTCATCAAAGAATCTTTTCCTTTTCATCTCGGAAAATAAGAGACACTGATATTTTGACTGCAAAAGGAGAGAGAGGCTTTGATAAGGTCTGATTAAGTTTGTTTCCATAATCACTCAAGCACAGTTTCAATACAAATGCTTGTTTTTATTTCTTGTTCTTTCTGGTGTTTAATCAATAAACTTTCAATTTGAATGAATGCTTTTTGAGTGTTTGCCAAGTAACTGAGTAAAAGCAAGGACTTTGTTTAAAAACCATGCCCAACCCACCTCTTACTTTAATGAAGGATAGTGAAAGAGTTTAGAAACTCTTCAGGCCTTTATGATCAATATCAACACAACAGGTTCCATCAGCACAGAAAGCTGAACTGACTTAGCACTGGCCATTTAAGGAACATTTAGCATTCAGCTCTCTGAACTACTTCAGTGGTACAATGGAACGTATATTAAATGTGAAGCAATTGTTGCCAGTATCATCTAGAATAACCATTACTTTCCTTCCATGTAATCTGGGGTTGCTACGTACCCAGTACTCACCTTGCTCATGGCCTCAGCTATTGAGTCTACCATACCTCCAACCATGCCCACTTCACTGGCAGCTTCATTCAATGTAACCATTATATCATCCACTGCCTCCTTCATCAGCTGAGCAGCCTCTGTGATTGCATCATGAGTGTGAGATGCCTGTACAGGGGACAGTAAGAGAAGAGAGATAATATTAAGGACTCATCTCTGCAGGAGTAGTCATTTGTTCTGCAAGCAATGCTTATTATGGCAACACCTCGTGGCGATTTTAACCACACCTCTTTGAAAATCTCATTTCAAGCTAAACAGGAAAGAGACTGATTCATGATACATATCAATCTCATATGAATGAGAATGCCTCTTTAAACAAGACCATGCCTCACTCACTCAATATACCCTAAATTCAGAGTACTTTAAAACAGAGCAAGCCCTTTTCCCTGACAACAGATTAAGGAAAATGATCACCATGTAAATGCAGTGGAAATGAAGCTAAAGAAAGGCAACAGATCATTCCAGTTTTAAACTGGTTCAGAAAAGGCCTTGTCATAAATGGTAGCTGTATGGGTCAAATGTGCTTAATCTTTACCGATTATATACCTGACGAAAGCAATGGAAGCCACTTAGCAGGGATAATTTTAAACAACATTTAGGACATTGAAAACTGCATTGCTAAGGTCCCTGCCAGAAAGGCAGTAGGGCACCTAGTCTTTCAATATAGCCTGTTTATGCCACACGACCTGAAAATTAGATTAAAGCATAAGCAGAAAGGAAGAACATTTTGCACATACTGGGTTTGGAACGCATCCCACACATGTGCAATTAACAAAGCACTAGGTAGGAATTAAGACTCTTGAGAGATTCTTCCATAGCCATCTTTCTTGACACAGGTAATTAATCCAGAGTTCTATAATCAAAAACCCTCATCTCATATGATTAGGGTCTACATCAACAAGCTTGTTTGCTAGTCAATTGAACCATATAATCAGTGAAAACTGAAAATCCAGGTAGAAACACACTTTTGTTTTTACACAAAGAACTTAAGAAAACAAGAGAAAATATGGAGAGGAGAACACGCTTTCCTTTAATGTGGGCATTTCTAAATTTCATTTTTCTATAGCATCTCCTGCCCAGAACAGGATTACATGTGTGACGCACTCTATATGATTTTATAAAAATATGCTAATGAGTGTGAATATAATATAACTGGAATATGCTTCATGCAAAAGGTCTTTTGTATGGTATCATTACAAAGCTTATAATATACTGAGTGTGGTCATCCTATTTGTATAAATATATCACTCTTGCATCTGAAACTAGAAATATGAAATATAACTCTGAGGGCCTACTGTAATTATGCAAAGCGTGGGCCATTAATGGTGGTTGGGAATTTTGATGGCTCCCATCAGCCAGGACAATTGACTGTGGATGGCTGTTTTCAGGCAGGCCCTCCTGTGAGTCAGGCTGGGAGGAATGAAGGCTTGGAGTCTCACAGGAAATGTGACCATGTCACCTGGTACTGAAATCCATCTTAAACCTGGTGCTTTTCCACTGGGGACAGGGACAGCCGGGGGCGGGAGGGAGTGGGGGGGGGGGACCGACCCAGAGAGACAAAGGATTCCCACCTTGTGCCAAAGCCAGATAAGGGGGTGGAACAGAACAAAGGAGGAGCCATCATGAGAAATCCCCTAGCTACCACCTGAGCTGGAATAAGGGCTGTACCAGGGGAAAGGATTGTGCCCCGACTAGGAAGGTGACTAGTCTGTGAAAGAAAATTATTGAAACATCTCTGAGGGTGAGATTTTATCTGTATTCAGTTTGATTAGATATAGACTTGCGTGTTCTATTCTGTTTTGCTTGGTAATTCACTTTGTTCTGTCTGTTACTACTTGGAACCACTTAAATCCTACTTTCTGTATTTAATAAAATCACTTTTTACTTATTAATTAACCCAGTGTATGTATTAATACTTGGGGGGGGGGAAACAGCTGTGCATCTCTCTCTATCAGTGTTATAGAAGGTGAACAATATACAGGGTAAAACAGATTTATTTAGGGTTTGGATCCCATTGGGAGTTGGGCATCTGAGTGTTGAAGACAGGAACACTTCTGTAAGCTGCTTTCAGTTAAGCCCACAGCTGTTAGGGGACGTGGTTCAGACCTGGGTCTGGGTTTGCAGCAGGCTAGCGGGTCTGGCTCAAACCAGGCAGAGCACTGAAGTCCTAAGCTGACAGGGCAGGAAAGCAGGGGCAGAAATAGCCTTGGCACATCAGGTGGCAGCTCCCCAAGGGATTTCTGTGATCCAACCCGTCACAACATGCTTTTCAGTCACTTATAAATTGAAGAGAACAGGAAGTTTTAAGGCAAGATTTAAACAACGGAAGTGACTCCGGGTCAGAGAGAAAGAAAGAGCAAGCGCAACACACACAAAATCTTTTACCAAGGAGAAGTTCAGTGTGAGTTTAAGTTATAGCCAGGAGCTGATAGAGTGAAGACAGCCAAGATAAGGCTAAGCCTTTAAGCTAACAACAAGGTGACCTAGAGGGATAAAAGAAATATAGAAGAGAGCTGGGGATAAGGCCTGGAGCACGCCCCACAATCTATGGAAGTTGTAAAGCTTCAACCAAAGGTGAAAGACGAGCAGTTCAAAGGGGAGGTTTCAAACGAAGAGAGGGAGGGAAGGGGACAAAAATGATTCCTTGCTCAAGGTACCCAAGGTTTATAGTATTGGCCACACTGAGATCAAGTAGAGTTGATGAAGAGGACTCAATACACTTTAAATTATCTTGGTTCAAAACACCATAGGTAATAGTCAGGGCAGGACAGGCAGCTTTCTCGTCCAAAAGAAACATTTCAGAAAAACTCCTTACTAACCTCATTCTTCAACACTGTTGGATCATCAACTGCTTTGACAAATTTTACTGACAAATTAAGAAAATGAGAGCAATTTACTATTAGGTTTAAGAAGAGTATGTTATAACAGTTAGGCATGTTTCAGAAACAGTATTAACTGGGTTGAATGTGCTTTGGACCAGATTATTGTTAGAACTTAAAAAAGACTCAAAATTTGAAGTACAAAAAAGGGACTACATTTCCGTGATCGCCTACTTTGACCAGCTCCACTTAATATAGTATATCAGATGAGTAATTCACACAACCCATTGCTATTATAAACAGCTTAATGTATATGCTTGTGATGAGGCATAGCAATATGCCTGTTGATCTACTGCTAATACAGGGACCAAAGGGAATGAGCTAGTCTTTCTTGGCCCTGCAATTCTTTCAGCTGAATCCACATTAATTTTTTTCTTCAGTTTGAGATATTTTCCAGAGAGACCTGTACACCTTGAATTTTCAACTCTCCATAGGCTATTACCCCAGCCCAAACACACGAGCTGAAGCTGGCAGAAATACCAATACCTCCTTACAAAGCACGCATAAATGAATTGTGCTCTCATCTCCTCTTCATGCATGCATACTCCTGGGAAAGCTAATGGCACTGGTAAAAATGTTTCAAGGGAAAATATAGCCCCCCCCCCGCCCCTTTCCCCCAAACAGCCCAAAGATAATGAAGAAATTTCTTTTACATAAAGGGAATAAGGTGACAAAGTTTGATTTCTGAACGCAAGCAACATAGCTCAGATGATTTAGTTAAGTCCAGTGAGGCGCTTCATGCATATGTAGTTCAGCCTTCATCCTCCATCATTTCCCTTTGCATTTTTGCTGGTATCATCTTCCTTCCTGTGCTTCAGTTATTTTTAGGCAAACCTTCAGTGACAGATACAACATCTAGGTATTGTGCACACTGAAGAGATTAAGTATCTTGTAGGGAAACAAAACAATTAAAAATATATAAAATTTAAAGCTGAAAGCTCTGCTTGGTTTGAATGAATTATCAAGCAGCAGTTCTTTATTTATTACATTTGTTCCTCCTCTGTATTTCATTTCAGTGACGCAACAAGCTTCAGAAAAGGTTTCCTTGTCAGGCATCTTCAGAACAGATGGAACCATCTTTGTTCACTCTACTATACAAATGTAAACTGAGCAGCCAAGCGCAAGCAGCAGAAAAGGTAAACAATGGCTGCATTGATCAGAAGTCTTTTCCAGGCTACACAATAGACTTGCGTGTATGTGGCAAAGTGAAGTATAAAAGCTTATGTATGCAAGTATTGGCTCACCTGGTGGCACTGCCATTGGACATACTCAAGCTAATGCAGTATTTTTTAAGCATTAAGTTCTAAATTAACTCTTGCAGGAGTCATTAAATATCAGCCCTGATGTTCTTTGATATTGCCAACAATTGAGGATACAGCGTTTGTATTTGCCTATCATCTCTGCCCTATATCCTAGGTCTGTGATACTGCATTATTCTATGTCAATCATAATGCCTAATTCATTAATCAAGAAGAAGTGGAGGAGGGGAATGAAGGAAGTCAGTGTTTACTGAACAAGATGAGGCAATAGGCAATCAGAGCAAACCCTGAAGAAGAAACAAGCCAACAGCCAAACATGCTCGCTACCACTTTTTAAAACACACTGTGGGATTTAGATAATATAAGTTGAAACATACAATCACTATCCGATTTATTTAAATACCATAGCGGTGTTGCACTTTTTTTTTTTTGAAGTACTATGAACAATTCAGACTGCATGAATGTGTGAGTGAGTACAGATGGGACAAAAGTGTTAGGATTAAACTGTGCAACTGCAGTTGCTCGGAAAGAAGAGCTGGTAGCAGACAAACCTGAGGACACCAACTGGACTCAATCAACTTCTGAAGTCTCACTGAGAAAACATTCTTAAAGGGAGTGCTCAAGAGCAGGCAGCTCAACAGTGCAAGGAAAGACGACTTACATATGGACAGAATGGCTCCATGGAATGGGAACACAATAAGCAGCTCTCACCTCAATGCCTTTGTTCAGAATCCAGCTCAGATTGGAAATGGCCAGAAGTTAACATTCAAGAGATATTTAGATGCCTCCATTAAATCATTCTGCAGGTGGCAATCCCATTTTGTGGATTCATCCAGAAAGGGTCACCTGACAGACAAGGGTAGGTGCCATTGCCTCCAACAGACAATGGGTATTAGCAAACCTAAGGCCCATCCTATTCTGCACTACACTGGAGGAAAACTCCCCACACTATTGCTCAGCCCAAAAGGCAAGTATCTCTGGAGGCTAGTGCCCACCATGAAGTAACATTGGTCCCATGTCATCTGAGACTTCTTCCTGAAGTATGGTACTCCTGAGGGCATTCTGCGCCAAAAAATAAAAAATTCTGCAAATTTTGTTTGTCAAATAAATGTGGAGGCTCCAGCATGGCGTTGGGAGCACAGGCCACTGGCTGCACAGAGGTAGGAGATCACTGTGCAGAGCTCCCCCTCCAGGACACGGACTCAGTGGTGAGGCTTCACTCAACCATGACACAATGCAAGGACCGGACCTGCCCCAGAAACATCCCAGGGCCCTGCCCCTCCATGACAGGTGCACCAGGTGTGGGTAGGCAGGCTCAGTAAGCCAGCATCCAAGTGCTGGGGGATCCAGGTGTGGGTTGAGAGGGTTCTTTGTGGGGCAATCTGGGTCTGGGAGGCTCAGTGAGGGATCCAGGTGCAGGGGGGATCTGGATGCATAGGGGCTTGTTGGAGGGTTCTGGGTGCACTGGTAATGTGACTCTGTGAGGGGGGTCCATCCAAGTGAAGGTGGTTGGGGCTGGGAGGGGGGGTGTTCTGGGTGTGGAGGGGTAGAACTCAGCAAGTAGGTCTGGGTGTGGGGGGGTTCAGTGGAGGGGCTCCAGATGCTGGGGGAATGGGGGTCATTGGGGTGGAGATCCAAGTGCAGCTGGTTGGGACTCACTAGGGTGGGGATCCAGGTGGCTCGTTGGGGTGGTCCAGGTACAGGGGGAGTGGGGCTCGTTGAGGGGGGTGTTCTGGGTGCGGGGCAGTGAGGCTCACCGGGAGGGTCTGGGTATGAGGGGACTGGATGCATGGGGATTGTGTAGATGGGGAAGTAGCTCCCTGTACAGTGATCCCTCCCCCTGCAGCTGAGAAGCAATGGATGCAGGAAGCGCGGGCTCGGGGGGAGGGAGGAAGGGAGTTTGCAGAGCTTCCTACAACTGGGGGAGAAATCTGGGGGTGGGTCTGACACAGCCCTGGATGCCGTGCAGGGGAAGAGAAAGTTCCGTCCTCCCCAGCCCAGCCGGGACTAACAGCTGAGCACGGCGCAGGATAGGAGCCACCAGCCGGATCTTCCCCAGTCATGCTCCCTGCCACACAGTGATTTACCTCTCTGCTGGCTGCTCTGGGCACCCGAAACTTACCGCTGGGGAGGGTCACATGACTGCTCGTGGGTTCCCTTTGCTTCCCCATCAGAAAGTCATTTTTTCTGCGGGGAAACAAAGAAACCTGCGGGAGACCATTTCTATGCATGCGCACTCGCGCAGAATTCCCCCAGGAGTAAGTATGGGCAGTAGAGGAACCCATGCAAGGACAAAACTCTTGTGGTGTACGAATTCCTCTCCAGAATATGGCAGTGGAAAAAAAACACTCCAAAACAAGTTTCTTGCACTTGGAAAGCTCAAAAAATCCTACCAACTTCAGTTGTGTTTATTGACCGTCATCACTCCAGATAAGGAACCTGAACCAGAATTCACTGAAATCAAACAGAATCCTTCTGTTGATTTCAATGAGCTTTGGCTCAGATACAAAGGAAACCTTTTTGCACCTGACCATCTCTAAATGGGTATTAGTGTGTTAGCCTATGTGTAAAGTAGTTTTAGTTACCCAACTGCTTTCTAAATGAGATACAATTTTATAATACATTGTTCTAAATCCCTCAGCCCTATCACCATTTGAAAGCCTCGGAGTTCAAAAACAATTTACATGCACCAGTTAGGCATGGGATTCTTCCTAAACCACATGCAGAACACACCATGGAAATGCAAACCCTTCATGAGGCTGGAAAGAAGCAGCTAGACAAAGAAGGCAGGACACAACCCAAAGAACAGCAGAGGCAGAAGGTAAAAATACAAGTTATTCTGGCCAAGGACATGCTCTTGCAATTAGTACCCAGGAATTTCAAAACTAACAAGACTGGCTTTTAAGGTCTTGAGCATACCAATGCCCCATGCCCTCACACATCCCCAAGCATAAACTACAGGCAGTCCTCAACTTTACGACGTTCGACTTACGACGAACAGCACTTACGACGCTTCTGAATTGACACCCTGATTTGACTTACGACAATTGGTCCCACAATGGAGTGGACTGCAGTTCCAAGTTACGACGTAATTTTCAGGAACCAATTGTGTCGTAAGTCTGAGGACTGCCTGTACAGTAAAGAGTATTTTACTGACTATTCAAAAGGATGGGCTGAATTGACCCTGTCAGGATTCGAAGATTTGATTAAGTGTTCCAAACCTGATGCTTGTATCTCCAAGCCATCCTTTCTCTCTGCCCTGTTAACCACAGAAGCACCTTCACACAGCATGCATGGACTGTTTTGTTCAGGGATCTTGTTAAGCAATAAGATTTTTAAAATTATATTTTCAACCAAATATATATATTGGGGGTGGGTGGGGGGAGTACACAGTGATAATTTGTGTCCATCCTGTTTGTTATCTGCTGTAAATCAGTAGTGACATGCTGTACCATTAGTAACTCCAACACTGGAAAACTGGAGGCATTTTTTAGTTCATATATTGAGCAAGCACTGTTATATTCTAATCACCTCTAAATAAAATGGACATTATATTTGGCTCTGTTACTATGTATTCTTTATTTCCTGATCCTTAAAAAAGTACTTAGGGTTTTTTCCAAATACTTGGGGAGCCATTTTATAAATCAAGTTATTCCTTTTCTTCTACCAAAAGCATAAATGAGGCAAAATCTTTAAGTTATTCATCAGTGCACCTAACATCTAATGTGTGAAAGACTTATTTCCTATACATTTTTCTGGAGGTCTTAATATACTGTTAACTTACAACAGCTTTGCAAAACTGTCAAATACTTGGAAACCAAGCACAAAATTCTATTTTCCTGTCCTTTACCATGACAATTATGGCGGTAATTAAATAAATTAATGAAAAAGTTAAACCAGGCTAGTATACACTAAAGATGAATGCTTAATGTATATACATGCATTTTTCTATATCATATGCAACTAAAACTCTGTGTGCATGCTTAGAATATTATTCATAATACTTCACACAGCAGTCAGAATATAGTTTGCCCCGAGTGATCTTAGCTTGCTGCTATTTTTCACAATTGAAAGGAAAACAACAAAGACTTAAATCCTTAGGAAAACAACAAACTTGCAGAAGGGCTTATCTGTGAGTCACCATTATGAGAAAATAAAATATCTGATAATTAACATACAACCCTATTGTCCACTGTTACTTTCCAGATTCCACTCTAACACTGCAGGATTCATTTCAGATGACTATTTCTAATGACCGCTCCCATTTCATTACACACATGTACTATACCTTGGGATTTCCTCCTCCTTCTTTGGCTGCATACAGCATCTGGAGGGCAGATTCTGCTAGTGTCTTTGTCTGGTCCAGGACAGTCATCTGTTGCTGATGATCTAGCATCTTGGATGCCACACCAACTGCAGCTAAAATCAGGGGTTCAAAGTAACTCGCCAGTTGCGTAACCTAAGACAACAGAGATGATGAAAAGCTTGTAATCCAGTTTCTGAGAGGACACAACATCCCTCTCTAATTAACATCAAGGAGATCTTTAGCTGTTTTTTGAGCATAATCTGAATAGCACAACTTCATAATCCTTCAGATTTGCATGAAATATAGTTCATTCCAATGTCTCCTAAGCTATTCTATCTCTTCTTCAGCTGTGAACGCTGCAATATAGCAATGCTTCCCTCTCAGATGTTCTCAACTTTGTGTGTGAGACTCTGACGTCAGATCCAATTGTTTTCAAAACTGACATGGAAGTCAGACAGTACTTAAGGGCATAAACCAAGACAGTCTCCTCCACCACATGGGGAAGGATCTGTAATTAAACGCTGGAATCTCTCATCTTTGGTTGCAGACAACAGAAAACAGAGTAGAATGGTATTGCACCTGGAATATCAGAAGAGATTTATTTGATCTCAGATAGACAGTCTGTATTTTTGAACCTTTCAGACAATTACTGGCTCTATGAAGGAACAAACAAATTTCTCTGAAAGCCTCATTTAAGTCTTATCCCAGAAAAGAAAGACCTGAATGATTCAGAAACATTTTTTAAGATGCTATATTTTGCTGAAGGGCTAATATTGCTTCAGGATATAGTCTGCTATTCTATCATGAATAAGCAGGTCTGTAAGGGAGTGAAGTGGCCATATCACACGCTTATACTCTTAAGATAAGTGAGCGTCAATAGATTCAAGCACATAATAAGTATAGAAACAGAACTGGTTCTTATAAACAACATTTAAATGGAAGAATAAACAGTTTCTCAATTGACTATCAAAAACAGTTTGACAGAAGTTGTCCAATAGGGGTTAAATGGAATCAATACATTGTATATATTTCACTGCAGTACTTCAAGACCAATTCCACTGGTGATTTATACTGAGCTAGTTTATTCTGGTTTGACTTTTTTCCTGTACTGAGAGGTTCTTCAAAACCTCATGTAGTCTCATCCTTTCCCCAAATTACTCAACTAATTCACTGTTGTGTTGCTGAAGACCTTCCACTACCGGCTGAGACACAACTCACCAAAGCAAATGAGATTTTACTATGTAAAATCTACAACATAAAATGAAAATTTGACAGTGCACCTCTCATTTTGTGGATCATCTAGGGGTTCTTAAACTGGGGGTCATGACCCTTAAGGGGTCATGAGGTTATTATGTGGGGGTCACAAATTGTCAGTCTCCACCCCCAAATGCTGCTTTGCCTCCAGGATTTATAATAGTGTTAAATATTTTAAAAAAGTGTTTTAAATGTATAAGGGGGTCGCACTCAGAGGCTTGCTGTGTGAAAGAGATCACCAATGCAAAAGTTTAAGAACCAATACAACATGAAGGGTCTTGGTTCCACTCTAGAAGTAACCAAGAAGGAGCAGGCTTTAAATCTCCTAAAAGATTAAAATATTCTGAGGCCAGACTGTCCTTCTCTGTAACAGAGGTTATAGGACTTCCCTAAATTAAATCCCATTGAGATAGAATCTATCTTTTAGAAAAATATCCTATCTTGATTTAAAAATTGCCTCTTATGGAGAACCTATCACAGCTGTTGGCAAGGAAGCCAGTACGACTTTGGACCTGCTTACTTCAAAGTAAGATATCACAACAGATAAATAGCAATCCATCGCGCACTGCTGAAACAGCATGTAGAATATTCCGGTTTCAGAGTAGCATAACATGAAATAGCATGTAGAATATAGTGCACAGTTCTGCATAGCACAGAAATGGAAAGACATTAAAAGTGAAAGAACTTCTCTGAAAATCTATAAAAATGCTTAATTTTCTGCACTGACTGGCTTAGGAGGAAAAATCAGTAGTACATAAAAATATAATGTAGCTAAAAAGATGTTTATGTCTAATTCAGAAAAACATTGACTAAATGGATAATGGACAACTAATATTTGAAGCCTGGAAAATTCCAAGTAATTCCTCTTCCTTATTTTGGTTACAAAAACATAAACAAGAAACAGGATGACACTAAGGAAAGGTAGGCCGAATATCAAGAGAGACTTTCTAAATGTGAGGTCTATTAAATGGTGGTCTATTAAAGGTCTATTAAAGTCTTCCAAAGGAAACAGTAGAAACCATATCACTTAATTCATTTAAAACAGTGGACATTCCCATAAAGAGAATAGCGGGTTTATTTGGTATATAAAGAACCACCATGCATGGGCAAGAGGATGGAGATGACTATTTAATATCACACATCTTTTCCATCTAGAGCAGTGATGCTCAGACTGTGGCTCTCTAATGTGTCTCCCGAGACTCTTTGGAGAACATGATATCAAAATGCTGTGATTTAATTATTAACCAGTCAAAGTTATTAACCAATCAGGATGCTTTTACTATCTTATTAACCAACTGCAGTTGATAAAATAATAATACTTGGTCAGTCGTTTTGCTTTATATATCTCTAAAAACCTAAATATTTCCCTGGTCAGACTGTTTAAATATGAATATATAGTACTGTAGTAAATGAAACAATGAATTTACTCTGTTGCGGCTCTTTTGGATAATGCTGATTGCTCCTTTAGCTCCTGAACCACTTAGGTCTGAGCATCACTGATTTAGAGTTTGAGATACTATGAGCCAAAGACAACACTGATCTAAGCACAGTACACAAAGTTGCTAGAAACCAAGGCAATATCAAATGCTTCAGTTATTTGATGATTATCCAAAACTAAATAGACACCAATAGACATCAAGTGTTCAGAAAATCTAGCACGTGTAGACAAAAATAGAAGAAATAATTCTTTGCTTCTGTCTTTCACATGTTAAATGTGTTGACATAGAAAGATCACATTTATTGTTCTCAAAAGTAAAAGTATTTCAGAATATGGAAATAAATAATTTCTGAGAAACTGCTAAAACCCAATACATATAACTTTATTAGGTGGCAATGGTGGGTTTTTTATATTTAATATGCTAAACTAAAGCCCCAAGAGGAACAAATGTTTGTACACTACAACGCACATCTATTGTAGTAGGTATAGCACTGTGTCCGAGCCAGTGTTTTCCCCAGGAATTTAAATGGGGGAGGGGGTGTTCGAACTTACGGGGGGGGGGGGGGTGACGGCCGATGAGGGGTGAGACCGTGAGGGTGAACGTGGGCTGTATGGCACCATAGTAAAAACTGAAAAATGTTTCACTACCATTTTATTATATTTGACTTATGTTTTAAAATCATCACACAAATTAAAGTTGGCTGCTCAAGCCTTCTATGAAGCACTACATCTACAGCCTTCTTGGTTTCTTGTTATAATTTTGCACAACTCTGTTAATGAACTTCTTGAATGCAATGCGTTCATCTTTGGTGGCTTCTCGTGTGCCCGGTACTTCCATTCCTTCAGTTGATACACTCATTAGTTCATTCACATGATCAGGCAGAAGGCGACTTCTTTCAAAACACAAATTTCTATTCAATGATGAAAAAGAACACTCAACTGTAGCTGTTGTGACTGGGAGTAGCAAGAGATGAATTGCTACTTCTTTCATCCCAGGAAAGATAGCACAAAGATCGGGTCGAGCCACTAGTGATGATAAAAAAGAAGTTGAAGTCAAATTTTCATTCATTCGTCATATGATAGTCCACTCTGTGTTCAAATTCTCTACTCTGTCCTGATCACATGGCAGCCCTATTGCTGGTAGTGCCTCACTCCACTCAACTGTCGGTGTTTATACAACAGGGATCTATAAAAGCTCCGTAGAGGTTGAGTAGATTCTAGAAGTCACTGTTGCAGATTTTTAAAAATCAAGTCTGTGTACTTTTTCAGTTGTCTTAACAAACACTTCTTGTCCTCTTCACTTATGGATTCAATATAAATGCCTTCATTAGTCAACTTCTGGATTGAAGTCTTTGCTTCTTCCAGTACTTTTTCAATGGATTCAATGGATTTCTATTGCTGGACAAAGATCTACTACTGTTGTAGCAGATGCCTGGATGGCATTGTTTAATGACCCAAGTGGTTTCAACAGTAGACTTACAAGAGAAAGAATGGCAATAGTCTTCTCTGAACGTAGTAGCAAAAGTAATCCACCAGCCTCACTACTTAGATCCATCCCATCTTGGTAGATACTTTCCAAAGCCAGTGTCATAAATATAAAGGGAAGGGTAAACCCCTTCGAAATCCCTCCTGGCCAGGGGAAAGCTCCTCTCACCTGTAAAGGGTTAAGAAGCTAAAGGTAACCTCGCTGGCACCTGACCAAAATGACCAATGAGGAGACAAGATACTTTCAAAAGCTGGGAGGAGGGAGAGAAACAAAGGGTCTGTGTAGAAACAAAGGGTCTGTGTCTGTCTGTATGCTGGGTCTTTGCCGGGGATAGACCAGGAATGGAGTCTTAGAACTTTTAGTAAGTAATCTAGCTAGGTATGTGTTAGATTATGATTCCTTTAAATGGCTGAGAAAAGAATTGTGCTGAATAGAATAACTATTTCTGTCTGTGTATCTTTTTTGTAACTTAAGGTTTTGCCTAGAGGGGTTCTCTATGTTTTTGAATCTAATTACCCTGTAAGATATCTACCATCCTGATTTTACAGGGGGGATTTCTTTATTTCTATTTACTTCTATTTTTTATTAAAAGTCTTCTTGTAAAAAACTGAATGCTTTTTCATTGTTCTCAGATCCAAGGGTTTGGGTCTGTGGTCACCTATGCAAATTGGTGAGGCTTTTTATCCAACATTTCCCAGGAAAGGGGGGGTGCAAGTGTTGGGAGGATTGTTCATTGTTCTTAAGATCCAAGGGTCTGGGTCTGTAGTCACCTAGGCAAATTGGTGAGGCTTTTTACCAAACCTTGTCCAGGAAGTGGGGTGCAGGGTTTTGGGAAGTATTTTGGGGGGAAAGACGCGTCCAAACAGCTCTTCCCCAGTAACCAGTATTAGTTTGGTGGTGGTAGCGGCCAGTCCAAGGACAACGGGGGGAATATTTTGTACCTTGGGGAAGTTTTGACCTAAGCTGGTAAAGATAAGCTTAGGAGGGTTTTTTCATGCAGGTCCCCACATCTGTACCCTAGAGTTCAGAGTGGGGGAGGAACCTTGACAGCCAGTAATAATGTCTGGAGTAATTTTAAGACAACAGCCAAGAGAAAGCCAGAGGGTTTTCCCAGGTTGGACTAATTTGAACCTCAGTCCCAGTGTATCTTCTCTATTTTCCAAGATATTCAGTCTTTTTGGACTCTTGCTGAAAAAAGAATATAATGAAGACATTAAATTTGTAGCTTTTTAAATGTCTTTTGAAGAGTCTGCAGCTCGTACTAGCACTAGTTGGAGTCTATGGCCTCTGTAGTGTGCATAGGAGAGATTGGGGTTACACTTTTCTCTGAGCAAAATTTGTACTCCACCATGTCTTCCAGAGAAGTCTGCAGCTCCATCAAATGCACAAGCAGCCATCTGTTTGGGGTCCAAATGACAAGCATTTAACTCTTCTAAGATGTGGGTTGTCATAGATGCAGCTGATGTGTCTTCTGTAACTTGAACATCTAGAAATGCATCTACTGGCCTACCACGGACATCAAGATAACATACACAGTGACTTAATACTTGATGCCCATTTGCATCGGTGCATTCATCAGCCATGTATGCAAATGTTTTGAATGTGGTGAGAGAGAGTTCTTCACTTTTTCAACTGTTGAGTCTTTCTCTGTTGCACTACATGCGTCTACCCAGTCAGTTGAGTTTCTTGCAGAAAGACAGTGAGCATTTGCTGGTCTAGTTTGGAACCAGTGTTCAACTTCAGGATGAACAAGTGACAATGCACTTAACATTGGCCTCCAGTTTGTAGTGTGTGGTATCTCTTGCTTAAATAGAAAGTACGATGCCACAGCCATGTTTGTTCGCATGAACTGTGTTGTGTCTCCAGCATTCTTAACAGCCTCATTAACACTCACTGGTGTTGTCCTTGGTCAGCGGAGACTCAGAGTTCAGAGGTGCTTTCACATGAGTTCACCTCCCAGGTGGGCGACAAGAAGGCACCTTGCTTGTTCCTCCAGCTGCTCACTGTTCGCTGTAGCCACTGTTGTTCGTTGCGCCACTGTTCACTCCATCGCTCTGTTGCCAATGGCCCTGAGCCATCACCTTCTGCTGTCACCTGCCACTGTGACCTCTGCAAGTTGGTCTCTTGAGGTTCCACCCAACTCTGTGATTTCAGCTGAGCTCTCAGTGGGGGAACCTGGCTGCTAGTGGAGACGGGGCCGTCTCTTTCACAGAAACACTGTCCCACAGCAGGTCTAAGCACTTAGACCTGATTATCAGTGATTTCAACTGTTGTGGTCACTTAACAAAAGACTATCTATGGAGCCTAATCAGCTCTGTCTTTTAAACAGCGGAGAGAGGCAGGTCAAATAGTACTTGTGACTCAGGGAGACCAACAAGCAAAACATCTGTCCCCACCCTCTCTCGATGCCCTCAATCAGCACAGGCTAAGTACAGTTTTATTGCCCTTTACTCATACAATAAGAACAACAACATTTCACACACACCCCACCCCCGCATTCAAATGATTTGTAACCCAACCCCAGCCAAAATCTATCACTTGGGCAACACAGCTCTGTTTGCTGGATACCTAGGTAGATTAGGTATGAATGTAAATACCATCTGGTCCTGAAGCCTTTTCCCCCAGCCCATCACTAGCTGTCGGGGAGAGCTCATTTAGACTTTGCTTACAAATCATAATTTGAAATTATTAGGTTGGCCAACATTACCGAAATGAATGCACTGACATGGTCATAAAAAACAACAGCTGTATAAGAAAGCTAGTCTATGTTCATACTTTTCAAATGTATTATACTTTTTCAGATACGCGCATTTTATCATACCCTTTATATGCTTTTAAAGTGTGTATTAATGTTTCAATTTCAATTCAAATTTCCAAACAATCACTGCATTAGCAACACTGTATGTAACCAGTTCACAAAACAGGGAGGGGGGTGTTGGGGAAATTCAGGAGGGGTGTAGAAATCCCTGGTCCGAGCCTCTCCATAATCTTTTTGTTCTGAAGACAACATTCAGTAGCAAATCTTCACTCGAATTGCAGGCCTGAGCCATGCTTCTTTTACAGTTAAATACATTTGGCAATTTTTAAATTGATACAAGTTGTATTGGTCTTTCAGTAACTCACCCATGACTAGACTTCTAAAGGAAAATTTGGCAGGCCACCAGGAATTTAAAAGGGGTAAACTACTGAAGCTTGAAAATCAGCTGCACAACATGTTCTTTTTACATCTTAGGTTTTTTCTAACGTACATCTGTACTGATATTTTAACACTGATTAGCACTGTTGAGCTTTTACTAGTTATTTACTAGACCCATTTAACTCCTCCTCCCCTCACTGTGGATTGACATACCACCTTTTAATGATTCCACCAGCCAAGTACCTGCCAAGGAGCTGCAGATTTCATACATTAATCTAAAAATAAACATTTTTGCAATTAAGCAAGCATTCATGCAATAGACTGAGGTCTTCAACATGTAATTAGACATTTATAATAAGTCCTAAAACACCTAGTTATATGCTAAACAGGAAAAGCACTCAATACCCACAGTGTTAGGGATATAAAGAAGCAGACATTTTAAAAAGCATCAATAAAATCCAAGATGAAAAGGTGGCAATGGACATTTGTTTATGAAAGTTACTTAAAAAAAAAAAGCACTTAAACTTATAAAAACCCTAAAAATTCAGAATTAACTCCAAAGATCAGTCCTCAATTCACCCTCATGTGGCCAGAAATTGAAGCTATCATGGTCCTGTATCTAAGTAGCCCGAGGACAGTGAGCAATCTTGCATGTCCTGTACTTTGCAATAATTAGGCAAATAGGTTCAAACAATTTTTGCCTCTGATTTAAATATTCTGCCTTCAGGAATCCAAGATCTTTCCCCACCCCACATTTCCATGTATATTTTTAGTGTAACGTGAATAAGATTGCCACACACTGAAGCATCTACCATTGTCTCATTACTGACACACAGACAATTCCATATACTCTAAGGAATCAGGACTTTAGAAATTATAATAAATACAGGACCAAGTACCTTGTGTCCCAGCTGAGCTGCCTCTCCCCGAGCTGCTGTTGCTATGGGATCAATAAGGTGCCCAATTTCCTGAACAACTGATGTCAACTGCTCCTGTAAAGCCTAACAAAAAGAGACATTGTCAGTTCTTTCCACAGCAATTCATTCACTGAACCACACCATCTCACAAGATACCCTCATGCCAGCTGAACTGCAAAGAACTCTGTCAAACCACATTCAACGGTATAAAGAGCAGATGCAAACTAGTAAGTTTTATTTACATGCTTGTCCATTTCTCCACATTTATCTTCTCCTCTTGCACGGTGCCCTGACAGAGGCTGTTTGCTGCACGTAAACATGAGGCACGGCGGAAAAAAGGCTCCTTCCAGCTCTGGCTTGCAATGCCTGTTCCTCCATTCGCTTCTAGCTCCAGTGGTAACATGACAAGTGATGCTATTGTTGCCTCTGATTTAATGACATTAGACTGCTCAGAAAAATCACCAGGACTGCTGAGCTAAACATGAATCAGCACTTTCAAGGCAACAGTGCACCACAAAGAGGAAAGTTTTAATTGTGGACTCCATATACACTGATATGAAAGGGAACGGAAAAATAAGTAATCTCCAAGTAGGAAATATGGACTGATCTCCAAAATACGGTAGTGGAGACATAAGGATAAAGAAGGGCAGGTATTAGAAATGCCAATACTCGAACTATTTCCCTCTAGTTCAAAGGCAGTTAATGCCTTTGTAGCCAGGATTTAGCTCATCCTGCAAAAAAACAATAAATAAAACACCATCTTTCAGAGTAACAGCCGTGTTAGTCTGTATTCGCAAAAAGAAAAGGAGTACTTGTGGCACCTTAGAGACTAACCAATTTATTTGAGCATAAGCTATCGTAAGCTACAGCTCACTTCATCGGATGCATACTGTGGAAGGAGTAGAAGATCTTTTTATACACACGCAAAGCATGAAAAAATACCTCCCCCCACCCCACTCTCCTGCTGGTAATAGCTTATCTAAAGTGATCACTCTCCTTACAATGTGTATGATAATCAAGTTGGGCCATTTCCAGCACAAATCCAGGTTTTCTCTCTCCCTCTCCCCTCCCCGCCCCCCACATACACACAAACCCACTCTCCTGTTGGTAATAGCTTATCTAAAGTGACCACTCTCCTTACAATGTGTATGATAATCAAGGTGGGCCATTTCCAGCACAAATCCACGGTTTAACAAGCACTTCCAGCTACCAACACTCCCAGCTACCTTCGAGACACCACTGACTTTTTGAGGAAACTACAATCCATCGGTGATCTTCCTGATAACACCATCCTGGACACTATGGATGTAGAAGCCCTCTACACCAACATTCCGCACAAAGATGGACTACAAGCCATCAAGAACACTATCCCCGACAATGTCACGGCTAACCTGGTGGCTGAACTTTGTGACTTTGTCCTTACCCATAACTATTTTACATTTGGGGACAATGTATACCTTCAAATCAGCGGCACTGCTATGGGTTCCCCGCATGGCCCCACAGTATGGCAACATTTTTATGGCTGACTTAGGGGACGAGAGCTGAGGAAGCGTTGTTCTAACGCCCCTACTCTACTTGCGCTATATTGATGACATCTTCATCATCTGGACCCGTGGAAAAGAAGCCCTTGAGGAATTCCACCATGATTTCAACAGTTTCCATCCCACCATCAACCTCAGCCTGGTCCAGTCCACACAAGAGATCCACTTCCTGGACACTACAGTGCTAATAAACGATGATCACATAAACACCACCCTATACCGGAAATCTACTGACCGCTATTCCTACCTACATGCCTCCAGCTTTCACCCTGACCACACCACACGATCCATTGTCTACAGCCAAGCTCTGCGATACAATCGCATTTGCTCCAACCCCTCAGACAGAGACAAACACCTACAAGGTCTCTATCAAGCATTCTTACAACTACAATACCCACCTGTGGAAGTGAAGAAACAGATTGATAGAGCCAGAAGAGTTCCCAGAAGTCACCTACTAGAGGACAGGCCCAACAAAGAAAATAACAGAACGCCACTAGCCGTCACCTTCAGCCCCCAACTAAAACCCCTCCAATGCATTATTAAGGATCTACAACCTATCCTGAAGGACGACCCATCACTCTCACAAATCTTGGGAGACAGGCCAGTCCTTGCCTACAGACAGCCCCCCAACCTGAAGCAAATACTCACCAGCAACCACACACCACACAACAGAACCACTAACCCAGGAACCTATCCTTGCAACAAAGCCCGTTGCCAGCTGTGCCCACATATCTATTCAGGAGACACCATCACAGGGCCTAATAACATCAGCCACACTATCAGAGGCTCGTTCACCTGCACATCCACCAATGTGATATATGCCATCATGTGTCAGCAATGTCCCTCTGCCATGTACATTGGTCAAACTGGACAGTCTCTATGTAAAAGAATAAATGGACACAAATCAGATGTTAAGAATTATAACATTCATAAACCAGCCGGAGAACACTTCAATCTCTCTGGTCACGCGATTACAGACATGAAAGTTGCGATATTACAACAAAAAAACTTCAAATCCAGACTCCAGAGAGAGACTGCTGAATTGGAATTCATTTGCAAATTGGATACAATTAACTTTGGCTTGAATAGAGACTGGGAGTGGCTAAGTCATTATGCAAGGTAACCTATTTCCCCTTGTTTTTTCCTCCCCCCCCCCCCCCAGACCCTGGATTTGTGCTGGAAATGGCCCACCTTGATTATCATACACATTGTAAGGAGAGTGGTCACTTTAGATAAGCTATTACCAACAGGAGAGTGGGTCTGTGTATGTGTGTGTGTGGTGGGGGGGGGAGAGGGGGAGGGGGAGGGAGAGGGAGAGAGAAAACCTGGATTTGTGCTGGAAATGGCCCAACTTGATTATCATACACATTGTAAGGAGAGTGATCACTTTAGATAAGCTATTACCAGCAGGAGAGTGGGGTGGGGGGAGGTATTTTTTCATGCTTTGTGTGTATAAAAAGATCTTCTACACTTTCCACAGTATGCATCCGATGAAGTGAGCTATGGCTCACGAACGCTTACGCTCAAATAAATTGGTTAGTCTCTAAGGTGCCACAAGTACTCCTTTTCTTTTTGCAAACACCATCTTTATGATTTGCTTTATTTACATATTGCTTTAAATAAGACTTGGTAGCTTGATAGTGTTGGGAGTTTGAATAAGCACTATTAGCAAAACAGGATGGACATTTTTAACAAGAGGAAAGAGGAATTAAGTTGTTTTTAAAAAAACCCCACTTTTGTGGTAACTTCATACACTTTTATTTCTTATGAGTCACTCCAGTAAGATGAAAGTTTAAGTGGTGTATCTAGCATTGCTGCTTAGCTTGAAAATACACAACCACTCTTGCAAATGCAAGAGGGCAAATTTGAGAGAGAAGGATTTCATACCAATTTCATTAAAATTGGAAGAAAATGAAAAGCTGTTTTGCGTAGGAGACAGGGACAATGATAACATTTACTATTAATGAGGAAACTTTACTTAAAATATGAAGTTTATCACTCAGAGTGCTCACTACATGCTATGAGTAATTGTTAGTAGCTTTTCTCTCATGAATATATTGAACACTTGCAATGTGGAATGCTTAGCTTGGGACTGTGCTGTCTGCTGTCCAATTTACTGAAGCAGTTGATCAATGTATGATATCTTAGTATTAAGGCACAAAAGCAAATATGCAAAAATGATGTCCCTGAGGCCTACTCTGATGAGCTGCTAAATCGCATCTAGCCATCCACCCTTAACAAAACACTCATTTCATCTGCATTTCTTATTCCTTTGCTTTTTCCCCATCTTATAATCTTATACACAATTTAAGCAAGCTCCATTCCCCAGTAGGTAAACATCAATGTCATCCCAAATTTTATTTTGCCTCACTACCTTCCCTATCATAAAGCCCTATTAACACCACCATTAAACACCCCAGATTAGGCCAGAAATCAGTCTCCCCATGAACAAATCTGTGAATTTGCCATAAGAGCCTTCTAATGGGAAAATTTCTACCCTGAGGGCAGTCTGTGCTGCCTCCACACAGTTCCTAGTTCCAATGTTTTCCTTCTGATATGAAGGAAAGCAAAAGACAAGTAGGAGTGCTTAATTTTACTCAGTTACAGTGCAGTCTGCCTTACCTCAACTGAGATGTCATCCCTTGTGGCCAAGTTCTGACTGACTGCTGCAAGGGAAGCCTGCTCAATATCTCTAATACATCTATTGATTCCATCAATGGAGTAATCACATTCTCTCTGGCCCGGGGCTTTGTCCCTGAAACAAAAAGAAGATAGGGTAATTCAAGGTTGAAGAAGGTCCTCATTCATGAATTCACACACAAACGCATTTCATTAATAGACAATATATGAGGCAAGTGGAGCAGCAAGGAAGAGAACTAGGTTTGTTGTACCAATAAGGGTTTGATATACATAAATAGCTGAAAGAAGAGGAGTACTTGTGGCACCTCAGAGACAAGTACTCCTATTCCTTTTGCGGATACAGACTAACACGGCTGCTACTCTGAAACCTGTCATAAATAGCTGAGATATTCTGGATGTTTTGTGGCATGTAAGCCCTTGGGATTTGGCAAGAAAAGGGAGCTTTTAATGAAGCAGAACCAGGATACTCTCCCAGGTGAATAAGTAGCTGCACTAGCCACCTCAGAAAAGAGCCCTCCTAAGGTGGCCATGGCAGAGGACTTGAATAAGCAGGACTTAAGGAGCAACTGAGACAGATGAACAAAGCCTCTCACCTTCTGTTGAATGCAGGGGAGAAATCAGCCAATAGCTCCATGAAGAACTCCTTCTTTACTCTCAAGTTTTACTTTTTTTACTCTCAAACGCAAATACATTTTAATGGAAATTAATCTGTGGGGACTTTAATCTAGACTAGCAGTTTCTGGTTGAAGTATAAAATCATGAAAGGACAATATTAACTTAGATGCTAATACACAGCCACCAACATACAGTTTATTCACTCAGTACCCAGTTCCATTAAGAGTTAGAATACATAATGTAATCCCTCTTTTCAAGTGTGTTTAAATTTGTATACAAAGGAGATTTAGTGCTTCTTCTAAAATTAAGGCACGCGTGCGCGCACACATGCAAGAACAATCTTATAAAGTAAACAGGAAAAAAAACCGTAGTAGAGAACAACATTCAAATATCAGAGGGGTAGCTGTGTTAGTCTGGATCTGTAAAAGCGGCAAAGAGTCCTGTGGCACCCTATAGACTAACAGACGTATTGAAGAATAAGCTTTCCTGAGTGAATACCCACTTTGTCGGATGCATGCGACCTACGAAAAGCTTATGCTCCAATATGTCTGTTCGTCTATAAGGTGCCACAGGACTCTTTGCCGCTTTAACAACATTTAAGTTACTTTGGTCCTGATATAGCTAAGCATTTCAGAATGTGCTTTGCTGAATCAGATCCCTAGACATCCCATTTGATTTGCCTCAAAATTATTGTCAATTTGTAGGGAATGTTTTCCATGTTCTGAATACTGCTAAGTGTGTTTTAAATATGTTACAATTTACATAGGCCCTACCATATTTTCTGCTCTATTTGCTTTAAACTCAATAAAAGGAGGAACTTGGCAAAACCCCCACTTTCCAGAGCTGTGCAATCATCAATGATGATTGCACACCAAGTATAAACAGAGAGACCTTGTGCTCCATAGAATGCAATCAATGTTTGTCAAACAGACAAAGGTACAAGCTGCTAAGAAATTAAATTTCATTTTCAAGCTTTGAAGAATGAATAAAACAATGGAGGGCAATAGAGAAAAAATAACTCTCTTACCACAGCTCCCTCTGTCCCTTCAACTATCCATGACTTACTCTTATAGGATAAGAAACTTTTGCTCTATGGAAAGCAAATGATGTTCAAGTCCCTTTACATGGTTTTCATCGATAAAATGACAATGGCAGCATGGGCCACTAGGTACCACCATTTCATTCTACATACTGGATAAGGTGCTGGGGCATTACGGCATGAAAGTGGAAGATTAAAAAAAAGTTATGACAGAAAACACACCTAATGGAAGTGATCAGACTCTTAATTGAATCTGAAACCGTGTGTGAATGCCCAGCAAGTATAGACCAGGTAGGTGGATCTTTTGGATTGATGGCCAGCGAACGAGCAGTTTTGATCAATAAAGCTGAGCTCTCCAACATCGTCTTGGCGGAAATCAGAATTGGCTCCTGTGCTCGAGATCCCTGTGATCAAAAGAGCAGCAAGACACATGCACAAGGAACAGAATTAGAATCTTCTTCAAAACGAGTGGCAAACGCTTGGACTTGCCTGCATTCTAACAAAGACATGTATTGAGGGAGGACTGAACGTAACACTGAACTATTCATCTCTCCCGCACTAACAGGAAATGCAGAACATTTGTAAGTCACCCTTGGAACTTGTCAATTTATTTTGCTCCTGAAGAACTGGTTCTATTTAGGGCATGCGTAGATCATCAAGATCTGCACCATCACGTAATATTAGACGGGGAGAAGTCACTGCAGTAAATTCACTGTAGAAAGCAAAAAAATCTGGCTAATTTTCTGTTTGCTGTAATTAAGGAGACCACTTTCAGATTAGCAAAGAGGATACATTCAAGTGAAAAGAGAAGCCCATGACTCCTGCCAAATGGAGAACTGGTGGGTATAATTTAGCAGCATGATAGCCAGTTGTAACCATTATGAGATATAGGCAAACATGCCTTCTCAGAGGATTAGTTGAATATGGCCTATAATATTGTAACTGGGTTACAATATTTGTACCTAATATCCTGATTGGATGCCAGCAAGCTAGAAACACCAACTACAACAGGCCTGGAGGGGGCAGGCCCCAAGCCTACATTAAGTCCCACAACATGTGGATCCGGACAGACATAATTACTGAATCCTCTGCTTCTGCTGTCTCCAGTTTGGGATGAGGCCACTGAAAGCAGGAAACAGTTTGCAAATCAACTCTGAACATGTCTGCAATGCTATATAAGCTCTGTTACAATGGGATTTTACATAGTTTTGAACGAGCTTTAGTCTCCCAAAACGTTAAATGGTTTTGTTTTGTGAAACATAACTCCCCACAAAAAACTACTTCTTGTCAGCACAAATTCCCACCACTTGATCCAGACGCGGGACTGTCACGTAAGCCATTCAGTGCATGCTAAGTGATAATTTCATTTTAAATTGTAATGCTGGCTTTGAAACCTGGCAGATTTATGACTTCCCCAGATGGTGAGAAGTATCTGACACAACGTGCAAGTCATTAGTACCACATTGTACCACATGCTAGCAACAAGAGATAAAAGTTGTTATCGCAGCATCACAAGGCTTGTCATGCTTGTACGAAATTCAAGGTCAGTGATTAACTGAAAGAGAGCACTGCCTGCAAGAGGTCCATACGAAGGAACTCAAGGAATGCAGCCTGGCAGATGAGATCAGCCCTTCAGTGAGGGCAGAGGTTTCAACCAGGAATGAGCTTTTGTCGCAGGTTATCAGTTGTACAGGGAAGGTGGGAAAAACTATGTTTCACGTATCTCTGCTGTAAGCAATTCTTAAGGGAAAAGAAGGAATCTTGAATACAGGACTGGCCAAGTAAGAAAAATAAAGGATTATTCACTCCTTTGGTTGACAGTGTATCACTTGTTACTTTAAATCAGTGGTTCTCAAACTTTTGTACTGGTGACCCCTTTCACATAGCAAGGCTCTGAGTGTGACCCCCTCTTATAAATTAAAAACACTTAATATATTTAACACCATTAGAAATGCTGGATCCAAAGCGGGGCTTGGGTTGGCGGCTGACAGCTCACGACCCCGCCCCATGTAATAACCTCGCAACCCCCTGAGGGGTCCCGACCCCCAGTTTTAAATCCACATAAATGTTGTTCCTGATTTGGGATCATAAGTCCTGATCCTGCAATGAGTTCTGCTTGCCCACATGGAACTCAATGTAGGATCAAGTTCTTCAAAGGTTTTCCTGGTTACAAAAGTTTAACTCTACATTTCAACTTTGATAATAAAGCTAACTTGAGGGCAGGAGAGCACCTCACGTGGTTACTTTGTGATACAAATAAAACTCTCTATCTACCTCCATGCTGATCTGGGCTGGTATACTGACAAACTCTGGATTGGAAGCAAATGCTGTCAGATTTTCCACAGCTTCAATCAAAGGTGCAGTCGCAATTCTACACTTATTGCGGTTATCTTCAGAGAAATCACCGTCCAGGGCCTGGCAAAGAACATGGCAATTAGTCTCTGGCATGCAAGAGCCCATTTGTAAAGGCTCAGCAGGGTCATATACTGAAGGAAGATGGTTTAATTCACTGTAACTTTCAAAACATTTATAACATTTGAGATTTGCAAAGAGATTTGAAAGTTCCTCCAGACACAAGACTGATCTTAACACTTTAGAAAAAAGAAGTAAAATTTAACACAGTATGTTTCTTCACTTATTCATATGATTATTGACCCCAAACCCAAAGCAGCTGTGCTGCTATGAAGAACAGGAAAAAAGCTTAAAATAATTGCACTCTGATGACTTCCCATAAATCATGTTTTAATACCTCAAGTCCACAGAGGTGGAAGTTGCTAACAAGTTGATCCTTTTCTTAGAAACTAAAACCTCTAAACCAGACATTTGTCTTCATAGCTGTTATTGACTCATTCCCACATAAGTGAACTCATCTCCTTCATAATCTCGCAGGAAACAGCTCAACATGAAAGCAGCTTCAGTGGAGAATCATAACAAAATCAAGTCCTCTGAATCTAGTTGTTTTACAAGAATTTTAGCAGCAGGCCATCTAATGGCTTACTGAAAGATTCAGATTCGTGATTCCGAGGTTTCTCACAAGCTTCATTCCTTCTCACAAGAAGAGAAACCGCTTCCTACCGGAACTCAGGGAGGTATTTAGAAAAAGAAATGGTTGACATTTAACAAAAGCTAAATCTTATTTTTAGCTTGTATATTTCAACTCTGAAACGAGCTAGTCTCTCTCAATTTTGAGTGTTATTTCCGATACACAAGTGGAGTCCCTGAGAGGGTGTCACCAACCTCAAACCCTGGATTCCAGACAACTAATAGCGAGAATTGCAGAGGTCACCTGTTTCATATGCAGCAAAAGCATTTAGGCCTGGTCTACACTTGAAAGTTGTACCAGTATTACTATGCCACTTGGGGTATGATGTTTTACTGATATACAAGTACAAGCGCAAGTATACATGTGCCTATAATAAGCATAGCTGATATGCTCTAGGAATTATTTTGGGGGAAGTTCTATGGCCTGCTCTATACTGGATGTCAAACCAAATGATCACAAAGGTCCTTTCTGGCCTTAAAATCTATTAATCTAGTCTCTCCTCTTATTAAGGTTGCCCAACACTTCCCATTATAAGACCCTGATTTTAGTTGCTTATAACTTTGCCAAACTTTAACTGTTTGGGATGAAACTTTCCATCCTTGTAGCAGGTCCATCCTGTTCTTTCAAGTAAAAAATACCAAAGAACTAGGGAATTACACATACAAAACTATGTTAAAAGAACATTTTGTTAAGGTTACGAAGGCAAGCACTCAAAGGTTAAGAGCTGCAAGGATAAAGGTTGCCTGTGCAATCTTAATTAGTCTCCCATGTGCTTATAACACCATGATACAGTCTTTAATTCCACAATCATGTACAATTTTTTCTCGTCTCTTTCCTGTGCACAGGATAGACCTGCTCTGAGGATCTATCACAGCTGTGTAGCAAAGGAAAATGTTGTCTGTAGGACCCCTGCTTTATTTGCTGGGTGTTGTGAAGATAAATTAATGTCATCTGAGTGTGAAACACACAGATAATACAGTGATGAGCACTGCAGAAAAGCCCCTGAACACATTAATAATTCTATCTTCAAAGCAGTGGTTTAATAATGTACAGTAAATAAGGTATGGGCCACACATTGAATGGGGAGGATAAAACAATATTGAACAGCTGCTCATTAAGTGAGCACCATTCATTCTATGTACTCAATGAGGCAGGAGTCCTGTGGAAAAAATGGTATGTGATCATGTAATTAAAGACTGTATCACAATGCATATGCACAAGGGGTCAAATTAAGGTTTCACAGTTTGCATTTTGAGTGCTTGACTTTGCAACTGTAATAATCTTTTTAAGTGTGTGTGTGTGTGTGTGTGTGTGTGTGTGTGTGTGTGTGTGTGTAATAGCTGTTTAGCTTATATCCCTTCCCATATGGGAACAGCTCTATGTTATAAAGCCCCTTTATGCCAGTAGCGCGATTCATAACTCTTTATACAGTTTCTTTATAACTGCATCCACACTAAGGAGGCTTTGCCACTTTAACTATACCAGTACAGTTAAAGTGTTACAGCTTTCCAGGTTACACAAGGTGTGTCTGTACAGTACCTAGCATAATGGGGTTCTGGTCTATGATGGGAGCTCCTTATGAATGACAGTATTTTAAAAAGCATACTGCAAAGAGAAAGAAGTTACTGTTAACCAGATCTTCTGTTTCAGCAGAGCAGAGGAGAAATGAAAGCATAACGAAAGAGAACGTGTACCTTGATAGTTTTCACCAGGTTGGCGGTGCTGTTTGCGACCTCCTTAGCAGATTGCACAAAATGTCTCTTGGCAACGGGGTTGGCTGTCTTCGATGAAGCAATACGACAAGCATTACACAAAGCAGAAGTATGCTTGGCCACTATTGTGGCAGCTGATAAAACCTGAAAAAACAGATGGCACAAAAGAGGTGAAGAACCAGGCAAAGGAACGAGGTAGTAATGACATTCTAATTCTGAACAAACAGCGATTCAAACCCTTTCTATGTTCACAAACTGAGTATTTCCCCTCACCAACCATCCATATAAAGCAAACAGATGGCTCCTAATGAAACTCAGAAAAGGTCTCATTACAATCCTCTGGAAAGAGTTACCTGTGATGGGCTACTTGCTGGATCCACCAGATTCTGACATGCCATCTGGATTGCCTGATTGGCCCTGGCAAACTGGATAGGGTCGACAAGCCCCTGGTGACCAGCCTGACTGTTGGGATCTGAGATGCCAACTAGGTAAGCGGCCTAGAAAGGGAGCAAGATTAAATTAAAAGCAAATGTGAAGATTATGCTAAACCCATTCCAACTGTTTAATGAGCCAGCCAAATGTTTATTGACCAGGGTGATCAGGCTGTAGTTAGAAGTCATATAGCAAAGCTGCTATTAATAAATGCCTAGCAACAAGTCTGTAGTAGGATGTAAAAGCTGGCGTGTCTGTAATATGATTTGTGAAATCTCATTAGCCTGAACAAAACTACTCAGCAAAATCCAAAGGGTAAAGATACTTCATTATCCAATAAGCATCGGAGGAGAACTGATTTATCCCTAGGGTAGCCAGGTAAGAACTCTGATGCTGACTGTTCAAGGTAACTTTCATCCATCCAGAGCAGCCAGATTTTGAGGGGCCCAGTATTTTAGTCAGCTATGAATAGAAAACTAAAGACTACAGTTGCCCACACATCACCTTTTCACGCCATGATGAAAAAACTATGCTCTTCAATGTACAATGAAGCATAAAGTTACACGTGTTAGTCACAGCACAAAAGAGATGCTTTGTTTCTAGAGCTGACTGTAGGGCCCATCCAGCTGCAGGCTACACCCCAGGTAAGGACACATAATGGTCAGTGATGAATCTCAGTTTTTATTTAAACAATGATTCTACACTTCTCACCACAGAGATCAGGATTTATTTATATAGTCAAAGCTGTATTCGGAGGTTTCTTTCTGATTTCCTTTACAGATAGGACTAACTGTGGGGCCCAGGAAGCCCACAGTCACAGATTAATTATATTTTTGTGTGTGGGGAGTGGAGGGGGAAGAGGACAGCAGAGCAATTTGCAGCTGCATAGGATGGTCCCTCAGTGTTGGCTCCTCCACTGAGAAGGCAATATAGCTTTTGGTCATCAGGGGGAGCAGCTCAATAACTTGGGACTCAGGCTGGTTTGAAGTATGCAATTTTGGCAGACTGATCCAACAACATTAATACACCTCTGAATGTTGCAACATTTTATGCTTCTTAGATACTGAGAAAATATCCAGACAGTCGTAATGGGTCTAAAACATACATTTACCATAATCTCTTTTCCTTTGCTAAAAGGGAATGCGATTATGTATAGTTTGAAGACATGGGCTGATTATTAGAAATGACCCCCAGAATGCATTTTTTTGTGATTAGCTTAAGGCACAAAGCTCAAGTTACCCAGCTTCCAAGTAACTCAGGCTTGCCTGTGCTTCCTTCTACTAAATTAGTTCTGAGGGGGCAAGATCTTGGGGACTGCGCATAGAACTGGGAGGTACAAACACACAAATTCATGGCATGGCTCTGACACTTCCTCTATAAACTTGGGAAACTCATTTAACCTCCCTGCCTCATTCTCCCTCCATACAAAACAGGCATAATATTGCTTCCCTCACCTCACAAGTGTGCTGTGATGCCGTATTACTTAATGTCTGTCCCACTCTTCCAAGATGAAAAACACTGAACAATGCAAATATTTTGATTCTTTGGCCAACAGGAATGAAAGCTCAAATATTCACACACACAAGATACAGCAATACAGAAACAAACAGATTCATATTTGTTTTACAGGCTTCATGAACAAGTGGTTACCTGGGCTGCAGCCTCTGTGAGACCACAAAGAGCCTTGGAAGCAACTCCAACACATTCTCCAAAGACCAGCAAATCCCCAGTCTTGGCATTCTGGGAAATGCCTGCCATTGACTCTCCAAGGACCTTAACAATTGAAAATAGGGTAAATTATTCCCCCAGTATACTTCACTCTACACGGCAGTGTTTTCCAAGCTTTCCTGGACTGCACACAGGAGCAGAAGCAACTACTCAGCACAGCCTCTTTGCCTGACCCAAAACACTTGCTGAAACTTAGTGGAAAAAGTACTTGCAGCTTGGCATACAGGAAACGTCCCAACATTGGAATGCCTGTAACATTTTAGTGTTTGTCCCACCGAAGCCTATCTTGCTTGGTTTTTTTTAGCTTGCAATGTCTCTGGTATAGCAGCAAAGCAAACAAATTCCATGTTCCAGTGCATTAGGCATCCTCCTTTTCTTTTAGATTATGAAGATTTTGGGATTATTCCAATGCATCACACACTGAAAAGGTCAAAATGAAGATGCACTAAAACTTTCAGGGGAGGATTTCCAGAGTGTGGTAAGATTTTCACTGTAAAATACTTTTGCGGTGATATAGTGGTAACTTTTAACACTTACAGAATTGATTAACCGCCATGGAGTAGACACAGTGAAAAACTAATTTCAGTTTGAATCACAGTTGGAACAAAGGTTTATTCCAATAGGCAAAGCTACTCAATAAACACAAGCTTTTTTGGCGGGGCTGGTGGGGGGAAATGAAGTTTTAAAACTAAAAAAGTTGTTTCCCATAGATTCTAGTTTAAACACAGGACATAAAATAGCTAAAATTAATCCACATTTTACAGTACTTGCTGGTATGCTGAAGTATTTGGATTGCTAGTGAGTTAGGTCTCAGACAATATCACAAGGCAATCACATGACACTAAATGCTATCAGCACAGTAGGTCTTCAGATGAACAAACAAGCCAAACAGCAGCATAAAGATTGCTCACAAGAGTCTCAAATGGAGTTTTACCAGAGAATTTCATAAAGTTAGAGCACAAGAATTTTTCCTAGAAGCAGACCTTCTTTTTCCAATGTATTTTATTAGCATGCAAACCCCTCCATTGATTAGAAATTGTTTAACACATACACACGGAAGTAGAGTAACAGAATTACCTTGGAGTTTTCCATAACACCTTCAATACAATCAAAATATGAGAGGTCGCTTACAGGTTCATTGGGGTTATCCAGCATTCCCTTAACTGTCTGAAAGAAAGGAGAGCAGCTTCAGTTACTACAGTAGCTATAACACGGATCTGAGCCAGACAAATACACCACCACAATAATTAAACCAGTGGACACATCTGCACATCCTAGTTTCTTTATCTCCAGGCAAAGAAATATGATTCCCAGACACTGCAGTATGTAGATATTTTAGTAACCGACTATTTGTAAACTTTCCTCTGTGTTACCATATCACAAACTGGCAAACCCCCTTTTGAACTCAGAGCCTTCCTGGGAATAAAAACATTGATTCAAGAAGCTGCCACCTCTTGTTACCTGCTGTGTGGAGACACAAAGAGTCACCTGGCTAAATGTAAGTGCACCATCTGCTTGCATTTTTTTCCCCTGCCAACAGAACCTCCCAGCACCGTTCCCTCTGTCAAATACTATCGGAAAATACTGATGTGACAAGTAGAATTAAGTAAGAGTTGCCCTTCTCCTGGGGTGAACCCAGACCTTGAGAGTACTGCACAGAGTTATCCAAGGGAGAAGCTACTTCATATATTGTAAACAGGAATCAATATATTTGGACAAAACTATTCTCACAACATAAAAAAAAAAAATATCCAAAGGGCAAGTCTCCTCTTTTGCTTAAATTGTTTTTTTTAAGCTGATTTTCATGCTTACAGTCAAGAACGGAAGCTGAATAACAGCCCAATGAGCTGTATAACACACTTTCCAACATGAGTGAAATCAGGAAGTATAGGAAGTTAGTAAGGGGCTACAGCTGAAAGATTTGCTGCATGATTTTCTTCAGCAAAGGAAATCTGAGCAAGAATTTAAATGTTAGATCTTTTATCAGACCTTAACTTCTAACTCTAAAGCATTTTTCTGAAGTTGAGCCATGCTTTGTCTGCTGTCTTGTAACAGCCTAAAAATTACGGTCAAGATCATTTCCTTTAAGTACTTTACTGTCAGTTATCTTACTGTATGAAAAAGGCAGCGTTAACAAGAGATCTCTTCCGCCAACTGTTCTGCTGTTGCTTCCTGCTCCCCTCTTTCTCTATCCCCTAGACTACTTAAATACCCTGCTCCACCCCTCCGTAGCAATTTACTGAGTAGCAGTGAGCAAATCATGTTCTATCCACATATTCACTGCTCCAGAGACAGGAGCTGTAAGACTCCCTGGACAGATGACAGGAAGGAGTGAAAAAACAGAACAGCAGATTGACAGTTAAAATGCAACTGCTGCTGCTAAAAACCCTCCCGTCTGTTCCTTATCCTGAAGTGCTAGGAGTGACTTGCCACATCCATCTGCCTAGGGAGAGTTAAACAAGGTCTCCACACTCCTGGGAAAGCACAAAGTCTGTGCAGCTTTGCTTGATCTGATCCACAGGGCAGGCCCCAGGGTATGTGGACACTATACCTAAGTCACTGATGAAACACTTGAGTTCTACTAACGCTATACTTCCCAGTTATTGTAGGGAGCCTCAGGAGGCAAGTAGGAGAAATGGGTGAATGAGGTAGAGAAAAAGGCAGGTGATGGGGAAACACCCGTATAGCTTAACCATAATAAAAATGAAATGGGGAGCACCTATTGATGTTGATGGGCACTCCTATAAGCTTCTTATAGGTTTACCTAGGTCTGGCTTCAGACCCTGCTGCTGCCTCTGTTTCCCCTTCTGCCCAAGTTCATCTGGACTTCACACTGCAGAGGTTTTCCCACTAACAGTCTCTTTTCAAGAGTCTGGGTTATTAACCAAGTTCAAAACACCACAAATCTTCCACCTAGCCTTCCTCAGACAAAATTTAGTCATTTCAGTAGGTAACTGGCTTCAGCATCCACCTAGCTTTTCCCATAGGCTCAAGTCTTTGCAGCACTTTATCAGAGCTTTCCCTTGCTTATAGCTCTCCCACCAGGCCCACAGACCTTGGCAACTCTCCTCGCTGAGGATTCCCTCCCAGCAGGCTCCTGCTCCTTACAGGTCTCTGGAGAGGTGTCACCTGTCTTCTCAACATGGTTCCATTTTACATGGAAGAAGCTACAGGCAGTCAGTCTCATTTCTAGTTTGACTTTTATATTAATATGGGCAAATCTCACAGAAATGGACAATTAACAGTAATGAACAAAGACAGGGACAGCAAGAGAGCAAGCACTGTTCAAATTTTCATCCAAAGCTCTGCTAATATTTGCTATTTGTGTCTAGGGACTCTGATCAGAGCTTGCCAGTCACATCAACCTGGGTGCTAGCAGGTCTGAGACCTCATTTGTTCACTCAGTGCTTAATTCCTTTCTGCTCTACTATCGCTTTTTCCTCCAGTTAAATCCCATCTCTCGCCACTCCTCCTTTGGGATCAAAGAATCAAGGAAGAGCTGTGTAATCAGCCTATAAGTTTTTCCATTGACTTTCTCCTTGGTCTGTGTTATTAAAAATATCACTCTTCACTGATATTTCCAGACACTGGTCATGCATCAGGTTTCAGAGTAACAGCCGTGTTAGTCTGTATTTGCAAAAAGAAAAGGAGTACTTGTGGCACCTTAGAGACTAACCAATTTATTTGAGCATAAGCTTTCGTGAGCTACAGCTCACTTCATCAGATGCATACTGTGGAAACTGCAGAAGACATTATATACACAGAGACCATGAAACAATACCTCCTCCCACCCCACTCTCCTGCTGGTCATGCAGTAAATCAAGGAGAAAAATTGACTTTAAGCACAACTGTACTGTACACAGGTGATTTGAAATTTAAAAGCAAAAGAAAAAAGTGTTTTGTTTAGTGGTAAAAATGCCAGGGCAAAGTCCTTGGACTTTTACTGCTGAGAGTTCTTACAAATATTCACTGAAACTGTTACTGTTATTAAAAGTGTGACAGCTCCATATCTCCACTCCCACACCTACTATAACACACTGAGCACTGGTTGCATTTCAGCTTGAATTCATCATCGTGACATCCTTCTCCCTCCCTCCCCGCTCTTCCCAACAAAAATCAAAGCATTTTGATGCTTGTTGCCAACCCAAAATACACAAAATCACTGGATTTGAGATTTCCCAATAACTCTGTTAATATGCCTTTTCTAAATAATATAATTAATAAAGAGAAGAAACAAAGCACAGCACCGTAACATTTCTGATTTAGAGACTCATTCTCTTTGCTCCACTGAACAAGGCACATCCACAGATGAAAACTGAGGATCTCTCCTGGCAGCAGCTCTGAACTGTGGCAAAGTCACATGCTGTAGCTTGAAACAATTTCTACAAGTACACTGTAACAAACTGAGAGTCAAATGAGACTACACTGTGTTGTACCCACTTTTATTAGGGCCAAATTTGGTTTTGAGTGTTAGTACCACCCCACTCCTTTCCTTACAAGATCCTAAACCATTTGGTTTTAGGGATCATGACCTCTTCTACAATCATTTAAGAAGCCCTTGCTTCTAACAGAACTGGTGGCATCTAAGGCATCTAATTAATTCATCTGTTCCTTTTAGCCTGAAGAAGGAATGATGGAAAAAATGTAGGCATAAAGTGAAAGCCTCAGCATGGAAAGGCAGTAATCAGCATTACAAACACAGCCAGAAAGCCACATCACACTGCTGATCACATCAGCTCTGCACAAGAGGAGCCAATGTCATGCTGAGGGAATTCTTAAAGTACCAAGAAAAAACACTTCCCACGGCCCTTTCATTTTTTGTCTTGAATCACGACAAAAATAGCATGTGCATGTGTAGGAACAATGTAATATGCAGTGTGGTTTCAGCCTTGTTGGTCTCAGGATATTATAGACCAGGTGGGTGAAGTAATATCTTTTATTGGACTGTGATGACTAAGTTAACAAGGCCAACTGACAACTCTCCTAGACCACCTACTATACAGAACTCAAAGATCCCCCCACTCCAAACCACAACTTAACTATGAACTTAAAGACATCATCAAATCCTTCCCCAAACAACTCCAAGAGAAACTCTACAAACTCATCCCCCACAAACCCATCCCAGGGACCTTCCACATGTGTCCCAAGATACACAAAGAAGAAAACCCTGGCAGACCAATCATATCTGCCCATGGCACTTTTACTCAAGGAATATTGGGATTCATAGAAACCATCCTCAAACCATTCACCACACAAAGGGCCAGCTTCCTTCCGCACACACCTGATTTTTTCCACAAACTCCACAATATTAACATCCTCCCTCAGAACTACACACACTGTGTCACCCTGACTACACTGACAGAAGCCCTACACCTCTTGTGCAGGTGGAGTTATTATGTCAGTGTAGTAGGGCACTTACAGCAGCGGGAGCAAGGACGTAGTGTAGACACTGACATACTTAGGCTGACATAAACTGCCTAAGTAACTTAACACCAATTTAGCTTAGCTTCACACACTATTGCCTAGCATTTTGGAGCAGGTGCTGATTGGTTTGATATTAACGTACGCACCTGGCCTTTCAGCAAGAGCAAACTAACTACAATTTACAGAGGTATTGTCAAAACACTCATGTAGCAGAACACAATAGAGTGTGTGTACTAGACCACACAATGTTGAAAGACATTCAGCTAGACTGAGATAAAGAAAACATGAGGAATTAGAAGTCTAGAGGAATATAAAAATCATGGAGTAATTCGTGATCTACTTTTCTGAGATGTGACTTTCAGAATCATCGATTTCCAATTACACAGAGCCACAGCAGAAAAGCTAAGATGTCACGGCTTCCTTCAGGGTACTATCAGCCATCTTAGTGAAAGATTTCTTAGTGTAAACCCTTCTCCCCATGTCCTCTGAAAGTGACTCTTGTGTGTGCACCCTCCAAACTGCTGCAGTGGAGACTGGTATCTTTATAGTCCTATATACGGCTGCTCTGTCATGTGGGGTAAAATGTAAACTCCCTTTCGCCAACTCAGTAGAAGTTGTGCTATGTTTGTCTCCACTAGAAAGCTCTTTGCATATCTCATATACAATTAGAGGGAAAAAAATTCTGCCACAGATATCAAGTGGGGGAGACTATGACACAGCGGCTATTCAGACAGGGAAACGAAAATGTAAAGCCTGACCGACATCTTCAGCACAGGAAGGTTCACCCCATGAGACCACAAGCTTGAGCATACCTCCAGTTCTCTGAGAGCATTGTCACACTCCTTCTGCCCCGGAGCCTGTTGGGTACACAGAGTGATGAGCTGGTTAATACTCTCCGTCACCGCTCTAAGGAGGGGGGAAAAAAGAAAAAAAAAAAGATTTTGAAAACTGACTAACTTCCATTATTTCCAATTTTGTCTTATTCATCCGTATACTATGAAAAGCAGTTTCAAGCCCAAAATATTCTTCCACTTCTCTCACCGCTGGTACTTTCGGAGTGAGTGAGCAATATCATATTTGGTGGGGAGAATACTAACCCTAATACAATACTAACCCCTGCTGAGAAAAACATAGTGAAAGAGACTCCAAGTGAAACTGGTCAACAGTAATCCTCACCTCAAACATAAGCCCTCTGTCCAAATCATTTGTCACTTAGCACATAAGCTATAGGTGGGATCTTCCTGTCATGATGGCAAGTTTCTAGGACATTTGCACAGTTTTGGTTCATAAAGGAAATCTGATGCATAATAAATGTAAATTATTTGACAGTTTATTTTATTCTGGATCTAATGTTATGGTGCAAATTCAAAATTAAGCCTGGCCACACAACCACTATGCTTGGAAATGTCAGGAAACAGCAGCACCTAAAACCCACTTCCTAGCAAGCCAGGCTGTAGCACTGTTGTGCTCAGAGTACAATAAAAATTATTAAAAAAACAACCACCCAACATCTCTCCCCGAATAAAAAACAGAACGGTAGCAACTGTGTTGGCCAGAAATCCCATGGGGAAGTCGATGGCATGGGCCCTCAACCTGACTACCACTTTGTATAACCAAATGAGGGTGGAACTAAATTTTTCAACCATTTCAAATACTATACAAGCCCTGGTTTAGACAGAGTGTACTTTAGAGGATGTTGTGTTTGGCTGCTTGATGATCAGACTCTCAGCATTATAGACACTAATAAAAATGTGTGTTTTGAAAACCATCTTTTTTATTAAAGATCAAGAATGTTGCTAACGATACCTGATCACGCAGACTACATCAGATGCAATTAAAAGTATTTTAAATCATATGAACCTATCCTACATCTCACTGATAAGCACTGCCTCGTGCCTTCAAAGTTAATCTTCTATGGAATATGAAAATTCAACTGAAAAGATTCTGCAGATACAGGGGCAGTGGGTGGGGAGAGTGGGAGGGTCTAAGACAGAAGCAGAATGAAAAATATGTCAGCAAATGCCATGGTTTGTTCCATACTATTTTTTTTTCCAACTTGAATATTCATTTAACACAGTTTGTGTGTGTGAGACAGAGATATGTACAAGTCTCTCCATTGCTTTCTTCTGGCACTCAGATATGACATGATACCTGTGCACAACTAACAAAACTGTAGAGGAAAACTAGTAGAGACAGACGAAAGAATGGCTTTGTGAATATCAGAGAGAGTGAGAGAGAGAGAGCAAGAGAAAGAGAGAGAGAGGTTAGTACAATTGTAAGCTAAGGAATTTTATGTTTTAGAGCAATCCCGAATCTGACAGTCACGTGTATTTTGCATTTTTCCAGTTTTGTTTGGTCTTGAGTTTGACGCTGAGTATAGAAACTAGTGAAGGTGTCATCAGCCCTTGACCAGATTTCACAACATGGCCCACACCATTCAGAGGAGCAACCCTTTGTTTTGTACAGTAGCTATACACAGCAAAGATTTCTACAATATTGGTGATGCTTAACACTATGTGGAAAAATACAATGGCTGCCATTTGACGATCTGCTGCAACACAAGTGACATATGTGTAATCCTTTAATGAGGATTTCTTAAATTCAGTGCTCAGAGATGGGTAGCAGTAACTTAATTTAATACTGAGGACCACGTTGTCATAGACAGTGCGACATGTACAATGCTGCACTCTTAGCCAAAATCGTACAACAGCCCAGTGGAAACTGCAGCAATTGCTTAAATGGATAATGAGAGGAAATTGTTTTAAAGCAGCTTAGCAATTTTGGTCCAAGGAGGAGATCCTGGACCACCTTATGAGCCTGGTTTTCCTGTGCCACCCGCAGTACACAGATCACAAGTTGAGAACCAATGATTGGCATTGCACCAAGAGTATTGTCAGTCTGGTGAGCAAAGCATAGCACAAAGTACTGTATGTATATTAGCACTACAGAACAGGTCCAATCCGACAATTGGAATTGCTGATCATTCTCACCCCCTTCTTATTACACACGGGCTGCATGTCAAAAGTGGCAGCCTATGGAACTTGGGCACTGTGACGAAAGCACCAGCTAATGCATCACATTCATCTCGAGACTGAGCAATTTTCATCTATGACCTACAAAAATAGCTCTTGGGCTTGGACTCTGTTCGTCTATGGACACTTTTTCACTTGTTTCCCAATACATTCTTTTCTGGTGTGAATGGAACATGATACTCACAAAGGGAGTCCAAGCTTCACCTTGGAAATCACTTTTATTTAATGTCTAGGTTTCAAAATGCCAGTTTCTTCCCAATCCCTTAATATTCCCCTTCTGAAGACTAGTTTAATCTCCCCACCCCCCACTTTCAGCAATCCAAAGTGTACATAACTTATCCAGGTCTGGAAATTTTTCAAACGACTTAAAAAACAAAACAACAAAACCCCCATGAAAATGATTTAAGAAAGTGAAAGACAGCCAGCTGTACAACTACTAATACTTGTGTTCTCTGATCAAAACATGAATGGTAAGGAGAGGGCAGAGATTTCACTTTGAACAGACTATACAGTCTATTAAATTCTTGATTTCTGTAATGGATTATGCAGAGTTCCTGTGCAACTTAAATTCAGGGAACCAAACTCCTATGTAATGGCATGAAGATAAATGCAGAGATACCAGCGGCAGTGAAAACGATTTACATTCCACATAATTTTTACAGAATTCTTCTCATTATGCTGTGAGTTGCAACAAAGTCACCAACTTCTGCTCGATGAAATTACAGTGCCAGGTATTTTCCCCTCCTCTTGATTTCCTTGTAGGCAAGGGTTATAGAATAGTGCTCTCCCACTGACCACGTAGAGACATCCAGGGTAAGTTAAGTCACCTAATTGTATTGTGTGTACTTCATTTGATAAAAGCAACTTGGGAAAAGAAGATAACATGGTGAGAGCACCCAGTAGTGGTACTGCAGCAGACCATTAACCAGATTTTTGGGCAGCTCTGACAGCAGGTTTGCAAAAGGTCTATACATTCCATCTCCTTGACTGGGGAGTGGGAGTGGACATTTAAAAGACAGGATCAACAGCAACGCCCAAATGAGATGAAAACGGCAAAAATAAAAACCTGGGGCTTAGCCAAAAAATAAAAGCAAGATCTCTCCCTGAACCCACTGAGCCATTTATAACCACAACATATGCAAGGACATTGCTTAGTAAGAGTTTTCTTTGAAAGCCTTGCCAGCAGCAGGCATATAGCAACATCCTCAGCATCTGCATGTGTGAGAGCAGGGAAGGAGGTAGACAGGACGGACAGAGAACAAGCATTAGAAATAGTCTTCTTAAAAAAACAGACCAGATCTTCATCTGATGTAAGTCAGCGTGGCTCTGAGTTCAATAGAGCTATACTAATTTATACGAATCCAGTGTAAGCAAGCTTCCTCTGATTTCAGTTTCACTTAAGCTGCAGCATGGAACACTCTATATGGTTAACCAAGAGTACCAGAAGGATAAGCTAACAAATAATACATATGGTAAAGGAAAACAGTTAAACACCATTTTAGGAAAACGAAAGCAGGTGATATGCCTGTACCTTGCAGCTGCAGCTAGGAGGTTCTTGGCATTGGGAGCTCCAGGATCAACGGAGAGAGACTTGGCAGCCAACAGTAGCTTGCTGGAAGCCATAGAGATGTTCTTGAGGTTCCCTATTACTTGAATCTGGTCCTCTTTAGTCTGGAAAACCACAGCAGCATAACATTACACACACAGTTTGCATCAGCCAGAGAGACAGGTAAAACTTTAAGCAATACATTTTGGAATTCAATTGAATTATCCATCTAAAACCAATGACATGCATGGGACGACATTCCAGATAGGGCCACTAAGCATCGCTTCTGCTTGCCCAGATCGGTGCCTCTAGCTCCTTTCATACAGCAGAAAAAGAAACCCGTATACAAGGAGCTTGATTTCCAACAGTAAGAGCATTCACAGAGAAGTGGAAGGAAATTTAACTACTTGCTGAACAATGCTTTTGTTGTCAAGTCTCTTGTATGTCTCTGCCTGGCACAACTGACCCACATTGTTCAGTCAGTGGGTACCGACTATACTCCAGCACCTTCTGTGTCATTTACAAGCACTCTTACTTACACCTTTACTGGATTAATGGCTTAAGCAAACAGAAATTTTGCAAAGAGACCTTCACAAACATTTAATTGTAAGGGTGCTCTATATGAAGAAGCAACAGTTTCTGGAAAACTAAATCTACCATGTAGCTTCATTTGATAAGCAGTTTGAATTTGACATCACATGACATCACTTTCAGGGAATGACGAAGAAATAATTTTACACACGTGAAGTTAGAAAATACAGGATAACAGTATGCGACAAACAGCAGTGGTTAGATTTCTTGTTAACGATCTATGCAATAAAATTAGCCTTTCCATGTTAGAAATATTTGCAAACTGGTTGTATTTTACTTGGTTTATGTGAACCGGGTTTGAGTCTATATACGTGAACTGCTTTCACAGGTCACCAAGTCATATGATACTGTTTCTGTTCCGACTGAACGACTATTTACAGACAGAAAGCATCCTTTTTTGTTCATACATTAGATGAAAACAATCAGTTATTTATGGATATTGTGATCGAGACAAACCTTTCTAAAGGGCCACAAGATCACTGCTGGTAGAAAATCTCTTGCAAATTGGCATTTGCACTAAAATTTACATTTTTAACTTCAGTGAACAGCCTTGTGACTAAAGGCCTCTCACACTAGCGTTTGTGAGTAAGTGATTAAGAGCTGACCAGCATCAGCATGGCACAAATTGATGGATTTTGTTTGCAAGAATATTCAGGGCTGCTTTTTGCTATATTAGCCCAGCTCTAGCCACAGAGCATTAGGTTTAAGGGACACTACGTCAGCACAAGACCTGAAGTGTGACTTTAATAAATATAGTGATGTTGAAGAGCACAGATTTGTAGCCGTGGAGCCTGCAAATCAACCAGGTAGCTGCAGAAGAGGTAAAAACCAAGGTGGTAGCGGGGCAAGTTGACTCATTCTACACCCAACTCATTCTATACCCTACTAAATTTATTAAAGTCACACTTTGGGTATTGTGCAGACCTAGTGTCCCTTAAACTATATTTTTGGCCTGGAGGAACAGGGGTGAAAGAATTCCTTTGTTTCCATGTCCATTCAGTCCCTGGGCTTCCACCTTGCAAAACTACACAATGCTGTCACACACATTGCACTTTACCAACCTTCTCCAGAGGCTGGCTCCAGTCTTTAGCAGATCCATGGATGTGATGTAAAGTGTATGCTCTGGTGTCACATTGAATGGGAGATGCCAAATTCAGATTATAGGGGATTTACTGTGTGCTGAGTCCCCTTCATACTCCGATTCTTTGGGGGCATTGGACACTCAAGCTCTAGAGCTGCTTAAGTTTAACTATCTTAAACTCCTATTACACTCCTGGGTAATTACACCACAATAGAAAGTGGTCCTTTACAAAGCTACTGACCATTAGAAAAGGCAATGGATTACTCTATCTTCAGCTATACAGATCACAAATCAATTACGACAAGGCTCACGCTACATGGATGAGCATGAAATCATAGTTTCAACAAGCACCAGGAACAGATACACCCATCTATCTTGCACAACATGCAAACCCCACCATGCTCTTGTCACTTCTGAATGACATCTGACTCTTCTGTAACATCCTCTGCCTCCATATATGTTTAGACTAGACACTTTAACATCCCTACATGCCTAGGGTAATACAGCTACCCACTACAGTCACCAAAACTCACTTGTGCTTGACCAGCCATTTCAATACCAGCATCAAGGAACTCATCGAAGTCATCACTGAACTTTCCGGAAGCTGCAGCCAACTCTCCGCTTTGGCCCCGGGTAGCATGAACCACTTCCCCTGCCGATTGGTTCAGGTCAGCTGCAGCCTGGTTTAGTTCACTTTGGGCTTCTTGGAAAGATTTAGAACTTGGAGGCAGCTTCAAGAGAAGAAGAGATGTGTCTTAGTGACCACAGAGATCAGTCATTCAGACTAGACCTTAATTGTGCAGTTCAACACAATTCAAAACGTTAAAGTAACGGAAGTGTGACTTTGAACCTGACAATAATACTCTGCATAGATTCCATGGCCACAAGGGACCACTGTGATCATCCAGTTTGACATCCAGTACCTGAATTGTTAGGATTTCTTTTATTTCAGAGATAGGCCCGAACCATAATCCTGTGTAACAACCATTCTGCTGGCTGGGCTGACTGCAGGTACTAAACTCTAAACATCTTGCTCCAAAGTGCAGGACTCTACCAGTTGAGCTCAAAATAGGCAGTCCATTAGCCAGGAGGAAAAGCAGCTATCTTCAGGCTCAGTCACAGAAGGGAACAGACCCTCGGTCAGTGTTACTTCCAGATCCAGCAGCCCCTAAAACTTCAGGATTGTTCAATATTGTTCTGATTTTGGGGGGATCAAATCCATTTCTGCTTTAGATATTGGCGGGTTAGGGTCAAGTAATTGATCCCCATCTCAGAGGCGACATGGAAATACTCTCATTTGTCCTTTCATTCTAAAATACTAGCAGCTGTAAACTAGGCACAAACTTTGGAGGCTCCAGTATTCCAAGGCATTATCCAGTCCCCAAAATAAGCTTCACAGAATGGATTTACAGTAACTGTACTGAAGAAGAGCTCTGTGGAAGCTTAGAAGCTTCTCTCTTTCACCAACAGAAGTTGGTCCAATAAAAGATATTACCTCTCCCACCTTATCGCTGTAATATCCTGGGACCAACACGGCTACAACACTGAAAATTACAGTAACTGTGTTAGTATTAAATTGATCCTAATTGTGTGTGAGGCCTGAATTGACTATTGCATTCATGGAAGTACTTGACTGATTGTACCTGAAAGCGCAATCCTCCATTAATCTGTGGAACTAGCAGTGGAAGAGTAAACTTGACCAAACTACACAACACCCATATGCCCCGGGCAAGTTACAACTTTTGTCAGCTATTAATGACATTCAGGGAGGGAAACAGGGACATGACTTGTCATTTCATTTAAACAGATTCACCACAGATTTTTAGAAGGGATGCGACAGAAAAATAGTGACATTCTGATACAAAGCATCAGAAGGGAATATCCCCAGGTGGCAGGGATCATGGTCCTTACACTGACTCAAAAGGATCACTTCTAGGAAGAAAACAGATTGCATGTTTCAAGTGTTCACATCCATTCAAACATTGGTCCCTCTGCTGAGACTAAAACAAAGGAGCGAATGTTAACCTAGGCAGGGTTAACAATCTTTACAACACGGAGACATCCCCAAAATCAACAGAAAAGCAGTTCAGGATAAAAAATGGCTACTATAAAAGACTGACTTGTAATCTAGAATGAACTGGCTATTCAAGAATTTAAAGAATTTAAAATGTGAGGAACCCAAGTCAGATTTTTACTTCTGAAACACCATTTAACATCTAAGATTTCTCACCGAATCAACAAGCAGTTTCTTGCTGGATTCTCCAATGCTCTTCAAGGCCACATCAACATCCTTTTGTCCAGGCAGACAATTCACGCAGTTATTTAGTGAGTGAGACACTGCTTTGGCCACCTGGAAATATACATACAGGCACAGGCAAAACAAACAAGAAATCCCAATGAGGAATAAGGTCCCATACCACAATAAAATCTAGCTAAAAGGCAGTGTGTTTTGGAATGTCTAAATCCTAATCCTGGTTTAACAATGACTCCTCCTCTAAGGCAAGTCATAACCTCTCTTTTTCAGTTTCCCCATCTACAGGGGAAACTAGCCAACTAACCGGGTGTTAGTTACAGAAAAGCTTTAAGTATTATTGTTCACACAGGCCTGCAGCAAGGTCGCCTGTGAGGAAAGGAGCAAATGGGGCAGTTTGCCCTGGGCACCCTTTTTCAGAGTGCCCCAAACCAAACGGCATTGCAACCTGGTGTGCAGGGTCACAGTGCCACTCAGGTTTAGCCTCGGAGACACTGAGATCCCACATACTGAGTTGCAACACCACTCACTGAAATCCCACCCCCCGCCCCGATGGGGGTGCTGCTGGGCCAAACCTAAGTGGATTTACGACCCTTCATGACAGGTCATAACACCTGAGGTGTGGAGCCAGGGCCAGCACCGTGGGACAGGAGTCAAGCTGCTGCAGTGGGGTGAGAATGGTGCAGGATCACTCTCCACCCACCCATCCCTTGCCACCCTGCAGTGGTAATATTTCGGAAGGGTGGAGGGCCTCACTTTCAGATATTTCCCCAGATTCCCAGAAACCTCTGTGCAGCCCTGGCCTCAAGGCACTATTACTTAAACCATGTCTCTCAAATTTTGATTTAAAAATAGCCATACTCCCTCAATCAACAGAAAAAGGACCTTTTGTTCCGATAACACAGTGATGAGATCCAGTAATGCTGGATCCAGAAACACCACTTGTTTAGAAAAACAGATTTGTTACAAACACTGAAAGTAGACTCAGGACCCTTCATTTGCTAACATCAAATTTAATTACTTTTTCTAGTTCACAACCAAAAGTATACTGCCCAAATAAGGCATGGGTTAAAGGCCTTATTCACATGCAGTAAGGTACAGCAGGCACATGACTGAGTCTCTTAAAAAGAAGCCTTTGTAAAGAGAATTACATTAACTGCCTATCTCCCAAAGGTGCCTAGAAATTACATTCCAGCACTGGCTGCATTATTAGTGCCCTAAGCTAAACATTCTCAAGTCACTCTGCACTTTTTGTAACTTACCTGAGCTAACCTCTGCTGACTTTCTGCATCCCCAGGTGCAACCAGAGCCTGTTTTGCTTCCTGAATAAGCATAGCAGAGCCTTCCATGACGTCCCTTGCAGAATCTAACATCGCATGTGCTGCCATTGGGTCAGTGGTAGATGCTGAAACGCCTCGTGCTGCCTGAGCCAAAGTCTTCAGAGCTTGAGCCGTCTCCCTGGCAGCAACCCCTAAATTCAGATTTCATGAAATACTCGGTTAGTATCCTCTAAGGCGCAATCTGTATTCTTTTACGGCAGCTGAATTGCAAGGTAATGACCCCCTTTCTACAGAACACGGCAAACATTTTAAAATTAGAGTGTTTCAGATGTGAACATGTTTGAGAAATGCCCACAGAAAAGCCATAAAATCAATATTATACCCACAAGAGCACATTTCAGGGTGGTTCTAAATCACCAAATATCTTTTTTTATGGAGCGAGAAGAAGAAAAATGTAACAGTTTCAAGTTACTTCCAATTTAGCTAGTGAAAAAGTACAAGTCTTAGCTACCAGCGAGAAGTTCAAAAAAGACGAAATGACTGAGGAGTCTAAATCCTATTGGCTTTCAAGGAGACTTAGGGCCCTGAGAGTCTAAGTCTCTGTGGAAAATGGGACTTTGGCTTTTGAAATTTTCACCAACGCTGAACAGGGCACAAGCTGAAATTCAAGTATAAAAGCTATATAGAGGCTTACAAGGAGTAAGCAGCACGGTAGCATAACTTAGTTTTATCATGCAGATGGTCATATAGCAGATCTATGAAAACTGGCTTGTGTAGCCCGTCTGACCTAGACTCTCCATATGTTCACAGCCATGTTGCCAAGACCAGTGACCCTGTAAGGAGTGGAAGAATGTAACTATCTCGTGTTTAAATCAGCCCTTATCGAAATGCTACACAGTACCCTGAAGTCTTAAATGATCTTTATTAACCCCCAGAGTAATGGAGGTAAAATCATTGTCTACCCAGCAATGAACTGCATAACAACGTGCTCCATTTATGTAGGTGTCTTTTTCAGTTACAGCACAGAGGTTAACTGTCATTCCTACAACAAAAATACTACATAAAGGTTCCCACTCACTGCACCAGCCTGCTTTGTTACATCACTTGCTTTCCAATCTATAAATATTTAGACAGTTACACAGCTGGGATGTAGTTTTACAACCTAATGAATACAAATTACATGGCTACCACTTAAAAGTGTATTAACGTTAACGTGCTCAGTACAACAACTGCAGAAGTAAAGCAGGGTTAATTCTATGCAGTGATAGGGTTTGCTACTGTTTCTAGTTTCTATCCCTCTCTTCAGTGACCTGCACTACAAATTTTGCCTTTGCCTATTCCTTACTTATGAGCCACAAATAACTCCTCAACTCTTCCCAGAAAAATCTCTTTTTTCTACATTAGAAGCATCAGGTTCTGAATTCTTTTTTCTTTCACTGTTTACTTCGGACTGGAATGGGAGTCAGGAGCCCTGCCTTTTAATCCCAGATTATCCACCCACCTGTTTTATGACCACGTGCAAGTCATTTCACCTTTCTATGGCCCTTTCACCATTCCCCTTCCCATAATTATTCTGATTTGTTTATTTAACCTTTGACCTCCTCAGGGCAGGGACTCTCACAGCACACAGATCAATAAGGTCCTGATCACTGCTGAGCCTAAGATGCAGCTACTGTCAGTCCAAATAAAAGGCAGAATGAGGAAGATGAGTTTTAATATTTATGGCTCCAACCTGGGCCTTTAAAGATCATGCCCAAGTCCTCCAGGAGGCAAGTCAGTCCCTGAAACGTCTGATATAACAGCCATGCAGATTGATAAAAGGGGGGTCATCTTCACGTATCATGAAGCAAACAATAAAAAAAATGCCTGATTGTTCAGTCTTTCATTTGGGGGCAGTGAGTTTCAGTCAAACAAAACAAGGGAAACTTGCAAATGAACTGAAGGACAAATATGAACTGCAGTGGCTGTGCCACCCGTGGAACATAAAATTAGGTTTAACAGTACCCACGTGCTGTGCAGTAAACAACAAAACACCCATATACTACCACCAAACACCTCTGCATTTGTTCAAGCACAAAAAGATCCTCATATTACCGAAGCTGGCATGAGATAGAAAGTACAGAAACAGATACTGAAGAGGGTCTTTCAGCTCCATAGGAATGCATTACCGGATAGGATTTTCTAACTTAACAGCTATCTCATTGCTTGATTTTAAAAGAGCTACTAGATTTCAGCTTCAAGTGTCAAGACTTTTGAATTTTCACTGGACATCCGACACTGACTACTGTATTTTAACCAACACATCTTGCGTGTGTTTTGGACCACAGAACATAAAAAACCCAAGTGCTTTCAACTATTCAATACACAAACGGCAACATTTTCAGCTTAACTGGGTGTTCACAACACTAACCTCTAAAACACTTGGTGTTTAATTGTACATTGAAGAGCTATCTCCTCCACAAAAAAGGTTTGGATTGCATTTTTTTAATTAACAGACGCCCCAACCTATATTGAATATACACAGATAGACAGCAGCCTCTGCAACCTGGTATCTTCTTTTACAAAGTGTCTTATTTTCGTTTGCCATTTCCAGTAACAGTACCTGTGTAGTGCTCATTGCCTTGAGCAGCGCAAGTCAACAGCTGGGCCATTGATGAACCAACAGCTTTGGAGGTACTGCCAAGGTCCTGCGCACATTTTTCCAGCTGTGAAAATATTCAAGAGGTAACAGTCTTTGTTTAAACTGAATTAAAATAAATTCTCCTTTCAAGAGCAATGGAAAGATTTCCTATCCACTTCCTCCCAACTAGCATCCACCTCAGCTACTGAAACCTACACCTTGCTGCCCTGCATTAGTGAGTCTCAGACCCTGACGAGCATATTTTCATTGTACAAGTTGAATGAAATGAAGGTAGCAAATAGCATGCACAATGAGAAGGAAATTTTAAAATTTAGTTCTGATAATTAGCAATATAAGTATTGACATTTGTTTTCTTAAGAACATATTTTGCTCTCTAAGCCCAAGGTAAAAAAAACCAAACCAACTTAAAAACAAGAAATGAGCTCTCATGTATTTTTCATTACAATACGCTGGCTAAACAAAGGAAAGAAAGACCTTAAAAATCTTTCTTATAGCATCCTTAAAAGCTGAATTTTTTTCCTCAGTACTCTAGAGAAGAAGGCCCTGCCTCCAATAGTTATTTCAGTCAGAGAATAGGCTTCTTATTGGCATAAAGATGTTTCATGGTGTCAGATGTGCTGGAACAGTTTGTATAGTGGGGGTGCTCAGAGCCACTGAACCAAACTGTAAACCCTGTATATGATGGAAACAACTTCAAGCCCAGGGCCGCAGCAGCACTCCCAGCACGTGTTGAGGATAGGCTGACCAGATAGCAAGTGTCAAAAATCGGGATAAGAGGTGGGGGGTAATAGGTGCCTATGTGAGAAAAAGACCCAAAAATCAGGACTGTCCCTATAAAATCGGGACATCTGGTCACCCTAGTTGGGGATGGATTTTGGAAGAATATCTGTGTAAAATGCCATTGGAATGAGCATCAGCCAAACATGTGACTCCTTTTACCAATGACACCTTAAAACTGAATTTTAACAACAGCTCTCTCAAGTTATGGGACAGAATTCCTAAATGAGGACCATGCTAAGCCTCTTCTGCCCCACCATTTACCGTTTCTCCTGGGAGTGGTTTTAACTGTCCATCTACAGCGGCCATCTTTGCATCTTGCAGTTCATTTCTGAGTGTTTGGACTGTGTTCAAAGCAGAGTCAATTTCCATAGGGCCACATGCTTCATGAGCCTATCCAGAAAATAGACAAACAGAAATGGTTAGTATCATTAAGCAACTGTTCTACCACCAAAAATGGGAAGATTCATCACTGATCATGTCTTGGAAGATTATCTGTTTCTGAAGAGACTATGCAGACACAAAAGGTCATCTTGGCATGTTGCATATCTTGGATACAAAACTACTGCACAACATACTTAGCTTGCCAGCAAAGAAATTGATTGTCCAGAGCCACAAAGGGAAGTGACGCATATTTAGCACCGTTCAATTTCATTTTACGTGATTAACTCACGATCAATAGAGCTAAAAGAAAAGCAATGAATACAGACTTCCAAATGACATTTCCCACTGCACATAAGCTTTTACAAAATCAGGTGTTGTAAGCCACAGTTAACCTCTAACTGCTCAAAAAGGATATAGACCCACCTTTTGGGAGGCAGTTCTTAGCTCAGCTAAGCTTGTTGCAAGGTTCTTGGCACACTGACTTAGCTGCATTGCTGCCGCTTGGTCACTTACAGTAGGTACTGCAGCTTTGGCTGACGCCACCATCTTACTTCCAGGCTATTTAAAGATTTGAGAAGAATGTGTTGTGATTCATCAGCTCACGCCTATAACCTTGTATAAATGCTTCAACTATGAAACTAGGTCTAGAACTGACAAAACAGTTAGGTCACTACGTTTTGCCATTACCACTGTTTAGGCTGGCAGCCACCTAATCAGGACCACTCGCTAACAGGACCACTGCAAATGCATCCAATTTTACCTACGCTTTGTCCCTATCCAATCTTGATTTGTGTATTCACATGCTGTGCCTTGTCATTATCCTGAGCAGTGGGATCTCTGCGGCAGACACTGTTTTTGCTTTACTTATTTGTACAATGCCTAGCTCACTGTCTGACTGGAGCCTCTAAGTGGCTCCTGTAATATAAATAAATAAATAAAAGGGAGTTTAAATATTTAAACAGAACAGTTTACCATTTTGTGCGTGTTTACACAGACATGCATGGACAATATACATGGTACATTTGTAATTTCTTGGAACATTTCTGAAGATTTAATGTTTTTCTTCTCAATATTAGTAAACAGAAAACAAGATCAGTAATAATCCAGTCAAGTAATAATCGAGCACAGGATCTGCGGAAAACACATCTTGCTTACCTTCCAATACTGTACTATGTCATCTCCATGGTCCCCAAGTACTTAAACAGACAAGGTGAGTAGTCCTAGTGACTTCAATGGGACCACATGGGTGAGCAACCCTGACAGGGTGCTCCAATGCTGCACGGAGTACCTTAATGACAAATTAGGCAGAACAGAAAGGGGATAATTGCCCTAATTAAATCATGGCAGGTCAGGTGAGGCTGATTAGGTCTGGCGCTAATCTGGCCAAGCACAGAGAAAAACAGCTCCTGAGCTTGAGTGGAGGCAGTTTTAAACACAGGAAGCTGGTGGACTCGACTTGTCGTTTTGGGCTTTGGAATGTCTTCAGGGAGGAAAAATAAAATGTGCATCTCTCAAAAGAGAAAAGCACCTGTGATTTTTGCTTTTATTCAAGCCAGACCACAGCTCGAGACAGTCCTGTGACAGCAACATGTGTAGAATTAGATTCAATGCCTTATTTCACTTTTAATACCCCACCAAGTGGTATAGTAGTGACCACTGACAAGATTCACTTCTTCCCCATAAGACAGAAGGGAATGCCTGGCAAATCTGAAAAATGTATAGTGCACATTAATGCTAGCATTTCAGTATACAGAGCTTTCTGATTTTATTTTAACTGCCAATAATAGTTCCAACATTTATCTTGAAGCAACAGCTGGCTGTTCTTTTGTTCCATGTTTGGAAAGAAGCATGGACTATTGCTTATCACCTGGGTTCTCCTCAAAATCGTGGTCAAGTTAGATCACCTTTTGTCTCAGAAAGCCATCTGAAAAGCAGGAGAGATACTTCCCCCCCCCCCCCAAAGGGCTTGAGAACTCCAGATGAAACACAGTGGCTGAATCTAAACTAAGGAACTGTACAATGATGGTACTTCCAGCTCCAGCAGAATGTATAATAGCTCTAGTTTAGGCGAGGTTCCAGACACTCATGGCATTTTCACTGCCTGTCCAATTGAGCCTCCTTTTCAGGAGCCAGTCTCAGCGCAAAGTGTATCACATTTTCACAAAGCTGAAATGTGCTTTCTGTGGCTCAAACTCGGGGCAGTTGTGGCATCACCTACTGCCCCAGTGACAAACTAAGTTCTCCTCACCACAATCAATGACTTAACATACAGCTCTCAATGTGACATGCAATTTTCTCACTCCACAAAGTGAAGACGACAATTCAAGACTCACAAGGTGCTCTTGAGGGAAAAAAAATCTACTCTATTTCAGTGTTTTGAGCATTGGCCTGTTAAACCCAGGGTTGTGAGTTCAATCCTTGAGGGGGCCATTTAAGGATCTGGGGCAAAAATTGCAGATTGGTCCTGCTTTGAGCAGCGGGTTGGACTAGATGACCTCCTGAGGTCCCTTCCAACCCTGATAGTCTATGATTCCATGATTCTTTGATTCAGTTTACCTGAAGGAAGTTCTGGCTGGAATTTATCAGAGCAAGCTGAGCACTGAGGTCTTCTGCCTGAGCCTGGCTTCCCCTCACACCCTGCACCAGCTGAGGAATGTGGTCAGCAACATTCTGTTGGCAACAAAGCAGAAAGTTTTAATTGTTAAATTTAAAAAAACTCATTCAGTACTAAACAAAGCCTCACAACCTATGGAAGGGACCTAGAATTTAACAGGGATGATACCAATATGATTCTGTAGACAACAGTTAGGGTTCCACAGAACTTAATAAATCGGAGACTGACGGTTTAGGAGAGTTCCTACAGTATTTGGAGAACTTGACTCTTCCTACAGAATTCTATAAGTTAGTTTATAAAGGAAGGTTAAGACTTTTCTGTAATAAAAAATGGTTTAGCAGAGATATTTTCACTGACTCAGGAATGTTTTATTTTGGACATTAAAACTACTGTTTTACACTCTACATTGCTTAGGTGTGTAGATCTTTAAAGCACCCCTCTTGCTTCAAGAAAACTTTAACTCTCTCCTTTGGTACTCAGCTTACTTTTATCTGACTTCCAATAAGATGTTTATAGTATGGTTGTAATGTTCTGAAAATGTATATTGTTAAAAATGTATTCTCACCCCTATTCAAATGTCAACTCATGTTCACATGATTTATCCCCAATACAGTCTCCAAAAATGTTTTCCTAAAGTTTAAGTACTCTACATCAGGAAGAAACTTCAAAAGAGGATTTCATCTGCTGTATAATAGATCAATGTCAAAGCTCAACTTGAATGAACAGCAGTCAACACATAGGACAAACTGCCTTTTGCATTTCCATTGAAAAAGATATCAGCTACCTCCCAGACAACTTTCATATGCCCCGCCCTTTGAGACTTATTCAAGCTACTTCTTTTATTTACCAAATTTTCAAAAACTGTAACGTGGAAGGTAACCTACTTAACAGCCAATTGGTAAGTGTTAATGTCTTTTTTCTGGGATCTTTGGCTTGAAAAGGTGTCGTCTATTATAGTGGCTGTGTTCCTGACTTCTGCATAGCTTCTCTCTGAAGAAGAATAGGCTCTTTTGCACTCCACTTTATTTCTTATTTCTCTAGAGACCTTGAAGCAACATTATTCACAAGCACAAATTAGTCTGCCAGCTGTAGCTAAACCACAAAAGAACAGTCTCTTGTCAAGTGATTTACTCTGCGCTCTGGCTTACAATCAGGAAAATGTGAGGACGTCTCCATGCACTTACCTCTGGCATGTCTCAGCTCTGTGCTCTCAGCAACCTACTTGTCACTGAAGCTGGAACCCCATAACCCAACACTATGGTCTAATTACAATTTGGTTTGGAAAGGGAAAGGGAAAGTAAGGGCAGAGACTACATGTAGGTTAAAAGAAAAGGAGTGCTTGTGGCACCTTAGAGACTAACCAATTTATTTGAGCATAAGCTTTCGTGAGCTACAGCTCACTTCATCGGATGCTGTAGCTCACGAAAGCTCATGCTCAAATAAATTGGTTCGTCTCTAAGGTGCCACAAGTCCTCCTTTTCTTTTTGCGAATACAGACTAACACGGCTGTTACTCTGAAACCTGTACATGTAGGTTGACCAAGTGAACCTGGGTCACAGTATCAAGCTGCTATCCATGTTGTCTTGGTACACTAGGGAAGGATTTAATGTCATCACACCACAAGCCACTAGCCTTGCTTTATAGTGTGTTAAAGTAGAGCACTCAAATATTTCACTAGTAGTAGTCACCCCAGTCCAGTTTGATCACTATTCATCATTTCCATATCATCTCTGGTGAACGTGGTGTTTTACACATGTGTAGAAGGTCAATCCCTGCTCAAGTTGATTACCATCTAAATTAGACAAGTCAGGTCCATGGACCAAGGAAAGGGAAGGAAACAGTAAAAATAAATAGGCAGGAAAGTACTGCTCATGGGCAGCTGCACTCTGCACTGCGACACGACCTCCTTACCTGTAGTGGAGCACCCCTGGAGCACAGACACATACATTCCTTTCCCCACCTGTACAATATTCACTGGATACCACCTCTGACCATAAAGAGCAGCCTGCCAGTTGGCCTACATGACACCATGCAACCACTTATATGGCATGAAGTTAAATCTCTTGTAATGCACAACAGAAAAACACAAGTTGACAGCCACAAGTGATAATTCCTCATATTCATGAGATCGGTATAAGAATTTCCACCCCACAGTACACACACAAACCTCTCCCTGAACAGCCTTCAGGGAGGCGATGTACAGGTATTGTGATTAGCAGCCACACTCAGTTCAAGAAGCATGACACAGATACCAATTACTAATAGGGTAGAAGATCTTTACTTCTGCTGTGTCAAGTGATGCTGGGGGCACAGCTAACAAACACCAGCCATTGAACATGAGTGTTACACCTAATTCCACTGGTCACCACCAAAGGGACAATGTCTCCTATTTCTCTAGTCAGGATCAATTAAGACCTTAAACAAAAAAGAGGTAAGGCCTAATTATGTTGCAGTAGGCTTTGTATCTGTCCCCTGAGTACTACACTACTTCAAAGCAATGCTCCTTAGACAGCTCTGGAAAAGCATACAGACTCTGAAGGTGATTCACCATGGGGGCTTCCTACACAGTGAACTGGCTGCGAAGGCTTCCTGTCACTTCACTACCCTTTCAGTGCACTAATTGCAAGGCAACCACTAAGTAATCCAGTTTATAATCAAATCTAACATCTCTCTGCCTGAAGTACTCTACATGTACGGTATTGCTGATTTATCTGCAGCATACACCCCAAGAAATATGCCACATTTGCAGCAGGTTTGCATTTTGGAGATACTTACAAAAATATTCACATCTGCCCATCCTCTGTAATCGGTACTGCCTAAACATTTGTAAAAGGCATCTACCTTAGACAAGGCACACGGCTGCCTTGCACACGTTCTAAAACATTTCCCTGATTTTAACAGATAACTCACTGTGGACAACAAAACAGGAAAAAAGCGTTCTTAGAAGTATATGCACTGTTATATTTGGTACAGCGACAGAACAAGAATCAAATGGTTTGGAGTCAGACTGACACAGGCAACTTAAGAATTCCTGTCCACAGGCACAAAGTGATTACATCAAAGGAGGTGAATTTCAGTTTCCAAAGAAGTTACCTGTGTTAAAAGGGACACATACTACACATCATCTGCCAAGTGACTGCTTCCTCTATTAGGAAATCTTACCTTGCAGCTCTGAACGAGTTGCTGGTGGGCTACTGTGTTCTTGTTGGAAACGGCCGCATTCTGAGAGGCTGCAATTGTCTGAGTGGCAGCAGCTGCTGCCTGTTTAGCTGCAAACTTTAACGTGGGGGAAAAACAGTTAAAAGGCTGAACTGGTATAAGCTTGGGTAATGTAGAGAACACAACAGACAAAATATGTATTATTGCATTTAGCAACTGGAACTTATGAAGTCATTACCTCCCCTGGACTTAATTTACCATAAAGAACTCTGTCACTTTCCACTCCAGATGAAAAATGAACTGATCATTGTTACCAATCCTTAAATTTCTAAACAACAAAGGGAAAAAACACCTGGCACCACAAACATTCTAAGAGCATCCTTCTTCACACTTTTCAGAGTAACAGCCGTGTTAGTCTGTATTTGCAAAAAGAAAAGGAGTACCTGTGGCACCTTAGAGACTAACCAATTTATTTGAGCATAAGCTTTCGTGAGCTCATCCGATGAAGTGAGCTGTAGCTCACGAAAGCTTATGCTCAAATAAATTGGTTAGTCTCTAAGGTGCCACAAGTACTCCTTTTCTTCTTCACACTGTCAGTCTTTCATCGCAAAAACTTGTTAGGAATACTGAAGAGCTATTGTTAAAATAGCCTACAGGATGACGACAGGCTGCTGAATGAGATGTGAAGACTCACAGCCATCTAAAGCAGGGGTTCTCAACCTTTTTCTTTCTGAGGCCCCCACAACATGCTAAAAAAACCTCCATGGCCCACCTGTGCCATAGCTGTTTTTCTCCATATAAAAGCAAGGGTCAGTGTAAGGTGGTAGTAAGCAGGGCAATTGGCATGGGCCTCATTGCACGGGGGCGCCCGCAAAGCTAAGTTGCTCAGGCTTTGGTTACAGCCCTAGATGGTGGGGCTTGGGGACCCGGCTTTCAGCCCCATGCTGTGGGGCTTTGGCTTTCTGCCCTGGGTCCCAGCAAATCTAATGCTGGTTCTGCTTGAAACCTTCTTGTGGCCTCCTAGGGGCCCCCAGACCCCTGGTTGAGAACCACTGACCTAAAGCATTAGGAATAAAGTACAGTTGTTTATGTGGATTCAGAAATTCTTTCGAAGGAGCCTCTCCCCTCATCCGTAGCATTTTAATTAAGATGCAGGTTGAAGTAGTAAGAGTTTCGTCTGTTATGTGCAGAAAGTCAACTGCAAGGGTTTTGAATTCAACTATCATGGAACTGCAATATGCAAAATACATCAAGGAAACTAGTAATAGAAACTGGATTTATATTCCAAAGAAGAACTTGGCACCAAGTTTAAAAACAATGTAGACACGTTTGCAAACTAGCTCTCGAGTTTAACCTGAAGTGTTGTGTCACTGACATCTTGATTGCTCAATACTCTGCTAAATGCTATAGTCGCTTGGCAATAATGAATTGCACCACCACGGAAGAGACCATGCCTATGGAGTGGAACAACTTGCAGAGGTTTAGCTCTAGGGATATACGGGTTAATCGATGGAGAGGAGGGTAAATAGAGCAGTCCACATTGCGACATTAGCAGTCCAAAGAGCAGAATCATGGCTGCATCTTGAAAAGCATTCCTCATGGGAGCAAAGGACCAGTTCTACTTGGGACTGCTCAAAGCCAAAAAGGTAAGACACTAAGGTGATCATATGTGGAAGACATGAAGGGACGAGTTTGCTTGGGTCTAAAAATATAGAGGGAGAACCTGAACTCAAATACTAAGAAATCTTATTATTGGTCTCTCTTTACACACCTATCTATCAAAAAATAAAATTCCACCTCTTGCCAAATACATTCCAATATCAACATTATTCTTAACACCATTCCCTAATTAACCCACCTAATAAATACATCCATCCTTGAACATGAGCTTGTTAGTTCATCTAAACTATTACTGGCACAGATTACTCATATAGGGGAAAGTAATAAGATATTTCTACAGCAAAAAAACCCCTTATTTTCTACAAGGTTTCTTATAATGTAGCTAAAAAGTTCACTGTAATGCATCACTGCTTAAATTACTCAAGATTATCTTGTTTTACATTGACATGGTAGTTTTAATACAATACACATCCAGATGAAGATTATCTACTCAGATCTGCTTGTTGGTCTTGTCTTAATCCGCTCAAATCATTTTCAGACTATTGTAAAATCACAGTTGAAAACCAGTAACTAAGACGGTTTCCCCAGCCCCCTCCCCAGTCTTTTGTATATTTAATTTGCAATTGTGAAGGTCAGACTTCTACAGAAGATTTAAGTAGGCTGAATTTCTTCTCCACAGTACAACAAATTGCCTTTTTCCCTTTGCTGCACCTCTGGCTATTATGTTTTGCTTCCAACTTTGTTTCTGCTCCTTTGCTTCTTTGGGTGGCTTTAGAGTTTAGTTGTGATGCAATCACGTGTTTTGGGGGCAGTTTAAGCGAAGCGCTGTTGCACATTCTTGTTACAAATCTCAAATAATATTTGGTAAAAAACACAAATCACAGGACTACAGACGATTATTTAAATGGAAATGAAACAGTGAGCACTCTACTGTATTTACTCTGAAGATCATACCACCAAAGTCCCGTTGAATAAAATGGCTGAATGAATACAGCAGTTTCATAATAACAAAAATCCCTCCAGCCTGTTTGTTACTGACAACTAAACTATTGCAAGTTAATAAAACATTTAATATGCAAACTAGTTAATTCACACTACACTCAGTCTGGATACAGACTAACACGGCTGCTACTCTGAAATCAGTCTGGAATGCAACTTTCAAATGAAAGTGCCCCTTGTTAGCTGTGTTTAGGTCCATTACTTTTGGGGAACTTGACATTTTTTGTCTAAAGTCTGCATTTATAATTGTTGGAATGTGCTACACAGATACGGGTTTGCATAATTAAAAGAAGTGTAAAATAATAGAAACAAGAGAGTTTGGTTTCAAACCTCTAATCTGTTGACAATTTTCTTCTTGATGGCATTCTGAGCAGCTGCATTTGTGGCAACCCGTAGTCCCTCTGCTGCTTCTCTCAGTCTCTGCTGCTGGTCTTCATTTTCAGGATTTGCTGCAGCCCCCTGCACAGGAGTTGCGAGTAAAATACAAATCTTCAAAAAATGTCCATGTCTACATATTAAAATATAAGAGGAATTTAAATCCCATTATCCTCTCTCTGATCAACCTGTTTTCTATGGATTAACATCACTCTAAGATGAATTAGAGAAGAAAGTTTCAACGATCATCATGATTTCAGGTAGAAATCAATTGTAGGTGCAGGTTACTGCTTAACATGTTAAATATGGTGAAGAAGGCAGTCAGACTTTCAGTACACAGTCCAGCGTATTACACCACATACCGCCATTACTCCTCACACAGTGTCAATGTAAAACATTGTTCTTCAGTGCAATATTTACTTATACTGGGCAACTACATGTTAAAACTCCACATATAGTAGGAAACTACTATTCTGTAAATGGTGTATTATCTGTGCTCTAACAATGTCCAGTATTTATATAATCACAGTATTTAAAGTTCAATTTTTAATTCCCAATTTAACAAGATTTTTGGTAGTTATAATCTTGTCATCAGAAGGTTGAATTAGGACTCAAGTCTGACATGTTAGTTTTCCCCTTTTTAAGGCCTGAAAAAGTACTAACAAGTCAAGGACATACATATCTATCAGGTCAATAAAGTCACCAAAAGAATATGGAAAGGGTTTTGGAATCCAAAAGAATGGATCAACTAATATGCATACTTCTACTGGACTTTTAGTTAAAGTTCCCAATGGAAGTTGTCAAATGCAACCCAAACATTCATAGGCTAACCAATTGTTTCTGCTTTATAACAATTCCTATTTACAACCTAGTAACTGCACATAATGTCTCATGTTTGTGCACAGTTATGAAGAATTAAGTTAATATTCAGTGCCTTTCAGGTTCTTCAGTTCACCGTTTCCTGGTAGGTACCTTTGCCGCTTCAACCATGCGGGCTGTAGAATCTGCCAAAAGTTTAGCCGCAGCTAGAAGCTTTTTAGAGTTGTCCATGTCAATTTCAGCCTCAGCGTCTGACCTCATAGCATTGACAAGATCCGAAGTAGCTTGAGCAAGTACCCTGGCCTGCCGCACCATTTCACCTACAATATTAACAAGTTAAGTTTTGAATTTCTTCACCTTTATCTAAATTTCCGTTTCAAAAAGCCCCTACCTAAGACTTAAATAAAATTAGATTTTCTGAAATCCTCGTTTGAATTAAAATTACAAGTAGATACTTCATTGCTCAAAAGCTTTAAACACAAAGTTTTGGAGGTAGATGACAACACAACTGATCATGGGAAACTGGTAACATTTGACTTACAAGAAATGCAGTAGGATGAACATGCATAGCACTATGCTTAACACTAATTATACACCTAAATCTACCTACATGCCTTAGGTGAAGTCTTGGCCCCATAGAAGTCAATGGAAGTTTTGCCATTGACTTCAATAGGGTGAGTATTTCACCCCTTCACTACAATACTACTGATCTGTTTTCTCATAGATGAGAAACCATAGGTTCCCTCTTCTTGTTTCTTCCTCACATGCATCTCAAGAAGCCGATTTTACTGAACTGTACAGAATAATTAAACACTTCTGGCAGAAGTGACTCAGTACCAATTCATCAGGATCAGTTTTAGGGTTTTTAACTTTAAAATAGGCATTAAAGTGATGTTACCACAATGAGTTTACGCATCACTCATGGTCAAGCACAGAGGTCGAATGGAGATGTTTGTTTCTGAAGTGGATGCAGATCATTTTTAGAACACGCTTGCTTTATTAATATAACTGGTACTACACCAAACTCAAAAGCAAAGTGAATCCATTGAAGCTTCTGGATTAACTCTTTGGCTCCCTTCTTTTCCCAAAGGTTAACCAAAGGCAGCAGATGCTTAGCTCAAAAGCCTACTGTTGTGTTTAAGAAGTCTCCACAGTATATGTTCCAAAGTAGTTTTGACAAGCAAAAAAAATTCCAAAGCTTCCCATACTGCCATGGGGATTTTTCAAATACTGTAGGAAGTTAACAATGGTGTTTATAAGGAAGTGCCTTCTTAGCACACTCCTCCAGTCCAGAACAGAATATGAATAAAAGTAACAGATTTCACTGCACCTTTACAGCTATCTTCTGACATGTAATTTTTGCACTTAAAGCCCCATAGTTACCAGCAATAAAGGGTAACCCAGGAATAAAGGGTAACCCAGCAAGAGGACAGCTCACACATTTAGAACAATCGGGATTTCTTGGTAAACAAGGTGCAAGCAAACAATAAGCATTTTAATATTGCTAAACGTAAATGTAAACATCTAGGAACAGAGAGCATAGGCCATTCTTACAGGATGGGGGACTCTATCCTGGGAACCAGTGACTCTGAAAAAGATTTCGGGTTGTGGATGATAATCAGCTAACATGAGTTCCCAGTGTGACATTGTGGCCAAAATAGCTAATGTGATTCTAGGATGCATAAACAGGGGAATCTCAGGTAGGACCAGAATGGTTATTTTACCTCTATATTTGGCACCAGCGCAACTGCTATTGGAATACTGTGTGCAGCTCTAGTGCCCACAATTCAAGAAGAGGGTTCAGAGAAGATCCACAAGCATGATTAAAGGATTAGAAAACATGCGTAAAATGATAGACTCAAAGAGCCCAATCTATTTATCTTAACACAGAGAAGGTTAAAGGGTAACTTCATTACAGTACGTACATGGAGAACAAATATTTAGTAATGGGTTCTTAAATCTAACAGAGAAAGCTATAACACAATCCAAAGGCTGAAAGTTGAAGACAGACCAATTCAAAATGGAAATAAAGCGTAAATGTTTAATGTTGAGACTAATTAACCACTGGAACAATGTAACAAGGGTGGTGGTAGATTCTCCATCATAGACAATATTTAAATTAAAGTAAAAGACATGGCTCTAGGAATTATTATGGGGAGTTCTATGATACCCTGATCTGGGGTATTAACTGTCCCACGAGCATCCCAGAGAAGGGGAGTGGAGAGGGAGGGATCCGGGCCCACCCTGGGGCCCTAAGGATAGTGGCAAACCACTTGAACTAGCAATTCCTTCCCCTGGGGTACTTCCCTCTCTGGCCTTTCAGCTTGTGGGGCTTCCTGCCCTCTCTCTGCTTGGATCAGGTTTCTCCCAACCCCTTGTGTCTATGGAGTCCCTCTACTCTGCACAAGCCGAGTTTCCCTTTAGCTAGGGTCTTGGTCTTCTGGCCCGCCATAGCACTTCTCCAAACTCTCCTCTGCTTCCCTCCAAACTGTTCTCCTTCAAACTGCTCTCTGCTCCAACATCAAACCACCCTGCTTCAGCTCCTTCAACTGTCTGATTGAAGCAGGGGTTTTTTATCAGGTGCCTGGCTTCAGGTGCTCTAATTAATCTATAGCAGCCTCTCTTCCCTCCACAGGGAATAAGGCTCATCATCCTGGGGCTTACATATCTCCCTTGACCACCCTCCTGCTGCCCTCTGGCCAAGCTGTATCACAATATGTAGTAAACAGGGTCCTTGGGACAGCAAGAGAGGGTAAATCAGTTCCTCAAAGACGAAGGACAAGCCTCTAGCCAGCTGTCATCAAGGTTAATTGGCAAATCACCTGTCAAGTGGCCGTTCTTTGACAATGAAGCGGGGCAGGAACAGATCGATCTGCATTTTAGGGAACCGCTTTCACTATGAGAATGTCTGTTTCCTCAGCAGCTGGAGGGAACTTTACCTCGGAATGACCCTCAGGAAAATGCATTTCAAAGGGTGATTGGACAATGAAAGTGAGGGGCAAAAACACCACAGGTGTTACCTTTCTTTCTCTCCCTCCCTCCCTCTCTCTTTCTTTTTACCTAAGATGACAAAGAAACCAGCCCTTTGACTTTCAGGGAGGTCCTGACCTGAGAATTCGGTCAGCAGTGCTGCTGGGAACCTGCGGAAATGATTTTACCCTGAACCAAATCTACCTTAAGTTTAGTTAGTTACTAGAAAGTGTTTTATGTTTATTTCTCTTTTAACCATTTCGGACTTCAATGCGTTATACTTGTACTCTCTTCAATCTCTCTCTTAGTAGTAAAATAAACTTTTTTTTTTTTTAATAAAAAACTAACCCAGTGTTGTGTTTAAACTGAAGTGTTTGGGTAACTCAGTAGAAGTAGCAAACTGCTGAATATTGATCCTTTACAGAGGCAACAGACCTATAATATCTGAAGTGCCTAGGATAGGGCTAGACAGTGCAGAACACATGTATTGGGGAAAATTCAGAACCAGAAGTGTGTTGGGGACACCCTACAACCAGTAACCCAGGCTGGTAGAAGCCAGGGTGTGACTGGAGTGTTACTGACAGGCTGCTGGGGTCAGAGCTGTTGGACCACGGCTGCAGCTATACGCAGACACTCAGGGTGTGACCTGTGTGCAGTTTGGCTGTTTGTGAATGGCCCAGACTGGGAGTGACAACAGCAAAGCATCATGAGGCACCCTAGGTTGCAGGGCAGGTGGTGACACAGCTCCTCACAGCCCCTCATACATGTATGGCTGTGAACTGTATATAGACACTATCCAAAGTAACCTTATCCAAGGTTTCTGTAATCTTCTTTGCTAGGAGTCAAGACATCAGATAATATACGGTTTATATGTGGCACACAGATAGTTCACACAACATATACACAGGCAGGACAGCACACTAGTTAAGCCATAATTGTGTGTGTCTTAGTCTCTTAACGTCACTGAGTAAAAGTTTAGGATACTGTACTACAGTTTCCATTTTGAGGGTGAGGGATGGGTTAATTAATTATATTTTTAATTTGCTCTGTATCTGCTTGGCAATACCTTACTCTGCAGCAATTTCTCACCAAAAACGTCATCTTAGTGCTAAAAATACCACAGAGAATTTGCCAAACCTATATCATCTCCTTATGTCCCAGCCCAAACATAGCACAATTGAAAAGAGAGTCAATTTAAAGCTCAAACATCTGACAAATTTCCTCTCCTATATTTACTCATACAAAGGTGACTATAATGGGGAGTTGTTCCACACTGCACAGGTAAAAGCTCCGAGTATATTTCATTTCCGTGTTAACCTATTAGAGTGAGTTTCCTGTGTTTGGGTGGATATATAGTACAAGGAGTAAAACATTTAAAAACAGGTTAATGTAACAACGAACCCACACTCATTGGAAGGGGATACCAGAGGAGTTTTTAACAAAATAAATATTTCAAGTAGTTGCAGTTAATTGACTAGACTTCAAGTAGATGGTGTCCCTATAATTACATCATAACAATTCATAATGCTCATTAGTTAGAATAGTTTGGTCTCAACATTTCACATTTCCATAATGGAATTCTACAGCAAGCTCATCAAACATTAGGCCCCTGATTGGTTGGGCTCCAACAGCCATGTTCTTTAAAACAGAGAACTTAAAGGGTTAAAAGCTACACTATAAAAGCCAAGCCCATAATGGAAACAAAATTCTTGCCTGCTAAGTCTAGTCAGGTAAATAAATCTTTAGGGATCTAATTACTGGCAAAGAATAAAATAGCTGATTGAGCACTTTAACAGGCAGTCTTCACATTTAAAGATACAAAACTGCTGTAACATTCTCATGACGTGAAGCAGTGCAACACAAACAGCAAGATATGAGACATCATATATATGGCATCCCTGATTTTCCAGGCACGATATCAGTTGTGTTAGCAGAGCTCCATAAGCATCCATTATACAATTTAAAAGACTCAACCTCACCTGCCCACTGCACACTTACAGGTGCTTTAATGATATAATATTGTGGTTAGAATGACTGCTCACAGGAGCACAAGCCTATGGGCACCACAAGCGTTAAGGATTTCTGACTTGCGTTACTCGAAATGGGTATATGTCGGAGGGAATTTGAGTCAGACTAAAGTAATATCCCCATTACAGAGAGTATGAAGATAAAGCAGCTCACCAGCATCCCCCATCGAACTGAAGATACTTTCAGTGACACACATAATGGTATCCGTTGCCTGGTCATAGCGTCCAATGGGCTCTCCCCTGCTTGCAAACTGACGGACGTGCTGCAAGAGGTCATTCAGGGCCTGGCTGACTACACCGGCTGCTGCACTGACCTGCTTCAGCAGCTCAGAGTCATCTGTGGCAGCCTGACAGGCTCTGACACAATTCTCCACTGAACGATCCACCAGTTTTCCAGCCTCGATCAGCTGTTCCTGGCATACGGGAGAGCTGATAGAGGGGCTCACAACCTACATTGAGAGAAAACGCGGTGTTAAGAAAAGATCTAATAGGCCGGAAGTTATCCGCCTACTGTAACCGGTAACACATCTGTCTCCTTAGCATTCAGAAAACAGCTTATTCACCGACTAACAGTTGCCATACCAAAGCATGAAGTACTGCAGTTATCTACTACTATAAGAAAAGAGATTAGTAATGTACATCATACAACAGCACAGTAACAGTTGGTAAATGATTACCACTGGAGGCTATCAAAGTCAAAGGGTTGAAAATGTCCTTGCCCTTTTAAGTTAAGACTTTTCTGGATTACTGAACAAATGGAGAAATACATGAAGTTGGTTCTGAATGGCAGGTATGGGGCAGATTCTGGCAAGATAGCTGCAGTCATTTCACACAGCTCTGTATCCTAGAACTTCACTTGAAGAAAGCTTATCGTAGGGACTGTGATCCTTTACTGAAGTTTAATTAAAGTTGGTATTGCAAAGTCTTCCACTATCAGCCAATATTTTGCTAAAGCCAAAAATAACTCCTGGAAAAACAGATAAGAAAATTGCGTGTCTGAAAGTACAAACTACCAAGCTGAGCAAACCATGAATGTGCTCTAATGATACAATAGATTCAGTCCATATCATTCAGGTATGTCAAGTCAGTTACAGGCAAAGAAAAGAAGTCAGATGGGTGTTTTTCCACAAAAGAAAAAAATGACACTGACTGCCTTGTGCCATCCTGTGGAAATTTAAAAGCAGTCAGAACATCACATCCAGTTAATGATCTTACATATTCATTATACAAAGCCCGGCAGCCACAGCAATGAAGTAGAAAATACTGAAAATTGAATACCGCAAATTGGCTATTAATTTAATTATAATCCTCTTGGGTGTTCTACAATATTTAAACGCTCATTTTCCAACAGCAATTAACCCTAAGAAAGCCAAACCCGCAGATCACAAATATTTCGTATTTTCACATGCTAAAGCTTTAAAGTTTCAAAATGAAAACAGAAAAAGAGGACTTGTGGCACCTTAGAGACTAACAAATTTATTTGAGCATAAGCTTTCATGAGCTACAGCTCACTTTGCATCCAATGAAGTCTCTAAGGTGCCACGAGTACTCCTTTTCTTTTTGCGAATACAGACTAACGCGGCTGCTACTCTGAAAAATGAAAATGGTAAAATTTCTCCAAACAGAGTGCTAATAAACAATGGCCACATAAACACCACCCTATACCGGAAACCTACTGACCGCTATTCCTACCTGCATGCCTCCAGCTTTCACCCTGACCACACCACACGATCCATCGTCTACAGCCAAGCTCTGCGATACAACCGCATTTGCTCCAACCCCTCAGACAGAGACAAACACCTACAAGATCTCTGTCAAGCTTTCTTACAACTACAATACCCACCTGCAGAAGTAAAGAAACAGATTGATAGAGCCAGAAGAGTTCCCAGAAGTTACCTACTACAGGACAGGCCTAACAAAGAAAATAACAGAACGCCACTAGCCGTCACCTTCAGCCCCCAACTAAAACCCCTCCAACGCATTATTAAGGATCTACAACCTATCCTAAAGGATGACCCAACACTCTCACAAGTCTTGGGAGACAGGCCAGTCCTTGCCTACAGACAGCCCCGCAACCTGAAGCAAATACTCACCAACAACCACATACCACACAACAGAACCACTAACCCAGGAATCAGAGGAACAGCCGTGTTAGTCTGTATTCGCAAAAAGAAAAGGAGTACTTGTGGCACCTTAGAGACTAACCAATTTATTTGAGCATGAGCTGAGCTGTAGCTCACGAAAGCTCATGCTCAAATAAATTGGTTAGTCTCTAAGGTGCCACAAGTACTCCTTTTCTTTTAACCCAGGAACTTATCCTTGCAACAAAGCCCGTTGCCAATTGTGCCCACATATCTATTCAGGGGACACCATCACAGGGCCTAATAACATCAGCCACACTATCAGAGGCTCGTTCACCTGCACATCCACCAATGTGATATATGCCATCATGTGCCAGCAATGCCCCTCTGCCATGTACATTGGTCAAACTGGACAGTCTCTACGTAAAAGAATAAATGGACACAAATCAGATGTCAAGAATTCTAACATTCATAAACCAGTCGGAGAACACTTCAATCTCTCTGGTCACGCAATCACAGACATGAAGGTCGCTATCTTAAAACAAAAAAACTTCAAATCCAGACTCCAGCGAGAAACTGCTGAATTGGAATTCATTTGCAAATTGGATACTATTAATTTAGGCTTAAATAGAGACTGGGAGTGGCTAAGTCATTATGCAAGGTAGCCTGTTTCCTCTTGCTTTTTCCTAACTCCCCCCCCCCAGATGTTCTGGTTTAACTTGGATTTAAACCTGGAGATTGGTCAGTTTAGATGAGCTATTACCAGCAGGAGAGTGAGTTTGTGTGTGTATGGGGGTGGGGGGGATGTGAGAAAACCTTGATCTATGCAGGAAATAGCCCGACTTGATTATGTAAAGAGTTGTCACTTTGGATGGGCTAGCACCAGCAGGAGAGTGAATTTGTGTGGGGGGGTGGAGGGTGAGAAAACCTGGATTTGTGCTGGAAATGGCCCACCTGCTGATCACTTTAGATAAGCTATTACCAGCAGGACAGTGGGGTGGGAGGAGGTATTGTTTCATATTCTCTGTGTGTATATAAAGTCTGCTGCAGTTTCCACGGTACACATCTGATGAAGTGAGCTGTGGCTCACGAAAGCTCATGCTCAAATAAATTGGTTAGTCTCTAAGGTGCCACAAGTACTCCTTTTCTTTTTGCGAATACAGACTAACACGGCTGTTCCTCTGAAACATGGAACACAGTGATTCTATTTGAGATTTTGCTCTATGTGGATGGGAGCTCCTTTGTATTTTTCTTAGGCCAACTCTCAATACTCAGGCAAAATTGATGGGTCTCTCTTTGTTCCCATCAGAAACTGTGAAATGATGCAGAAGCACATAAATCTGAACACAAACCTTTCAGCAAACTTGGCTTGAATTTCAGTTATGATGAAAATAACGCAATTGAATGTGTGCTGCTTATAGGTTTTGTTAAACATTTCACACAACTCCACAGCAAGCTGTGTTTCTCAGAGTAATATTTTCAGCATTTTTATCAATATTAGCAATACAGCAGGCCATATCAGTTATCTACGGCCCTTCCTCTGGAATAGTATGGTAGCACTTCATATGCTAAAGGTTGCCCTTTGATGTTCTTGTTGTAATCTAACAAGAAGCCAAACCATAAACACTTTCATTAGCAGTTGTTTAATAATGATAGACTAGAGAAACTGTTTAGTCTGGGCTGGCCCAAAGGGGAAACAAAAGAAGGAAGGTTTCAAAATAGGAGCCGTGTTAGTCTGTATTTGCAAAAAGAAAAGGAGAACTTGTGGCACCTTAGAGACTAACCAATTTATTTGAGCATAAGCTTTCGTGAGCTACAGCTCGCTTCATCGGATGAAGTGAGCTGTAGCTCACGAAAGCTTATGCTCAAATAAACTGGTTAGTCTCTAAGGTGCCAAAAGAAGGAAGGACATGCTTCATTAAATAACCACTACCCCGGACGGCCAAGTTGTGAAATGCTCACAGCAGCAGCAATCGACACCGGCTGGAGCGGGCAACTGAGAAACAAGGCTCTATCCAACGTGTCTTGGGGATAGAACCCTAAATATCTTTGCATAGTTTTATGTTTTTGTAGGAGCTCTAACTCCAGGATATTCAAGGTTAACTGATTAAACCATATCAACAATACACCCAGGGAAGACTGTGAATGAGTGTGTAACATTCTGAAACAACGCACTGCCCCTTTCACGAACACCATGAGCCTTACCTTGGCACATGCCACAAGCTGAGAGGTGGACAGTGCACATTGCGTAGCAGCAGCAATAACCCTGTTCTGCAGGACCATATCCTCAGCAACTTGAGCCACATTCTTAGCCTTCAACACCAACATGGCAGCAGCATTTGCAACAGCTTTGGCAAGACTCATCAGTACATCCTGGCAAAACAAAGGACAAAACTTGACCTAAGCTGTCAGAAATACTCACTAGCGTCAATATTTTGGATTCCTTAAAATTAAACTAGAATATTCCGAATTTAAGAAGACTCAAAGCATCTACAAAGGGGAAGTTATGGTAGATTCCCAGTGAAACATTGCTATGTATTATCCAGAAATGTTCTTTGTTACACATGGCCTGCTTACAGGGTTGAAATGCTTTGTGCAAACAGGTTAGTAAGCTGAGTGAATCAATCACCTTTTGGGAAGGGGCAGAACTACACACTTCGGATTTGTGATAGCCAAATGCAAGATATGGGAGTACAATTTAGAGCTGTAATCTCAGTGTAGACATGTGGGACTAATCACTGTAAGAACATGTGACGTTAGTTACTAGATATGCACACTCAAAACCTGAGTTGATCTCACTGGATAATTGGTGATCTACAGCCATATGTTTTACCTAAGGTCAAGTTGAAGATTTCAGATCTCAAAATGACAACTAACGGGTATCTGACACTGCATATTCAATAAACAGTATGCACTGTATAGAAAAGCAAAAGAAAATGGCACTGCAACCTTAATTTATAAACAGGCGCAAACAGTGTGTCTGGGGGCTATCCATTTGCTAGTACAGTTTTCTTTTACACTATAAAATAATGGCTCCAAGCTGTAACTCCTCAGAGGCCCCAGCTCCAGAAGTTATTTTCTTCTTGAAGACAAATGCATTTGGTTGTTTGAAGCTGTATAAGTGGTTTAATGCTTGTATTGCTATTATTCAAATATACAACCTCATTTAAAATTCTGCTTCCAATGTGCTTCAATTATTTTTGATACAACAGAGCCAGACTGAGACCCTCCAAAATAACCATAATGCTAATTGATAATATTCATCTTCTTAAGCTGGATGAAAGAAGAAAGTGTTGAGAGAAATAAAACAAAACTAAATTTTTAAACCTATTAAAGATTTGGATCAGTTCAAATTTTAGACAAAATTAGAGACATCTTTTCACCTAATCAAAGTGAAATACATACATACAAATTGCATACAGACGTAGGATAACACTACTGTGAACCTTACATGCAGCAGCAAGCTCCACCGTGGAATTGCATGATTCTGGCAGTGAGCAACTCATATGATCTTACCTGAAATCTTTCATCAGTTTCATTCTCTCCTATCTGTCTCAGGAGCTCCCCACTGGCTTGCCCAATGCTTCCAGCTGCAGTTAAAACTGTTTGGCGAGGCTACAAAACAGGTTAATGAAAAGCATAAACGTTTTTCTTTAACTTCATAATTCTCTCAAGACACCTTTGTTAGCCCCATTACCGTATACAGGGTAACGCCACTGAACTCTCTACTCAAGATACCTCTTAGAGTATTCTTACTTTTCCGTATTCCTATTTAATTTATCCTGCAGCATCTTAATGACACGTCTCCATATGTTGCTGAGTGTGAGAAGAAATCTGATCAGCTTTAATACACATCATAGCAGCTGAAGGAAAGGTATGTGTTGGACAGCTTTTATTGCAACCTGCTTGGAAGTGGTCACAGATTTCTGGTTTTGCCTTAAAACTGCAAAGATCCAGGGCAAACGGATAGCAGCCATAAACTCAGGCCAGAGTGTCTGCAATATTAAATTCTGTCTTGCTCAGTACAATTTCCCATTTCCGTAAATTTTGATGGAGACTGTCATTTCATTCACCTGTTACCTGTTGCTACATGCGACCCTGATATTAAAGACAAAAAAAAATCAGGTACCAGCCCCACTTACTTCCCTAGTAACTTGTAATTGAGTTTTCACAGCATTTAGAGAAAAAAAATGGTAACACTTTTTTCAACATTTCCAATAAAAATACAGAATGGAATATTACTGTGTATTCAGATTGCCTCAATTTGAAAAGTAAAAAATCAAAACCCCCACCAAAAAAAAAAATCCTCCCACAAATAAGGAATGAATCGAGGAGGTGGCAGCAGGCTTCTGTCAAATAAAGAATATACAGATAAAGATTTTTAGGGTTGAATCAATTTCCCCATCTCTGCTCCTAGAGCTCACAATACCAAGTTAGCCCCCAACCACTCAAATATGCCCCTCATGACTGGCTAGCATCTTAATGGGGCTGTTTGCTGTTGGCACCGTGCCACAGTGCAGAATCAAAGCCAGCGCCTTGATTTTTCAATACTAGCCAGATAGCAGTGAGCCGTCAGTAGCCACCCGAAGACTTTGCAAACAACTTGTGAAAATTTACAATATAAGGGCATGACTGGATACAACAGTGTGGATACAATACAGTGAAACAGCTGGCTGATATATGAAAGAGGAAATGGGTGAATATTAACCGGGAGGCTGTTCTAGGATCAAGGTGCTGCACTTAAAGGCATGAAGTCAGAGGTATGTGGAGGACACAAAGAAAGCGGTCAGGAGAAGTGCTTGGGGATCATAGGGGAAACAGTGGCAGGAGAGGGTTGGGAAGACACAACCTGGGGCCTGGAAAGAGCCATTCTGGTTAATTGGATAAATGCTTTATACCCAAACACTTTAATTGAGAGTAATGCATTTCAGCCAAGGAGAGCCTGTGAAAGCTCACTGCTTGTGTCCGTATTCTCACCTCTCCCGAGGTGGGCTCCACCGCTTTCAGCAGGTCCGAAACAGCACCTGCCAGAGTCCGAGCAGCTTTCAGGAGATCCTCCCCACTTCCAACTTCATCGTCCATTAGGGCAGCAAGCAATTTCACACCCTTGGACATCTCAGTCAGGTTAGAAGAGATGGTTGTAATTGCACATCCCACAGCCGTGTAATCCGTGTCAACTGGGTCACCTGTATAAGTGAAGGGAATGATAAGTGCAGAAGCAAGGAGTACAGCACAAGCTGGTTTCTGGTCAGATAATTAGAAGTAAAATTGAAGGGGATAAAGAAGACTTGGCTAGATAATTCAGGCATCATTTTGAAAATTTAGCATCTACTATCAACTTTTCCTGCCCATATATATAACATATGTACATTCTCATGGAATTTTTTCTCTTCATGACTGTCCAGGTAAGCAAAACATCCACAATTTCCATTATCTCTCCCATATTCACTATATGGAGGGACCCAAAGAAATGCAGTATTGAACACTAGTTGCCTTTACACATCTTATACCTAACTTGCAATTCAGAGAAAAACTGAAAAACGATGTAAGACACAGGACCAGACAGACCAGAGCAAGCCATTTGTCCACACAACCAAATATCCTGACTCTAGGAGTGGCCAATAAATGATACTTCAGAAAACCCATACAAAAATATTACTCTCAGTTACATGAAGCCAGTAAAATATTAGGTTTTATCTTTATCAGGGAAGCATTAATAGATTCTGTGCAAACACTGGTTAAAAAAAAAAAAAAAAAGACAATAAGGTCTGTTTCAGTCATAAAGGCCATTTGTGTATTTGGAGGAAAGTATATTCCTGAATGTCTCCCAGGCAGCCTCCATCTTGTTGAAAAGAGGTTGGTACATACACAACAGCAGCCTGGCAAAGTCCAATCCCTGTAATTTACCTGCTGTGAGGTTAACAACAGAGGCAGTTCCTGCAGTGATAGCATCAACCTGAGAGTGAATTTCATGTTTTGATTCATCAACTTTGTTCTGAACCCATACCCTCGATGCCTAGAAAGAAACATCATCAGAGTATTAAGGACTGCAATGCCATGCTGCAAGTGAAATAAACTCAAGATAAAGTAATGGGTAAAGTTCTTTACAGGCCCTTGATTCTTTCAGAAGCCTTTTAAATGAAGCAGATGGCATCAGCTACGCTATTAGGCTGAAATAACTGTAAGTTCTTCCTTACAGTAACTGCTAGATCATAGGTTGACAGCTCTGATTTCTGTGTGAATGTCATAAATATGGTGTCAAAATGGTGCACAGTGGAGGACCACAGAACATCATCTGGTTCATCATGGGGACTCACCAATCTTATTGGCTCTACTCCACCCCAAAATTGGATCCAAAGTGGTGTTCCAGAGCTGACAGGCTCCATATCCCATTAACAATTATAGCTAAGAAGCCACGTAAGAATATTTACACAGACAGGCTTGAGCCAAAAATTCCTAGAGCCAAAAATAGGTGAGGAAACTTGAGATGTATCTGACAGGATTACACCCATCCTTCTTTAGGGTCATGAGCTATCTGTATACAAGCTGTACCTTCTTCAGTATCTTGGTTTTGCTTTACAGCCACTCCTTCAATTTCTCCCCTCAGGAGCTACTTACTACAACAGTCCAAGTGGCAGTTCCCCCCTGATTTACTGACTCAAGTTTTCCACAGTCACACACGTGTAGACCCATTAAAGTAAATGTGACTGCAAAGGTGTACAGGAAGGGACAACTGGGTCCATGGTGTATAGCCTCAGAAGGTTAATATGAGTTAAACAGAACAAGATATTCTTACAGATTCCTTTAAGTAAACAAGGATTTTCATCTTATTTATAAAGCTGTTGAGATATCTATCTACACCCAGGGACAATGAATAAGCTCTGAAATAAATAACTCAAGCTGTTTAGCTGAATCCTTATAGGGATCACATGAATTAACTCACCATATCTTGTCCTAGAGGTGGTAGGTTATCAACTTCATTGAGGTCGGACTGTGCCTGCTGAACAGCGTGCATACTCGTATTAATAGTCCCCATCAAGGCCTGCTGTGCTGAGGTCTGTGAAATAGACAAGGAAAATTAGTGTCTGCCAAGCTGCAAATCATGATTTAGGTGGATCTGAAATGTTTTGTGCTATACACTAGGTAAATGAGATTAAATCATTAGACTTGTGTAAATGGTGAATTTTATTTTGATTGTTCTGTTTCTAGCCACAGTCTCCTCCTAGGTCATACAGAAAGAATGCTTGTGTGGGTCTGAATGGTATGGGTTTGCCAGAGATCTTGAATGGGCAGGTTGGTTTCTAAGCATCACACTAGCGCTCTCGATAGGACAGTAAAAAATGCAACTGATACACATCACTGTTAATGTTAACAGGTCCAATTGCCAGATCCAAGACAGCACTTATTAACTAGCTCCCTATCTCCTCACTGCCTTTGATTCCCTTCTTTACTTAATACATACAGTTTCATGGTCCCTTAGTGGGTAACCCATGGCAGCTCAGAAATTTCCAGCATTAATGGACCATGTTAGTAGCACCTGGCTCCCAGATGCACATCTTCGGGCCCAAACCTAGAAGAGGAACCCTGAGAAAAGATGGGAAAGTAAGCGACAGCCAAATCCAGGCAGCCTCCCAAGGTACTTGTCTGACCTATTTCAAACTTGTACAACTTTGAGAAACTTGATCAGCTCCCATGCAGGAGATGAAAACCAGATGAACTTTAAGCAGGAGGAAGCTTTTCAGTACAGTAACTCTTTGCTATTAATTGAGAACACGAACTCCCCCCAAACTGCAACAGTGTCACGGGAGCTGCAAAGTCCTAGAAACTTCACATCGGAAGACAAAGTTTTTGCTGATAGGACTGACCTGTCTGCAGTGCACCTGGTTTCTGGAACAATTTATGTGCTTTCCACATTGTACATAAAACTATTATTAGAAAAGGCATTCATGCTCCATGCCACATTTTGACAGAGCAACTCAGGGACTTCTCTATTTTCAGACAGAGGGGATAGTTTTTGCTATTACTGTGTTAATTTCCATAAATCTTTCATAAACAGAGCTAAGGGGAAGCTAATATTAGAACACAAAGGGCAGAGAAGCAACTTACAAGCAAACATAAAAACTGGAGCATGCTGACCAGTAACATTTGAGCCAACAGGGGTAATACAGGTTTAACCAGGGGTGCGTCCTCATTGATTTCCATTGCTATGGTTTTAGTCTGAGTCTGAATTTATCTTCCTAGTCCCGCCAGGACTGGCAGAAACAGCTGAATATCATGTTTTAAGATTTTTATTATCTAACAATGCAAAATGATCACTCAGACATTTCTCTGATTCAGTCTCAAAGCTGTTTAAAATATTTTGCTATTCTCGGTTATACGTATTGTAAAAAAAAAACGGATTTTTCACAATCAGCATGTCCACTATTCATGTAAAAAAGTACCACTGTCTTCTTGTCATGAGTTCTATGAATGTGAACATGAGTTTTGAATTTACTTCAAGGATAGCATCATCAGTTTCCTGGAATTTGATACTCCATTAGCTTCATCAGGAGTCATTCTAAAATCAAACTGACATCTACGTGATATGGCTGCTGCAGAGCTGAAGGCTTTGAAGTGGTGTGGGATGAGTATGTATTGTTATATGCATTACCTACTGATGAGTAAATTAATATTCTTCTGAATTATGCTACTATGATATTATGAAAAACTGCCCAATATTTAGGGTATCTAGAGCATATGTATAGGCCTTCGTTAATAGAGTCTTTAAAATTAAACAAATGGTCTTAGTCAATATACATTTAAAAGTGGTAGACACAAAGGGTAACTTTTACAGTTACACTTGCACAGAGAAATTAAAATTATATTAAAATGACTGTTTAATAAAGTGAGCTTAATATTCAAGTCCAGTGGCAGCACACTAAAAAATCAACAGTATATACTCGGAGCTAGCAACAGACTTCATAGGAATACACAAAGCAGAAAGCGATGCCTAGATAAGTGATTTTTTTAGAACACTGTAAATAGATACATATTGTATTTTTCATACAATACCGCTTGCCCTTATCAACAATATTTAGCCTTTCTACCCTCTTTCCCAGCCCATGTCAAACATGTTTATAACTACTTTAAGAAAAGTTTTAAGACAAAGAGGGAGGAGTAAAAAGGTGGACTATGACTATGTTACTTTGGGTGTTTCAAGGAAATTGAAAGTGTGCAGTTTAACGGGAGAGTCAGCCAAACAGTGCAGTAAAACAACACAGACAGCTCACAGCCCTTATCTAATAACAGGGTGTGCACACATACTTATTTCAGACCACTCACAGCACAGGCTACACGGGCTGGTTTCCAAGGACATTATAAAACAAACAGGTTGCTCACCAGGGGAGGCATGTGGCCTCTGTGCATTTGCCCAATCATGACTTGTTGCTGGGGGGAAGGCATGCTGCCAATATTGAAAGTCTCTGGGCCACTGGAGCCTGAACGCATCACAGCAGGCAATGCCACCGAGCCATGTTCTACCTTCCCGGTTCGGTTGAACTGCTGCTGCAAGATGGTAGATCTGAAAAGGGAATGCACATTAGAACATGACAGCAAACAGCGAGCAGTTAACAGCAGAGTTTCTGTGGGAGTTTGGCCTGAGAGAAGAATGGTGATTTTGTGTTCTGTTCAGAACAGAGCAAAAAATCACTACCGGAGTGATTTGTTCTAGGTATGTGGCTTGATTCAGTGCTTGCTGATATCCCTTAACAAGGGGTTGGTGCTGACATAGTTTGGCTAGGTTAAAAAGCTAGTCACTAGTGAACACTGGAGCAGCAAACAGCTAGCAGCAGCCTCCATGGGAGGGAGCTACGGGGAGGGTCCTCCAATTTCTTTTTTCCCCCCTAGGAATAGGGTCTAAGAAAATAAAGCAATGATGGCTACTGAGACAGCATGAGAAGCGACCCGAGGAGGAGAGGAGAGAAAGAAGATGGTGGGATGCAGAAGCTGCTGATGCGCATAATCTTTGAGGGGGTATCCAATGGAAACTACTCACGGAAGCTACTAGATCGCATGCCCTGATTCTCATGGGTGACTTTAATTTTCCTGATATCTGCTGGGAGAGCAATACAGCGGTGCATAGACAATCCAGGAAGTTTTTGGAAAGCGTAGGGGACAATTTCCTGGCGCAAGTGCTAGAGGAGCCAACTAGGCGGGGCGCTTTTCTTGACCTGCTGCTCACAAACCGGGTAGAATTAGTGGGGGAAGCAAAAGTGGATGGGAATCTGGGAGGCAGTGACCATGAGTTGGTTGAGTTCAGGATCCTGACGCAGGGAAGAAAGGTAAGCAGCAGGATACGGACCCTGGACTTCAGGAAAGCAGACTTCGACTCCCTCAGGGAACGGATGGCCAGGATCCCCTGGGGAACTAACTTGAAGGGGAAAGGAGTCCAGGAGAGCTGGCTGTATTTCAAGGAATCCCTGTTGAGGTTACAGGGACAAACCATCCCAATGAGTCGAAAGAATAGTAAATATGCCAGGCGACCAGCTTGGCTTAATGGTGAAATCCTAGCGGATCTTAAACATAAAAAAGAAGCTTACAAGAAGTGGAAGGTTGGACATATGACCAGGGAAGAGTATAAAAATATTGCTCGGGCATGTAGGAATGAAATCAGGAGGGCCAAATCGCACCTGGAGCTGCAGCTAGCGAGAGATGTCAAGAGTAACAAGAAGGGTTTTTTCAGGTATGTTGGCAACAAGAAGAAAGCCAAGGAAAGTGTGGGCCCCTTACTGAATGAGGGAGGCAACCTAGTGACAGAGGATGTGGAAAAAGCTAATGTACTCAATGCTTTTTTTGCCTCTGTTTTCACGAACAAGGTCAGCTCCCAGACTGCTGCGCTGGGCATCACAAAATGGGGAAGAGATGGCCAGCCCTCTGTGGAGATAGAGGTGGTTAGGGACTATTTAGAAAAGCTGGACGTGCACAAGTCCATGGGGCCGGACGAGTTGCATCCGAGAGTGCTGAAGGAATTGGCGGCTGTGATTGCAGAGCCATTGGCCATTATCTTTGAAACCTCGTGGCGAACCGGGGAAGTCCCGGATGACTGGAAAAAGGCTAATGTAGTGCCAATCTTTAAAAAAGGGAAGAAGGAGGATCCTGGGAACTACAGGCCAGTCAGCCTCACCTCAGTCCCTGGAAAAATCATGGAGCAGGTCCTCAAAGAATCAATCCTGAAGCACTTGCATGAGAGGAAAGTGATCAGGAACAGCCAGCATGGATTCACATTCACATACAGGTATTGTAGGGTATATATTGTTTAAGAGAGAGAAAAAGAAAGGTAAAGTTGGGGATAGCATAGATAATTGAAACAGTAAATTGTAAAGAAATATGAAGTGATATTATGGACAACACAGCATTTCTTTGGGTCAAAACCACTTTGGGGAAGGATTGTAAAAGAGGTTCTGCTGAGGTAGTGTTAAGGTCTGCTATAGACTCCCAGGGTCAGACTAGGATATGGATAGTGATCTCTAATATTATTACAGAGATAAATACTTTTGGGAGTTGGGTCATAATGTGAGGCTAACTTTCCAGATACAGATTGGAGAATAAATGCTACTTCTACTGCTAGGGCCCAGTTATTTTCAGTTGGTTCTTCGTCAAATCATCATTGAACCAACAAGAAGTGATCTGAAGAAGTGGTTTTTTATCCACGAAAGCTTATTCCCAAATAAATCTGTTAGTCTTTAAGGTTCCATCGGACTCCTTGTTTTTGTGGATACAGACTAACACGGCTACGCCCTGATACTTAACATGAGGTGATGTAATTTTAGATTTTGTCTTAGTAAGTAGTGAGGACATCACAAAAAAGCTGGTCATAAGAAATAACCTTGGATTGAATGATCACAAGTTGATTCTGTTTACATTAAATGAAAGGACAATCCAAATCAGGTAATTAACCATGGCTTTTGATTTCTAAAGGGCAGACTTTGTGATATTAGGGAATTAGTTACCATTTTTACTCGTTCATAAGCTGAATATTTTTGGTAAAAAAGTGATGCATCAAAGAGCGGGGTTCGGCTTATAAACGGGTCTACACCAAAATTTGACTATTTAAAACTCTATGGAATCATTGAATTGAGTATCAAATACACTGTTGTCTTGTTTACCTGGAGCGTCTGCAGGCATGGAGCCCCTCAGCTCCCTGTGGCTGCGGTTCACTGTTCCCAGACAATAGGAGCTGCGCGCCACTTCCTGCAGCACCCATTGGCTGGGAATGGCAAACCACGGCCACTGGGAGCTCAGGGGCTCCATGCCTGTGAACGCTCCAGGTGAACAAAACATCCAGGCCCACTAGTGGCTTATCCTAATGGGCCAGGAGCCAAAGTTTGCCAACCCTTGAAATATAGGGTTGGCTGATGAAAGGGTCATACAGTTTTTGCTATTTTTACCTATCCATCTTTTGCGGGGGGCGGGGGGGGTGCGGGTCAGCTTATAAAGGAACGGGCCAATGAACAAGTATATATGGTAAATAAGTCAGCTGGACTGAAGAGCTCAAGGACTTACATGGAGAGATGACTTGGAAATTCTTCAAATCAACTATACAAAACCTATCTGAAATTCACATCCCAAGAAAGGGAAAAAACTTGTAGAGAAAGGCTCCAGACCCAGCTGGAAGAATAACCACCTCACAAAGGTTTTTAGGAGTAAGCAGAGAGTTTATTGGGCAGCGGTGGGCAACCTGGGCTGCACGCTGTCCACCAGGGTAATCCGCTGGTGGGCCGCGAAACAGTTTGTTTACATTGACAGTCCGCAGGCACGGCTGCCCTCAGCTCCCATTGGACGGGACAGGCGAACCTGCAGGCAGCCTGTGGACAGTTAATGTAAACAAAATGTTTCTCAGCCCGCCAGCAGATTACCCTGACGGGACACGTGTGGCCCAGGGGCCACAGGTTGCCCACCACTGCTATAAGGAATGGAAAAAAGGGTTAATTAGCAAAGAAAGCTACATCATGAAAGTTAGAAAATGTAGGAGTAAATGGAGAACTGCTAAAAGTCAAGCTGAAATAGCTCTTGCCAAGGAAATTAAAATAAAGATTTTTTTAGTTATATAAATAACAAATGGAAGAAGTGTTGTGATCAGTGCAATCTATATGAGGGTTGAAGGACCAATCGATCAAGGTGACAAATAACAAGAGAATAAGGAAGAATGAGGTTGGGCTGCTATGCAGTGGAGATTATCTTTAATCTCAGTATGGCCCAAAAAATTAAATGAATACTTTGCTTCAGTTTTCAAAACAATGATAATATGAAACATGTGCATAAAGGCAGTATAATAACTTATTTTTAGATAAGGGAAGTGCAGAAGATCTAATATACTTGGACTTCAGTAAAGCACTGGACATAGTACCCCATGGGAAATTATTAGTTATATTAGGGACGATATGGATCAGTGCTAGCATGTAAGGTGGGTAAGGAATTGGCTAAAGAGAAGGCAATGCATTGTGCTGAAAGGTGAATGATCAAACTGTAGAGTGGTAACTTCTGTGGTTCCTCAAGGATCAGTCTTGGGACAAATCTTATTCAATATTTTTATTAATGACCTTTGCACAAAAAGTAGGAGTGTGCTAATGAAATGGGCTCATGATACCAAGTTGGGAGGCATCATCTATATAGAGGAGGATCGGAATATTATACAGGAAGATTTGGATGACCCGAAGACTAGAGTAACAGAAACAGGGGAAAATTCAACAGTATAAAGGGTAAGGTAATGCTCCTAGGTCTAAGAAGAAGAATTTTTGCTTCAAGCTGGAGGCTCATCAATTGGCGCGACAGAGGAGGAGAGAGACCTGTGTGTGTGGATCAGTCACAGGATGACCACTAGCCACCAATGTGATGCGGCTGTGAAAGAGACAAATGTGCTCTTACGATGTATTATGCAACGCATTTCCAGTACAGGGAGAAAAGTACCAATGCAGTTATACAAGGCACTGGTAAGACCTCATCTGGAATATTGTGTACAATTCTGGTCACCCATGTTCAAGAAAGATGAATTTAAACTGGAACAGGTGCAGAGAAGAGATACTAGGATGATCAGGGAATGAGGGCCTCTTGGAAACTGGAAGAGCTGGGCCTGCTTAGTCTCGCAAAATGAAGGCTGAGAATGGACGTGAATACTCTCTGTAAACATATTGGGGGTAAATACCAGGAAGGGTGAAGAGCTATGTAAGCAAAAGGAGAAAGTTGGCACAAGAACAAATGGATATTAACTGGCCATAAACAAATTCAACCTGGAAATCAGAAGAATGTTTCTAACCATCAGAAATGTGAGGTTCTGGAACAGCCTCTCAATAGGAGTTGTGGGTCAAACAACTGAATTAGCTGGACAAACTTATGAGCGCAGTTGTATGATGGGGTTGCTTGTGACTTCCGATATGTCTTATGTTCCTAAAACTCATGCTTCAGGGTTTCAGCTGTCACCTGCATGAGGTCAAGAAAGCATATCCCCCTCAATGTATTTTGGATGGGTTACGCCCCGCCCCTCCATTTCCTACCTCTGATGCACCAGAGATGGCCATAGCTCGAGACGGTACAGTGGCCAGGGCTCTTAGGTGGCACCGAGGATTCTCTCTCTTAGGTGTTAATCTGGCTGGTTCTTGTTCACGTGCTCGGGATTTAACTAATATCCATAAGTAAGGCTGGGAAGGAATTTTCCCTAGCTCAGATTAGTAGTGACCTTGGCGGGGGGGTTGGGGGTTGGGTTTGCCTCTCTCTGCAGTGGGTGAGTGGATAATCACTTACTGGGATTATCTGGGTGTATCTCGTGTAATAATTTTCCTGCCACTGCAGAGACCTTGAGCACTGATGCCCCTTGGTCCCGCCTATTCTCTGCCTGTGGGCACGTGATAGTCTAATATCCCGTGGGTCTCATTTACTTTGGTCTCATTTCCATTGTTGGGTTTAGCGTGTGGGGTTGATGGTCAGTGATATACACAAGGCCAGATGAGATGATACAGTGGTCCCTTCTGGCCTTAAATTCTGTGACTTCATGAGCTCCTGTAAACTAATTCCTGGCTGCATTCTTCCCTTTCAGTTTCTAAGCAAGGGTGTTTAAATTGGGTGAACTGCTTAAATTCTAGTCAATGTATTCTTTCATCCAACCATTTTAGAAAGTATTTGTATTACCAAAGACATAGTCATACAGCAGAACCCCATTGTGCCAGGTGCTTAAAGTATAAGTTTGCTACATCTTCAGTGTCTGACAAACAAGTTATCAGTAATGCTACTACCTGAACAGGCGGTGAAGGAAGAATGGAATGTGTGACCTGGCTGTATTTATTGTTATGACCTCACCTCATCTCACAAAGGACAAAAGCGGAGACTGGGGGCTGTGTCACTGAAAGAAGGATCTCACAGTTTTGCTTCAACTATGCCAAAGTAGGACTAACAACTATACATTTCTGGAGATACATTTTCCAAGCACTCCTTAGAGTTGGAATAAAATGTGTACCCCTTCTTCCAAACTGTATGTATTTACATTCTGCCCCGATAGTAATTTAGCAGTCTATCAAATAATGGGATAAGACCAAGACTACAATACGTTATCATTAACTATGGGCATGATCACTTTGCCAGATGTTACTGCTCATATTAAGTATAGTCTAAGCTCCAACAGTTGGAGGCATTGGCATAATTTTTGATTTAAAGAGTAACGACGTGCTTGGAAAAAAATTGGTGTAATTTCAGTTACAGATGAACATTGTCCATGCATATCCATTTGTTACAAATTTTGAGCTTCTAAATACAGCATTGACACAGATAGGATACGTTCTGGAAGCCATTTGGAACGGGAAGTGTAAAAAGGAAGCACGTAAAAACGTGCACTATGCGAAAGCTAAAAATTCACGTAAGGCCACATAAAAGATCTCACCAATTCATTTCCTGTAAGCCATGTGTGTAACATAAATCAAAGTCAGACCTTCACACATTGCACAGACACTACCCTCCTGTCCCTTGGAGTGCAAAGAAGAGGCTTAAGTTAGGCCTCAGTATGGCTCAAAGTGTAACTGTTTCTGTTAATTAACAGTAAAGAGCCAACTGAATATTCCTTTTCAAGTGAACCGACAGCGCCAGGACCCTGCACTTGACTCTTTTCAGTCACCCAGTATAATCCACTCTCCCCACACAATGAAATCCCAGACCCCACTTAATTTGTGTTGCACTGTGAGCCAAAGCCCCCCACCTTGTCTTTAGCAGCATCTGAAAGATTAATTATTTTTTTCCATATTAAATAAAACTCTGCTAATGACAGTTACAGAACAACACTGCATGCAAACCCTAATTAAAGCCATCCATTTAGCAAATGTAAGCTATCAAAAGCAAGTAAATATTCACAAACTGAACACACAACCTTCCACTAATTCAATTTTTATAACTCTGCATACAGATTGCTACTCAGTTAGTCTCAGTTCCGTAGTTTATGGTTCAAATCACCACAACTGTGCATACTTCACACCAAATAATAGTCTTTGGACAAAACAGCAGACTTCACAACAAAAGCTTAACTCTGCAGAAGGGGAAGGAGACAGAGCTGTTTTCTGTTAAATTACCCTGCAGTTAAGTAATTTTCGAAGGACAGAAATATTTTAAACCATATTTGGGATTAAAGAAAACTACCCACTGCTTACTAAACCTTTCACTCTTACGGAAAGCCATTTTTCCCATGGCACAAACTCACTTCTTAGGCGACACAGATTCTTCCAACATTGTTGATTCCTCATCACCTTCAAGCCCAAATCTATCTTTACTTTGTTTCTGAAAAAAAAGCAAACATAAATACTTATATGGCATTTCTATTTCATTTCATTTCTTGAACTCATCTACCTTTATTTTGTCACTAGTTTACACATATTGTGTCAAGTCATCTGCATGCTCTCTCTCTCGCACTCTCTCTAGTGCTGCACCATGATGTTTTGGTGCTCATATGTGAGCGGGCACTCTGCGATAGGTTACACCTCCACGTCCTGGATGCAATAGAGAGGAGAAAGATCACAAGGAACTTCAGCATCCAGAGCACTTGGATAGGGCAAAACAATCTGGGTGCCAGCACTGGTGGACTTAAGGTGCATAAGGGGAGAAGACGAACATGGATAGTAGTACTAGCAGGTCTTGTTTCTGAATAAGACGAAGCACTTGCCCCTCCCAAAAATCAGCACCACCTGCTATATAGTATGTTTCATAGAGGCTTAATACCACCAAGCTCAGATGGACAGTGGTGCCTCCTACCAACTCCCTCCATGCAGCAGTAAATGGGAAGCCTCAACAATACAGATAGCTCACAGGAATTGGTGCATACAACTCTGCTACAAGGTATCTTGTATCCAAAAAGCGCCCATATGTGAACCAATATATGATTAATGCACACAAATGACTGCCACAAGAAAAGTAACATGACAAGTGTTACATGGTGCCAGATTCATTTCTTTATGGTTATTTTCTAGAAACTTAGTTTCAGAAATGTTCATTTCTGATGTGAATTATTTACAATAATGTAAGGGAGGTAAATGTGCACAGTGGAGTTAAATTAGGGTGTGAATTGAGATATTCCTCATAAGCAAGTGACCACAGAGAGGCGTGATACGTTGTGGAAGAAATGCCGTGTCAGAAATAGATTGCTATAATATTCTTAGCCTTGTAACAGTCATTATACTGAGGCAAAGAAAAGAGATAGCTATGTCTCTGGAGGTAGTTTAATGGGAACCCTCTTCTTTACCCATGAACAAACCCTGTTTCATTTCAGTTTGAGTTTAGGTGTGGGCTGAAACAGGCCATTCATTTTTAGAGCCAAGACTCTTTGAAACTGCAACGTTCTTATTTTGCTATTAGTGTACGGGACAGGGGGAAAAAAAATAGGAGCACCTCAAGTTGCTAGGTTTCCAATCATCTACCATTGACAAGTTGCAGGGACAAAATTTCTTTTCAGGCTCTCACTGTGACATCAGACTCAGGGATATGCTATAACAAGGGGAAGTTGTGGAAGAAAATCTACAGCAAAATAGGTCATTCAAGATGCCCTGAGTATTGACATTACAAGATTTCTATATGACTGTAGGTGAGGAACAGATGTGGCAGAGAGAGAACTCAGGCTTGACAACTGGAAACTGCATGTTTCTCATTCAAGTCATGACACAGAATGGGAGTTAGTTTGCTAACCTATTCCCATTTCACTCATTTAAAAACTGGTTGTGTGAGCAGATTTTAAAGACGAAATCAAAGGATTGGTTTGGGAGTGGAAATCTACACATCTGTACACTCTCCGTATATACAGAGAACTGCCCTAGCTTGGAATTCTACTTGTAAAACTTAGAGCAGTTCGAAAAGACAGTTACCTTTTTCCATAAGTGGTGTTCTTCGAAGTGTGTTGCTCATGTCCATTCAACTTAGGTGTGTGCGTTCGCTACATGTACCAGTGCCAGAAGTTTTTCCCTCAGCAGTATCTGTAGGGGACCGCTCCAGCACCCCCTGGAGTGGCGCACACATGCCGCAGTATATAGGGCGCCATTGGCCCCCTCCACCCTCAGTTCTTTCTTGCCAGAAACTCCGACAGTGGGGAAGGAGGGCAGGTCGTCAAATGGACATAAGCAACACATCTCGAAGAACATGTTATGGAAAAAGGTAACTGTTTTTTCTTCTTCGAGTGATTGCTTGTGTTCATTCAACTTAGGTGACTCCAAGCAGTACCCGTGGAGGCGGGTAAGGAGTTCATGGACATGTAGATTGCAACACAGCTCTACTGAACCCAGCATCACCCTTGGCCTGCAGCGTGATCGCATAGTGAGCCGTGAACGTGTGTATCGAGGACCATGTTGCGGCTTTACAGATATCCTGGATCGGAACTTGTGCCAGGAAGGCCTCCGAAGATGCCTGCGCTTTAGTGGAGTGGGCTCTGACGATCGGTGGCGATGGAGCAACCACCAGCTAGTAACAAGTCCTCATGCAAGAGGTAATCCAGTTAGAAATTCTCTGCGTGGACACTGGGAGGACCTTCATCCTATCAGCTGTAGAGATGAAAAGCTGAGTCAACCTAAAGAAAGGCTTTGTCCGATCTAGGTAGAAAGTCAGGGCCCTTCTTACAGCCAAAGGATGGAGGCACCTCTCTTCACTAGTCTCATGGGATTTAGGGCAGAAGACCGAAGGAAGATGTCCTGGCACATGTGGAAAGTAGACACCACCCTGAGAAGGAAGGCCGGCTGGGGCCGGAGCTGTACCGTGTCCTTACAGAAGAGCGTGTATGGCGATTCTGAGGCCAGGGCACGCAGCTCAGAAACTTGCCTTGTTGATGTCACCGCCACCAGGAAAGCTACCTTCCATGATAGGTGAGATAGGGAGTACGAGGTCAAAGGCTCAAAGGGTGGGCCCGTGAGCCTGGACAGAACCAAGTTGAGATCCCACTGAGGATCTGGGGACTGAACTTGAGGAAAAAGTCTCTCAAGACCTTTGAGGAACCTGACCTTCATGTCATAGGAGAACACTGTCTGCCCCTGGACGGGGAGATGAAAGGCAGAAATGGCCGCCTGATGCACCTTGATAGAGGAGTGTGCCAGGCCCTGGTTCCTCAAATGAAGCAGGTAGTCTAAGATTGACTGCACCGAAGTATGCGAAGGGGAGATGCCCCATTCAGCCGCCCAGTAGGAAAACCTCATCAACTCTGCCAGGTAGGTCTGTCTAGTCGAGGGTATTCTACTCCCCAGGAGGATCTGCTAGACCCCCTCCAAACAGGTCCGTTCTTCAGGGTTCAGCCATGCAGCATCCATGCCGTGAGATGGAGAGACGTGAGGTTCAGGTGCAGGAGGCGACCATGGCCCTGTGACAGCAGGTCTAGTTGGTCTGGCAGGGACCACAGGGATACTGCTGCCAAGCTCGAGTGCCTCTTGGCATAGGGCCAAGGATTAAGCTCTTCCATCTGTTGATATGGAGCATCGAGGCTATGTTGTCTGTCAAGACTCTGACCATTCTGCGCGACAGGTGGGGAAGGAAGATCGCGCACGCCCGGAGCTCTTTGACGTTTATGTGTAACGTCATCTCTTCCAGGGACCATGTACCCTGGGTCTGGAGATCACTGAGGTGCACCCCCCAACTGAGATCTGAGGTGTCCAAGACCAACTCGACTGAGTGGGGAGTGCTGTCGAAGGGGACTCCTTCCAGGATATTCCCATGGTCGGAACACCATCGGAGCGAGGTGAGTATTGTTGTGGGAATGGTGACAACCTTTTCCAGGTGGTCCCTGGACTCGGAGTAGACCATCACCAGCCATTGCTGCAGGGGTTGCATCCGGAGCCTGGCATGGTGCATAACATACGTGCACACTGCCATGTGACCTAGGAGGCGCAGGCAAACCCTGGCTGTGGTCATGGGAAATGCAGAGACTTCTGCGATGAGGTCCATCAATGCCCTGAACCACTCCAGCAGCAGGAACACCCTGGCGGAGGTTGAGTCGAGCACCGCTCTGATGAACTCTATCCTCTGTACCAAAACTAACATGGATTTTCTGTTGTTCACCAACAGGCCGAGGCAACTGCATGTGGCCAGCAGCACCGCGACGTCCCCTTGGACCCGAAGTTGCCCTTGACAAGCCAGTCATCAAGGTACAGGTAAATCTGGATACCTTGACATCTGAGGTAAGCCGCCACCACAGATGTGCACTTGGTAAATACCCATGGTGCTGTCACTAGGCCAAAGAGAAGGACCATGAACTAATAGTGGTCGGGACCTACCGTGAACCGGAGGAAGCATCTGTGCCCCTCAAAGATGGTGATGTGGAAGTACGCATCTTTCAGATTGAGGGCAGTGTACTAGTCTCCCAGATCCAGGGAAGGGATGGAGGAGGCCAGGGAGACCATGTGGAACTTCAGTTTCATTAAGTAGTGGTTCAAGCCTCACAGGTCTAGTATGGGCCACAGACCGCCGGTGGCCTTGGGGATTAAAAAATATCAGGAATAGAACCTCTTGCTCCGGTACTCCACAGGAACTACCTCCACCACACCCAGCTGCAGTAGACCCTCTACCTCTTGCGCGAGAAGACTCTCGTGATAAGGGTCCATGAAGAGGGATAAGAAGGGTAGAAAGTAACTGAAGGGTGTAACCCTGCACCACTGTATTTAGGACCCATCAGTCCAATGTTATCGATGCCCATGCAGGGAGGAAGGAAGAAAGGCAGTTGGCAAACAGAGGGGAGGAAGGATCCAGGAAACAGTCTGGTAGGTCGCCCTCGGGCGTACCCCCAAAACGGGCGCTTGCCCGTCTGCTTACCATGGGTCGACCCCGACTGGGATGTATATGGGGATTGGTGGCCAGGCTGCCTCTTGTAGCCTCTGGATTTTTGTATGGGGAGGCTCCTGGAAAGGGCGGTTCCCCTGGCTCTGAGGCTGCTGCGGCTTAAATCGCTTGCAGGAAGGGCTGGGGACGTACATGCCGTGTTTGTAGGGTCGAGCGGGAATCTTTTAGGCCATGGAGTTTATTGTCCATCTGTTCTGCGAACAGGGCATGCTCGTCGAAAGGGAGGTCTTGTATTGACTGCTGAGCCACCGGGGAAAGACCAGAGAGGAGCAGCCAAGAAGCCCTATGCAACGAAATGGCCGATGCCATGATACGGGCAGTGGTGTCCGTTGCTGCCTGGAGAGTTGCTCTGGCTGCAGTCAAGCCCTCATCCAGGATCGCCTGGAACTCCCTCCTCAAGGCCTCAGGAAGAGTGCTCTTGAACTTGGTCATGGCCTGCCACATATTAAAATCATAGCGGCCTAGCAGGACCTGATGGTTGGCCACCTGCAACTGTACAATGAATAAACTTTACACCCGAACAAGTCTAGTCTCCTTGAGTCTTTATTCTTACGGGTAGCCTCAGTTGACCCTGTCTCTCCCTGTGGTTGATCGACTCTACCACTATGGAATTGGGAGTATGGTGGGTATAAAGATACTCGTGACCCTTGGATGCCACAAAGTACTTGCACTCTGCCCCCTTGGAGATAGGAGGCGAGGAGGGGGTTTGCCAGAGGGCATTTGTAATTTTTGTGACCCCCCTCATATAGGGGCAAAGCTACCCTGGCCGGGGCTTTGGGACAGAGAACATCAAAGAGAATCTGTGGGCTCCTCTAACTCCTCTGCCTGGAAGCCCAGATTGGCGGCAACCCTCTTTAACAGCTCCTGATGCGCCTTCGCATCATCCTGAAGAACTGGTGGAGGGGGCCCCACTATAGCCTCGTCTGGCGATGACGAGGAAGAAGCCGGTACCAATGGGTCCTCTGCAACCAGAGGTGGTCCAGCAGCTTGCTCACCCACTTCCTCCTGTGCTTGCAGGGTGCCTGCAGCCGAGGCCTCTTTAACTGGAGGGGGGCTGTAGCCGCTCTCTCCAAAGGTCCAAATACTGAGCAGGCTGCCTGGGAGGGCTGAATGAACCCCCATGGGTACCACTGTGCTGGCCATGGAGTTTGAGGCCATGGGGCTGGCTGTGGTGCCATCGATGTAATCTGCACCGTAGGTATTGGAGCTTGTCCCACAGCTAGGGAACTTCACTCTGAACCCGAGCTAGAGCCTGAGCGGTTGCTCCCCTGCGACCAAGACAGGGCTGAGTGGTGGCTCTGTCCCGATCAGTACTGGTCGCTCCTGGAGTTGGATCTGGCGGGCCTTGGCTGGCTATCTACGCCTTGATGAGTGGGACTCGGAACCAGAGTGGGTTTGGTGTCGTGAAAACGTAGCCGCAGGTGGTTACACTGCCCTGGGGGAATCAGTGATGGTCTGGAGAACAGTACCATCGGTCCCTCAACCTGTCCCTGCAGCGGTACCAGTACCGTGGAGATTCCTGGTACCAACTCCAAAACTCTTGCCAGGGGGCGCGTGCATCCAGAGATCTGCGCCCAGTGACCAGCGAGCCGTGCCTCAAGCCTCTCTGCCCTTGTCCAAGGTCTGGAGACTGGATGAGGCTGCAAAACTTCTGCCTATCATGGTCAGAAGCGTTTCGGCTGCGAGAGGGCGACCACTAGCGGGATGTCCCCCATGACGGGGACCGGTGCCGTAGAGGTGGAGACTGTGGTGGTCCAAACACATGTTTACCCCGTGGCAGGAAATGGAGTGGGCAGCACTGGAAGGGACATAATGTCTTGTGCAGCTTGCAGGGCCTCCGGCGTGGACAGCACCCGGAACTGATGAGGACCTCTGCCGCTATCCGGGGTAGCTGATGGGGAGCAGGCTGGGCTACACTGCTCGACCTGACCTGTGGCCCGAGACCCCAAAGGGGGTGAAGAGGTGCCCAAGACAGGGCTTTGGTCCACCCCAGACTTGTCCTTTGTGGGAAGCTGGAGACTTTCCTCTCCCAGTCTTGCTGGGCTTCTTGGCTGGAGCTATGGAAGGGGACTGATGCCGGATCACAGACAGTACTGGCAGGGTGCTGCACTCCGAGGTCATGGTGCTCGGTGCCAAATCAGAGCACTGCTCCGGCATTGGGGTAAGGATAGACTCCATAAGGAGTGCTCTCAAGTGTATGTCACACTCCTCCTTCATCCTGGGCTTGAAGGACTTGCAGATTCTGCACTTATTACTGATATGTCCTTCGCCTAAGCACCGTAAACAACAGTTATGTGGATTGCTAATGGGCATGGGCCTTTTACAACGATAACAGGGCTTAAAGCCTGGGGACTGGGGCATGCCCCATCCTGAGGTGAAGTCCCATTTGGGACCTACTAAGTCTCTAACTAACAAATACGGAAACTAAAACCAGAGGGAAACTATATACAATCATATACAAGAGGTAAATGAGTTTGAACGAACAAGAAGCAACAGTGCTAGCTGAAGCAGCAACAGTTCCATGCACCATCACTGGTGGCAAGAAGGAACTGAGGGTGAAGGGGGCCGTGGCATATGCACCCCACTCCAGGGGGCGCCAGAGCCAGTCTCCTACGGATACCGCTGAGGGAAAGACCTCTGGCACCAGTGCATATGGCAAGCACACATACCTAAGTTGAATGGACATGAGCAATCACTCGAAGAAGAATGCAAGTTTCTACTTAAACTAAAATTTGAACATATTTAGAGCTCATTAAATTTGGAACTGATGATGCTGGATGCTGGCTTGAGCCAGTCTTAGAAAAAGAGTTGTGACGAATACTGGCAATCCACCCCAGCCCCAAATTGAAACACCCCTGATATTCTAGGCCTGGAGTTCCCCTAAACAAAAATCCTCAATCCTCCTGAAATTTCCAATTGTCTGTCATTTCTCTGGCATGAACATATATTTATAATGGATTATGTTGTAGTTTGGTCTAATCCTAATAAAATTTGTCAACAGCAAGCACACAGTAAAGTATTTAAAATGCCACAGGTTTCCCACAGAAAGTGCTTAGAACACAACTAGTAATCATGTGGCATTTGTTGGCAAATGTTAACTTTGGTAACTACTATAATTATATAGTTTATTCTCTACAGTTAAGGAGAAAGCTTTAGGCCATTATTCTCTTGATATAGAGAATATGACATGTAGCTGCTTTCCAGAAGAGTATCCACTTAAATGCCAGGCATGCTGAGTTAAGTCTTGTAACCCATTCCCTCAATACGGCTAATAGTTTCAGTATTACTTCCATAAACACTTCTTTATAGTAATTAACGGGAACTATTTTCTAGGAGTTCTTGCTACAAGCGAGTCACAGCAAAGAAAAATTATACCTAGTTAGCGTCACAAAAGAAAGTGAACTACTGCTATCAGGTAACCTATCTTTTGTGAGCGAGACATTGCATTTACTAATTTTACTGTACTTTTATTGACATCCTAAAGTTTTACCTTCTTCAATATGATATCAATGTAACCTGCAATTAGCTGAGAAATCTGTTCTCCTTCAGTGGTTTGTACTGAGTAGTAACTTTCTTGATATTCACCAAAATCCTGAGGAAAAAAAGGTACAACAAGCAGTTCACCCTTGGGAACGAATTTAAATAAACAAACATCAGCTGTATTCAGATGACCAAAATCAGAGATATAAGGAAATACATTTCTAACTTTCTTTTGCTTTTAATCTAACAAGCTCATATCTACCACATAAGGATCAGGGTCTACACCAAAGCCAAAACCAAATGAAAGCAGCTGAAATTTCCCTTTACCTTTGATGTCTTATTATAGCTAATGGCTGGAACGGCAGATAAAACCATTCCAAGGCTCCACAAAATACTATGTGAGGGAAAAAAGGCTCTTTCGATTGGATCCATTTCATACATTTATTTATTTTAAGGCCAGAATGGATCATTAAATCACACACTATGACCTCCTACGTGTAACACAGGCCACAGAATTTCACCCTATACCCTTGCACTATACCTATTAACTTGTGTGTGACTAAACCTTTTCTTCCAGAAAGGCATCCAGTCTTGATCTGAAGACTTCAAGAGACAGAAAATCTACCACATTCCTTGGCAGTTTGGTCCAATGGTTTCTTACCCTTACTTAAAAATGTGTGTCTTATTTCTAATTTAATCTTGTCTGAATCAACTTCCAGCCATTGGGTCTCAATACGTCTTTCTCCACTAGACCAGTGGTTATCAAACAGGGTCTGGGGTCCCCTGGGGGGAGGTGTGGGGCGCGTGAGCAGGTTTCAAGGGGTCCATCAAGCAGGGCCATGCGGTGGGGCTTCGGCTTTCTGCCTGGGGCACAGAGCAGAAAGTCAAAGCCACACTGCATGGGGCTGAAGCTCAAGGCTCTGTGCCCAGCCAACTGGGGTGGAAGCTGAAGCCTGAGCAATGTATCTTCATGGGGCCCCCTGTGACATGGGGCCCCAAGCAATTGCCCTGCTTGCTACCCCCTAATGGCAGCCCTGGCTTTTATATTCAGAAAACCAGTTGTTGTGGCACAGGCGGGCTGGAGAGTTTTTAATAGCATGTCAGGGGGGAATCAGAAAGAAAAAGGTTAAGAATCCCTGCACTAACTGAAGAGCCGCCAGCATCTTCTCTCCAGGAAGGTACTTACACACCATTATCAAGTCATTTCTCAATCATCTTTTTGATAAGCGAAACAAATTGAGCTCTTTAAGTCTCTCACTGTAAGGCATTTTCTTCAGCCCTATTTAGTTTCACAGCCTGTCTGTCACTTTATACTGCATTCTGAAAACCTTGATTATTCACAACCAAAATTAGCAGATGTCAGGCAGATAGATGGCTCTTTAAAACAGTGCTTTGGATAATCAGGGTCGGGTTATGTACATGAGACAGTTTGTTGGCCATAAGAAAATTGGCCCAGTTGTTTCTTCAGGACTAAATTAAACTAAACTAAACCCAATAGGGCCAGTCAATTTAGTGCATCAGTCCACGCTCCTTTCCCCATGACAGACACAAGCCTCCCTCTCTGTAACAACATACAGAAAGAGTACCAGAGTGAAACTTTTTGGAGAGGCAGCCCAGCGCTTCACAGTCGTCAGTGGCCATTCCTGCAACACCTCCTTGGTCTTTTCATCCACACGCATCACTGAGTCTTTGGTGATGCCTAGCAAACGAGGAACCAGCTTGTTTTTGCCCTTCATTTTTTCCTGTAGCGGAAGTATCAAGGATTAGTTTTCATTTACCAACTGGCCTATGTCAGAGGGGAAAGGAGAAGTAGAGTGGGAATGACCGTGACTGGTTACACTTACATAAAGTAAAAACTAGATGCACTGCAGAGAACAATTCACAGGCCCAAACTTAGTTTCTCTGGACATGGCAAGTGCACAGAATAATTTAATGTTGACACACTGCTAGAAGTGTTTTTTCATTCATTTTCAAAACACTGTGTTGTATTCAAAGCCTCAATCGTTCAGTCTTTTTTTCATCTTACCTAGAACATGGTTAAATTAAATGTACAGAGGGACTCAGTCCAGAGTTATCCTCTTAAAGGCACACAACTCTGAACACACACCAGAATTAAGTGGTAGGATACACAGCTCCAGTGACTTTTAGACTAGGGTTTCATTCTCCAATGCCCCACACCTTGTGTAGTCATTTACACTGGTGTGATATGACTATCACTGCCACTGTGGTTTGGTAGCAACTTACAGCCATTTTTACTGATTGAAGTGACTATCCAAGCTACAGAACAATGGAGCATCACATTCTACAGCTATTGCTTGATTTTTCATTACAACTTCCTTCTAGGTGGTCCACATCTATCCTACTTTGCTTCTTGGATGCAGATACTGCACTTAGCATAACTTGGAAAGAGATGTGAGCCAACAGATTTCATACCAAAATTCTACTCATGTTCAAAGCTTTACTCCGGTCTTGAGAATCTGTCTTCACCCTTAATCTGGTACATCTTGAAGACATTAAACTGCAACTGACCTTCACTGTGCAATTCAGTACAAGTAACCGCTTGTGATGGGGAGAAGAAACCTTCCTTCAAATAAAAAAGGCATGTTACAGTCCAAGTCTTTGAAAGTTATTTTCAACTACCCTGGTGGTAGTATTTATGTAAACTAGCTTTTCAATTTAAAAATTACATTGAAAACAGCTCATATCACAGTTCAATGACAGGTGGCACCTTAAAGACTAACCGATTTATTTGGGCATAAGCTTTTGTTCGTAAAAAACCCACTTCTTCAGTTGCATCTGAAGAAATGGGCTTTTTACCCATGAAAGCTTATGCCCAAATAAATCGGTTAGTCTTTAAGGTGCCACCGGACTCCTCATTGTTTTTGAGGATGCAGACTAAACCGGCTGCCCCCTGATACTTGGTTCAATGGCCAACTCCCACCCAGATAAACTAAGCAGCATGTTAGGCAATAGACTGTAAATTAGCCTCTAAAGCCTTCTCTCGGCAGAATTTCTGGTAGTGTTTTATGAAGAGAATGAAGATTTAGCAGGGAGCAACACAGATTAAGGATTCTGAGGTTTACAGGAGGCAAAGTCAGCTCCATTTATTATACATCATAGCTCTAAAACGTTTGTTTTACTAACCATTTAAACAACTTCACCCATGTCAGCATCGCTATGAGGGGGGCTCTCTAAGCTGACAGGTGCTATCTCTCAAGGGCTGAGTATACACCTCTCCAGCACTTCAAGTCCATAGAGCAAGGACCAGAAACCAATTTACCGTGCAAAAAAAAAACTCTATCATGAAATGCAAATGAGTCCATATGTTCTGCTCCCCCTGAATTTATTTTATGTCGTGGGCTACAGAGAATCAGCTCCTATTTATGTCCCACGTCCTTTGTTCGGTATCAGACCTGGACTTCAAATTATTCCACCGTCTTCTCACACACTTCTTTCAGACTGAAGTTCTATGCCATAGTTACAGAATGATTCAGTCACTATTTGCTTCAAGCTACAAGTAAAATCATGGAGTCAAACATGCATCCACGAAAATGCAAGGGTAAGTATTTCTATCTTCAGCCCAATGATCCAGTTAGTCATCGCTGAAAAATCGGACTGAATTCTCAACTTGATTGCTTGTTGTAAATGTGCATGTTTGTACAGTTTTAATATTTCAGTTACTGAAAATTGCAGATATTTTCATGATAGCTTCTAACATACAACTCCATGATCAGCTGATGAAACCAGTGTGAAACCACCACGAGCTTATTGTGCTTTCTAAATAATTCCAGCATTTTTTTCTTTTAAAATTTATGCCCAAATTAAATTTCATTACTTACGATTGTAAAGAAGCATTTAGTTCTTCATTCATAAATCACTATATTGGAAGCCACTTAAGTCACTTGCAAAATAATTTAATGCACTGAACAGTAATGAAGTATTTAGGTTTTTGCAAGAAAAGAAAACAAATTTAGGAAAATGGAATAAATACATATAGAGAGCAAAATCAAATAAACATGTAATAGGTATCCCTGGGAAGATGCCAAATGCACACCATATATTCTCTCCAGTGGATAAAATTAATACTGGCCTATAATGTCTGAAAACAACAGCCTCAGATATGAGATTCTACTTTAACAGGTCTCCATAAAAAGGTGCCTAATACGACAGTGTCACTTCTACTTAAAGGAGCAAAAGCTAATTAATGATGTCACGCTTTTAGAACGCCATCATCCATTACACTTTTGGCAGAGCACCCGAATGTTCCATCAACTTCAGTGGAATTTGTGGGTGCTCAGCACTTCAGAAAATCAGGCCACTTGATGGATTTAGGATCCTAATTTGGGAAGGAAGGATGGAAAACCTAGACTGCAGTTCTCTTCTTACCTGGACCACCTTATTGAGAGAACACTGATCAAGCAATGATTCAAGTCTTGTTTAGCAGCAGCAAAACAATTCTATATCTGCCAAGTCATGATTTAGTCATCTTCTCCCAATTATAATATTATTGTGACTTTAAATGCAGAAAATTCAAGTCCTTAAGCTGATAGTTGTATGAAGTGTAAGATAAAATAACTGCACAATATGAATATGGTTCTTGTAAAATGCAGAGATTTCAATATGCACATTCAGGTAAACCCCCAAGCTGGGAAAAGCAGACTTGTGGTGTTTTTCTAAATGTTTTGATGAGAAAATATTTTGGTAGGTCAATTAAAACAAGTCAAGCCTGAGAAAGGCTGCCTTTGATCCTGCCAACTGAATCTAGCATAATGGGGCCAATTGAATCTAGCATAATGGGGCCCTGATGCTACCACAATACAATTCAGTGAGCTCTCTTTTTAGTGGAAAAGACTGTCCTGCAGACTTAAACCTTGGATATGCAAACTCTGCTTTCAGAAAGTGGTCTGGGGTAATACATAATCAAGCACATCTGTTGCCAGCATAATCTGAACTTACCTTAACAAGAAAGAAGGACACTCCATATGTCCTGAGGGAGCGTGCTAGCTTAACATACTTCACTTTGGCTTCAATTTCAGTCATCTCTCCACAATTCTTGTGTTCCTAGAACAAGAGCTCAGTTTTACTTTGTATAACTTAAACTGAATAGAAATGATGCCCACTGGAAACTATGAAAGGAACTGAAAGTGATGTGTGCCAGCTTTTAACTGATCGGGGCTGCTTTTTAATTGTGAAACTAATTAAATCAAAATATTGCTGGGCAGAAATGTTAGCAAGGTTATATATTCAAATTTTCTGACACAAAGAATTATGGAACAAGCTGCCCAAAGGGCAAGTTTCTGCCTAATCATCATCAGTTATGTTTATCCCTCAAATCATGGAAGTTTAATATCCCTTCAAAAATTTTCAGACCTTACATAAAGCTATTCTGGAGATTCCCAGCATCCACACAAATGACCAATCTTTGAAAAATCTTGCTATGCTTAGCCCATGATAGGCTGTGAAATTCAAAGCCACATGATAGCTGTGCAACACAGCAATTCCTTCTATTAGTTATAAACTTGACACCTCTCATTTTCATTGATCTACCTTCACTATACTATCCATTATTTTGTATATCTTTTTTTTTCCCCCCACTCCTTCCTAAGGTAAAGAGGCCCAATCATTTCTCTCTTTACAGGGTTTTTCCACCTCCATAATCATTTTGATATTTGTCTCTGAACCCCTCTCTCTTAGTTGTATCCTTTTTGAGATATTGCCATTGGAGATGAATACAACTTTAATGTTAGCTGGTTCCGCTTTATCCAGTACTTTGTTGACATGCTCAAGGAGTTCCAATATTGAGTTCCATACAGAAGCCAAACTGGTTCATCCCACTGATATCATGTTCATCTAGGTTTTGAATTCTTTTTTAAACTATCATTTAAACCAAGTTACCTGACACTGAAGGAAGGCTTACTGGTCTATTACTACCCTATTACTGTCACTGTTACTCCTCGAGAGCTTCTTGGCCCAGTCCCTTTGCTCACCCAATCCTAATCTCCCACACTCCTCTTTCTCTTGGCCCTCTCCCTTTCAGCTCCTCACCCTAGCCCGTCTCGCAATCCATCCCCTGCTCCCAGCCTCTGCCTTCCCTTAACTTAATATATTCCCTTTGTGCCTTGCCCACACCTTCTGTTATCTCCTTCTGCATTTCCATGAGTCTGTTTCCTTCTCTTCTTTGTCCTCTTCTATTCTGACTGGGTGTCAGCAGAGGGAGAATCAGGAACATAGGGAACTGCCTCCCTGTTCTCTGATCTGGTGACCAGCATCACAATGGCCTGTGGTAGCTGGAAGAAGCCACTGTATCCCCAAGATGGAGCATTGTCAGTTGGCATTGTTGGGACTGTGTATGTATAGACCAGCTGGCACACACAGGAACTCTCAGAGGCTGGAGCACACTCAGTGCAGATGGAATATTTGGATAATTTAGCTGCCAAACTCACTCCAACAAGCCTCTTGAAAACATTCAAAAAGAAATTCTTCTGAAGCCTGTAACTTGGCCAAATTGGGACTGCTTGTCACAGTGATGGCAAATGACACAACCCTAACAACAAGAAAACCCCCTGCCAAATTTCAAGTCCGTCTTCCTAAGTATGTAGGTGCTACAGCGTCTCAACAAATCTGTTGTAACCATTCTTTTCAACATGGACAAAACAACATATTTCCCCCTAATCTCATCCTCAGAAATGGCTGAGCCATTTTTGCTGAAATATTGCAAAAAAATTCAGTCTGTGGCTGACATCCAGCCTGGAAAAGGGTTGGGCAACCACAACTATAGGTGGCAGTAGTAATTCCACCTATAACAAATTCATGAGTTAAAGAATTCTTTGACTGGGAGTGCGAGGGATAAAGAGGATAGCACTTGACAAATTCTAGCAGTGCATAATTAAAATTATGTTCCATGCTGAGATCATATGTCACTGCCATTTTCTTTCTTGATGTGAATAACCATACATCAGCCGCTAACTTCAGAATTTTCCAAACTAGATAAAATTGCTCATATACTTACATGTTGCCAAGTTTATGTATTAATCAACACTGACACATCAGTGCAAGATCCTATAAAACATTTCCCGCAGTTTTAGCATGTTGTGTATTTGATCATTTCAGTCATTTCCAATTTGATCCTTCCCAGCCACCTCTCTGAATTCAAGCATTTGCCAACAGAACTCTGTCGTACACAAGCCTGAAGCTCACGCTTGAGCTATGAAGGCATGAGAAGTTCTAGGGATAAAATTAAACTGACCTCCTTAAGTGTGCTTCTATTTCAGTGCTAATGCATATCTTCATGGTTCCACATAATTGAGAAAAAGGTCTAAGGAACTTTGAACATGCACTGAAAAGAGAATAACCTTCAACAACAACAACAAAAGGATAATAAATCTTCCAGTGGAAGAAAAGAGAGGTTGTCAGCATCTTTACACTTGAGTTAGTGAGAATTTATTACGTAAGCAGAGGACATGCACAGACTACAGAGCTGGGAAACCAAACTCTTATTACACTTACAAAGACAAGAAACTATTACGTTTTTCAGTTTCATAATTACCTGAAATATTTTCTTTTCAGCTCCTCTTTGTTTGATGTATTCTTTAGGCAGGAATTCTTTCAGACTGGAAAAAAAATACTATAGTTAAACAATGGCTTTGCTTCCCGTTACCTCTTTGCCAACAGTAAGCCCCTTTGGCTCCTAAAACAGGCATAAAATATGATGAAAGAAGACCATGACTAACTAAATATCAGAGGTGAGATTAAGGAGATGAACTGGCATTAAAAATAGCCATTTCAGCTACATCCTTATGTGATGATAATTCATATTTTTCTGGCTGACAAAGTAAATAACTGGGATTCTTTCCTTCACTAAACCTTCTGATATATTTCAACATTTTGAAATATTGCTCAAAAGGGTTCATATACAGATGTTAAACACTGACTTTATTTTACTTTAGGGAAAGAAATCAAAGCACAAGCCAACTATACATCTGCAGTTCAGTCACTACCTCTGCTTTCTAGTAGCACTACAATTTATTAATGTGTGCACTAGTACCTATTTCTCCCCGTCTTTCCAGAAGTGTTGGAAGAATAAAATGTTATCCACAAAAGCAGTTCAGTGGATGCTTAATATCAGTAGTATCCCGAAAACAAAGTAACAAATAACCAGTTTTAATTTCTGTGGCACTTAAGGTCTCGAAACATGAAGTGAATTAAATGTGTTCAGTCCCCAAGGTGTAATTTAGCTTTAAAAGGCTCTCAAATCACAAAAATCTCAGCCCACTTTAGAGCAGATGTCAGTCTAAGGGCAGCCACTGACCATGATTCTTCAGAGGTATCTCCTTCCTCTTACGCACTCCTCTTCCCATTCTCACTCCAGGGTCTCAGTTACACACAAGAAAGTGAAGTGGCAAGTCACCCAGTAAGCGCCAAGCAATTATTATTATTTGCTACCAGTCATTTAAATTAGTCTTTGGAATCATTATCTTGTAGGGCTTTGTATTTATAGTGCACTACATAAGTAGTGATATCATGGATGGAAAGAAGGACTTATTGTAATACTAGCTATGTCTACACTGCAACGTAAGTCCAGGGTTCAAACGCAGGCTCCAGCCAAACCCCACCTTCCATCTACACACAAATTATGCTAACCAGGACTCGGACCCAGAATACCAAGACCCCAAAGGGATTGAGGGTCTGAACCTGAGTCAAGCTGGGACCCAGTGTTCAAGCCATAGTGCTTTGCAGTGTAGACATAGCCCCATTGTACTCGTGCTCTGGGAGTCTGCCAAATGTATCCCACAATGCCATGGGCTGACTTTCTTTGTCCTCTGGACAGTCAACTTTGGTGGAGAGTCAAATTTTCCTACACTGCACCACAAAGGGCTAGAGTGGACTCATTTTAGGAAGTCATTAATGGTCTGGATGATGGGATGGATTGCACCCTCAGCAAGCTCACGGATGACAGTAAGTTGTGTGTGTGCGGCGGGTGGGGGGAGGTAGATACACTGGAGGGTAGGAATAGGGTCCAGAGTGACCTAGACAAATTGGACGATTGGGCCAAAAGAAATCTGATGAAGTTCAACAAGGACAAGTGCAGAGTCCTGCACTTAGGATGGAAGAATCCCATGCACTGCTACAGGCTGGGGTCCGACTGGTTAAGCGGCAGTTCTGCAGAAAAGGACCTAGGAATTACAAGGGACGAGAAACTGGATATGAGTCAACAGTGTGCCCTCGTTGCCAAGAAGGCTAACGGCATATTGGGCTGCATTAGTAGGAGCATTGCCAACAGATCAAGGAATGTGATTATTCCCCACTATTCGGCACTGGTGAGGCCACATCTGGAGTACTGCGCCCAGTTTTGGCCCCCCAGGACAGAAAGGATTTGGACAAATTGGAGAGAGTCCCGCAGAGGGCAACGAAAATGATTAGGGGGCTGGGGCACATGACTTATGAGGAGAGGCTGAGGGAACTGGGCTTATTTAGTCTGCAGAAGAGACGAGTGAGGGGGGATTTGATAGCAGTCTTCAACTACCTAAAGGGGATTCCAAAGAGGATGGAGCTAGGCTGTTTTTAGTGGTGGCAGATGGTCTCCAGTTGCAGTGGGAAAGGTCTAAGTTGGATATTAGGAAACACTGTTTCACTAGGAGGGTAGTGAAGCAAAGGAATGGGTTACCTAGGGAGGTGGTGGAATCTCCATCCTTAGAGGTTTTTAAGACCCCACTTGACAAAGCCCTGTCTGGGATGATTTAGTTGGGGTTGGTCCCGCGTTGAGCAGTGGGTTGGACTAGATGGCCTCCCGAGGTCTTTTCCAACCCTAATATTCTATGATTCTAAGTCTGGCATATTGGTGGTGGGACCAATGCATAATGCAGTGTAGATGCTGGAGCTGCAAGTTGGGCCTCAGATTTCAACAATTCTTAACCCAGGGTTACAAATGAGCGAAGGGGCTCACGCCCTAAATTAACAAACCCAGGGTCTACTGACTTGAGTTCTACTAACTCTGGGCTTACACTGCAGTATAGATATACTCACTGTTTAAAATTATTTTAATCCTACTTCTGAAGAAAATACGTATTTGTTCATCTATGCTGTGACACTATAATTGAATCTTACTTAGCAGTTCGTTTAATTGTGCTCACAAAACCACCTAAATATCACACCCCTAGTACGGTGAAATCTCTTTAATTGCTCGTCTGTTGAACTATTCATTCAGTCCAACATACAGCAAGCAGCGTTTAAGTAATTTAGTCCTCTACAAGTTTGCTCTGTCACTTGCTTAAAATCTTAAACACATGCTGCCAAAGTTTGATATTTGTCATGAGAATCAAGAACATTTTTCTAATGTTCATTAAGAAAGAAAACATCACAAAGGGGTAGTTATTGCTTGTTACAAAATAGCTTGGATTAAAGGAGCTATGTGATTGGTTACTGGTTTTGCTTGGAGACCAGAAATCTGCGTGGGCAGTTTAGCTACTTAATACTCCTCTCTTATTTGCATACCAATGAAAAAAGGCTTCTTTAAGACCTCTCGAATAGCAATTTTCTCAATCTAAAAGCACAGCCTGCCCGAGTAGGTGCCATGCAAAACTTAAATATTTCTTCATCCAGCTATTTAAGATTTGATCAACCAGGAACTTTCACAGTTAATACTAATGGATATTTATTTTGGCATGTTCTGTAAGGAAATTCCAACAACCAGTATCTAAGTGTTAACAAAATGCAGGCAATAATCTTTATTTGCCAAGAATCATTTATCAATGACAAAAAAGGATAATATCAAGGAGCTTTCCCTATAAACATACTGTAAATATGGTAAACTAAAGCAATCTGTTTTGGAAAAATGCTGAAAAGTAATCAACCTTATTTGCTTTATTTGTTTTTGTATAAGCAGATGGAATCTCTTATAGAAGCCCGTTCTGTATTGAGGTCACATTGTTTAGTCAATGAACACTGCTCAACCGTATTTCAGTTGAGTTGTAATGTGCAACTTACATGCAACTGAAACTCCTTCAGACTTAGATTAAACATATCAATATATTTCAACAGAAAAAATAAGAACATCTGGAAAAGCTGATCAAGGAACATTAAATGAATTTTACAAAAAGGCTAATGAAAGGTACATGCAAGAATTGGCATGCGCCTGCACAATGGATATATACTGTTGGTATCAGCGTCACATAAAATGCCTCACTAGTCTGACTGAATTATGGCTAATTAAAATAAAATAATTTCTAAGAAAAAACCCTAGAGACAACAGGCTCTTTTTAAGTTGAGCTGTATGTGTACTTCACTAGAGGAAAACTCTCCTCTCTCTCCTAAGATATGAAATTCAATTATTTATATATTGTTTGTCAAAGATAGAATCATACAATCCTAGAAACACAGGATTGGTGCAGGGACCTCGAGAGGTCATCAAGTTCAGCCCACTGTGCTGAGGCAGGACCAAGTAAACCTAGTCCTTATACTGCAATGGATTTTGTAGTTTAGTGAGTTACATATGTCTGCCACAGCCCGCACAGTGGAAATCTACATTCTGCAGTTTGTGTCCGACACACAGAGAGCTGCTGGGTATGATAATTATTTTATTCTTTGGAATTAACCAGGAAAGACTAAACCTGAAAAGGTTATCAGCAGCTGAACTCTGTTGACATAGCACAGCAGTGTGAGAGAAGTTAAATGAGCTCTAATATGGGAAATCCTGCTGTAATGGGAAAACTAATTTCTTAAAATAATAATTAAAAAAAAAAGGAATAATGCCTTTAAAAAGGAACAACTGCTGTGAACACTAGATCCAGGTGTCATAAGCTTCGTTTAGTATTATCTTAGCGCTTCTACAGCATCCCACTATATCACATCAGGAGGGGAATACACAGACAATGGTCAAACCCTGAAGAAATCAAGATGCTGTTATGTAATTGTTACGTAACCAGTCTCAGTAAAAACTAATGAGGACCAGGAATAAATTCAGTCTATTACATATAGTGTTTTCTGAGACATCAGTAGCTCTTTAAGTAAAAGGTCATCGACCAATCAGTAGTGAGTCTAAATACAGATGGTACACAGGAAGTCTGATTACTCAGATTAATTGGAACTGAAGGATATTTGCTTCTGTGATTTGTCTGCATAACTGAGCATCATGTAACAGTTGCTTTAGGGAACCGTTGCAATAATTAAGAGTTCTTGTCAATCAAAGTTGAAGCATTGTATGTTCCAAAGCACACCATCATTTTTAAGAGATTCTCTTGAATACCTTAAATTAAATATAAAGCTCAATAAGGTCACGATTTAAGAAACGGCACTGACTGATCATCAAGGATCAGTCTAAGAGGACAGAAACACAGAACACACCCACTGTTTTATGCATTGCTGCATGGACAGAATGACACACAGATTTAGAAATTAACAAAAATGGTTTACTCTAAAAATCCAGGCTTGTGTTTGTGCTCTACATGAGGTCCAAACTGGATTTGTGCTTGAAAGCCTCCAAACTCGCAAGCCTTCTCGAAGGAGACCGGATGGGAGCCATTCAGAATGTCATCTCGAGCCTATAAAGGTAAGTAGAGACATATCAGGCACATCAGAAGCAGTTACAGTGTCTTTGAAATTCCTGAACAGTCAGAACACAAGCCAAGAATCAAGCAGCAAGCAAGGAAATCCTGTCGGAATGCATCTGTTATTCCATTGTGGATATGTTTATAACTAACAAAATAAACAAAGGGCCAGGTCCTCCTCTGGTGTAAATCTGCACAGTTCCACTGAGGCCAAGAGAGCTGCCCCAGTTTGCAAAACTGAATCTCTTGCCTAAATATTTCATATGATTCATATACAATTTACCATGCTGTAATAGAAAGGAAAGTTATCTATATAATTAACATGGAAAATACTGATTGCAAATGTATGAACAGTGATGGATGATGGCCACCTGAATTTTCCTTTCTTGTCATGTGTGTAAATTTAGTGGTTGCAAAAGGTACTGGAACACCAAGAATGTTTCTCCGACCCCTTAGATATAGTCTGTCTACACGGACCACAGGTTGAAAACCACTAGTCTAAGGTAACATCAACTGGTGGAATCACCATCTCTCTCACTAGGGAAGGTTCTGATGATGGGGAAAGAGCAAAGACATTCTCTGGTGCAGTGTAAGTCTCTGACTTCCTTGGAGTGTGAGGGATCTGAGCCACTTGTACTGAACTGGTCAGAAGAGGGAGACTTCGTGTTGCTACCATTGGTGGTGGCAGCTTTGATTGCACTGGAACTGACGGACCCAGAGACTTCGATTGTACTGTGGAATGGGTGTCACTGAAACGGGGTCTGGTACCAAAGAAGCCCTTCCTTTATGGATGTTAGACTCCTGGCCCTGGGACTTTGCATGTCCCAAGTCCTTAGAGGTTGACAGCGTAGGTCTGTTCAACCTCTAAGGATTGACGATTTCATAGATGACTTAGGAGGAGACCTATTCTTTTGTTTTATGAGTGTTCTCTGCCTTCCCGATGAGACCCCAATAAGGGGTCTGTGGGTACAGACTCCACAGTAGCAGCGTAGGACCTCGTGATGGGAGGTGTACTCCGTGTAGATTTAGGTTGATGTACAACAGGTGCTCCCTGTCCTAAGTCAACTGTGGCCTCATGGCCTTCTCTATGAGGCATTTTCTAAGCCAAAGTTCTCATGCTTCATGGGTACAGCTAGGGAAAGAGCAGCAGATATTACACCTAGCCGTGATATGCATCTTACCAAAACATTACAAGCACTGCATATGGTTGTCGGTGACCAAGGAAGAATGGAGGCAGGACACACAAACCTTGAAGCCAAGAGTTCCTGGTGTAATCTGAAAACTCTAATGGAGTATCTGGGTGGGGGAGGAGTCCACCAGGTGGAGATTCTATCTAACTATAAGAAATTTCCTAAAAGATATAACAACTATTAAAACTGCAAACTGTGGAAATAACTATATGCAAAAAGCACTAAGGCAATGTTTAATATTTAAAGAACGAAGAACCCGAAGGAGAGCTCCGAATACTGGAGGTTCCAACCCAGGCCATGAGGTGGTAAGAAATAACTAGAGAGACAGTTGGCCTGCTCCGCCTTTTCTCTCCTTGGTTGGAGGCACAAGGAGAGCAAAGGCACATGCACGGACCAAAATTCTCCAACTCCAGGGGCATGGACAGCATGTGTATCCCCAAAATGGAATACAGACAGGGACCAACCGTTGAAGAAGAACTCTTCTCTCTCTCAGCCTGAACAGTCATCTGATGGCAAACTTTCAGTAATCATGGACCTGGACCAGATTCAGGAGGACTGACCTATTACTTAATCTCCATACCATATAATTAATTCCTAGGAAGTGATTTTTTACACATTTGCTTAAGGTGCACATTTAGGATGTTTGGAAAAAACTTGTACTTGAACAGCAGTGTTAAACCATTGTGTTCATACTACTGATGCATTACAACAATATGTTTTGTTAGAACCAACTTGTCTATTTTAGACAAGATTTTTATATGTTAGCAGTAAAACGAGTAGAATTTAAAAGCAGGGGTGCTTTAAGAATTTAGCTAACTATTCCCTCTGCAGAGTTTACCCATCTGGCTCATATATTTTTTGCCTTTTTCTGGTAGCCCCAATGCCCCTGTGAAAGCCAAAGAGAGTTCAGCTTTAAGACATGGCAGTTAAGAGAACTTCAATGATTATGAAAATTAAGGGCAAAAAATGGAAACCCACTTTTATAATGAGAGCAGGTGCTCTGGCCTCTTTCCCAAACAATACATAAATGCATTTCCCACCTCAATATGGTCAGTTGAGTCATTATAAACAAGGCCATTGAAAATGAGAAGCGTGGTTCTAGCATGAAAATGCACACCAAGACACAAAGTAACTCCAAATGCCATTTTTACGATGGCCTACACATCCAATTTGCTTATTTTAACAGTAAATCATTTTTTCAGCTGCCAACAACTCAACCAGTCTGGAAAAGTCAAGCAGCGTTTTTTCAGAATTATCCCATCATTAATATTTTTCCTGAGGCAGACTGCCCTCAGTTAACAGACAAACCCATAGTCTTCAAATGCTGCAACCCCCCTCTTCACACAATTGGGGGTGGGGCTGCAAAAGGTAAGCGAGAAAAAAATTTGGTCATGCAAGCCAGACATCAAGACCTACTCCCAACTCCAGAAATGAGGCTCATGAAAGAGATACAGAACTTCGCTAAGTTCCAATTCAAATACAGCGGTGGGATGGTAAAGAAATAAGAGCATGTGACAGCTAAACACACAAGCAATTACAGTATTAGTTATAACAATACCACGCAGAATTCCTCAGTAGGATAGAAGAAGTTTCTCTGCTATACGTACTATACCTGAACATAAAGCAAGTTCAGCTGAACAGGATCTCTTGAATCTACATTCTGGTCTGAATAAAAGAATTTTCGCCTCAGCAGCAGTGTTTCATTTTCATCAACTCCTTGTTCTCTGAATGTTCGACTATGATCTAGCCAGTTTACTGGAACAGAAACACAACCCCCTTATAATATCGCAAATTTATATTTTATCTTGCAAAAATTACCCTAAACCACGGGTTCTCAACCTTTTTCTTTCTGAGGCCTCCCCCGCAATGCACTATAAAAACTCCATGGCCCACCTATGCCACAACCGGTTTTCGGCATACAAAAGCCAGGGCCGGTGTTAAGGGGTAGTAAGTCAGGCAACTGCCTAGGGCCCCACGTCATAGGGGGCTCCGCAAAGCTAAGTTGCTCAGGCTTCTGTTTTAGCCCCACGTGGCAGGGCTCAGGGTCCCAGGTTTCAGCCCTATGCAGAGGGGCTTCAGCTTTCTGACCTGTGCCCCAGAGTGAGTCTAACACTGGTCCTGCTTGTCGGACCCCCTAAAACCTGCTCGTGGCCCCCAGGAGGCCCCAGGCCTCTGGTTGAGAGCCACTGCCTTAAACCACGATGCAAAGTGTGCTCTACGTACACATTTACATACGTTGACATTCATGTGTGATCTGCCTATCTGAGACAATATTTGCACGTGAAACTACAGTAATGCATGTTACAGAAACACAAGTTAGCTAGACGAAATGTGCACAGTGTTAAAGTGACAAGATACTGTGAGGTTTTGTAAATTTTCTTTCAAGCTAAACAGATGTATCGTGGAATGAGCGCCCATCGTATGAATGAATCTGCTCCACTTCTCAGCTGATGCTATGGAGGTTGCAATTGATATTACAGTCCAAAATATCAGCAAATGAATAATGCGAATTTTAGTTAGAATTCAGCAGGAATTTGTTGTAGCATAATTTATTAAAATTACTGGAAGCCAATGCAAAGACAGTTGTAGCTTACACATGAGTTTCACTTGTCTTCCAAGCAGTGGGATAAAACTGAATCAACTATGGACATACAAATACATTTTGTCCCCAGAGCTTCTTATTCTCAATTTCATATTGTTTTAAAACATTGGCCTGTGATGCAAACAACAGGGGCAAAACACATGCCAAAAATGAGGAACTAAAGGGAAGAGCCTTTACACAAGATGGAATGCAGATAGTGTGCCACTTAAAAGCTGTTTTGTTTTGCTGTATTGTGAGCACTCTACACTGATGACTATTCAAAGACATGTAACAAGGCAAGCAATGTTTTGCTTTCCTGTAATGTACCCTTTATATCTGACATACAGATAGAGGCAAAACAACATTTCATTGACCTTCAGCGCAAGGGCAACGGATCAGACGAATGAGATGACATGAGCAGTTGAACAAATAACCTTCCTCAGTAGAATGTAGTGAGACCACTGTCGGACTGAAATCCCTCCACCAACTACACAGAAATCACTACTACTGGATCTAGAACTCGTTTTCAACATACATAATAACAACTGTCCTCCTGTGGCTAACAGCTTTTCAACTGGATTTAAAAAAACACTGCAGCAATAAGACACCACAGGCACATACAGTATATGATACTCCACCTAGTCGTATAACGTTTTCCTGGATTTGTAAATGGAAGGTTAAGTGCAGCAGATAATCTCATGAGAAATGTCCCAAAACCAATATCTACCTTCTGGGTTATTCTCTTTCCCCCCACATGATGGTTCTCCAGAAACACACCCAACTAGTCAAACAGCCTCTCGGGCTACAGTACTCACAATCATCATCTGTATGAAGCTTCGCCTTCAACTTCTCCATTTTTCTTTCATCTCGTAACAATGTCCTGTCTTTCTTAAGTGTACCTGTGCTCTCCTCCTTTTTCTCCTCAATGATCTCCTGGATTACGGAGTACTCTTCATAATTGGTTATTCCTACAAGTGTGAACACAGGATAAGCATGCAACTCCAGCAGCCAAAACATGAAAATGTAACGTATACTAGGACAGCAGGAAAAGATTTATTCTAAATATTGATTAAAATGTAGTATATTTGAAGTTAATATCCAAACACACTCCAGACCAGGTGCTAAAATGTATTATTATATGAATTTATTGCGTATGGTACTTAGTCAATCTTTCCAACAAAAATTGGCACTAAAAGCACAACATCCCTCTATCAGGCTCAGAAAATTATCCTTCAAAAAACCATACACTCTGTGTATGTAGAGTTGATTCAGATTTATCTTTTATCAGTCTCAAGAAAGTTGCTTTCTTAAATTTTAAATCTCCTGAGAAAGATAGCCAGGTCAAGCTCTAGCAGATTTTGAACAGAATAAAGTTCCTGAACTTGAGGCCATGTGATGGAGAATTCTGGGTCATAGACTCCTGCAATTTCTTCCTTAAGTACGGGCAGAGAAAATGTGGCAGAGCACTGGGAAAGAAAGTCTCTGAAACATCGGGATTCTAGGCAACTTTAGGGCTTTACAGATGTTAATCCTCACTATAAATTTCACATGAAACTGTGCCGAGAGCCTGTGTAGAGCACTTAGCACATGTTTAAGTTGCTCTCATTTCTTTGTCTTGCTTGTGTTTTCCAGTATTTGTTAAGCACTGACAATGTGAGTTGTGCTATTTAGGACAGAAAGAGAGTCTAAGATGACTAAGGAGCCATACTGTACACCAGCTGCTCTGAGTGGCTTCCATGGTCAACTCCAGACAGAACACTATATTACAGTGAAGTCTAGAAGTGACAACAATATGGGACCCCATGGCTAGGCATGTTTGCGAAATGAGCAGGTGAAAATGCAAGAAGGCATTCCTGGTCACCAAACTATTGCTTTACATCACCTGGAGAAATGACCTACCTCTTCACTGACCACTACATGGTAGCAGTTTTTCAATGTGCAATTCATATTTAAACTTAGTACTCAATTCAAACCAGCATTAAACCAGCACTAGCATAAACCAGTCCTGTATATCTTTAGTGATCACATTAACATAAATAGAAGCCTTAGCCACTCAATAAGATAGAAGAGTAAATTCTATCTCTGCTTAAACATTAGTTAGACACAAAGCTAGTTTTATTTCACCACCTCACAGAAGGGAACTGTACGTGGAAGAAATAAATACTGAAATATTTAGAACATTAGGTGTCAAAAAACGTAAGTGCCTCTGACGGGTAAGTGCTATCTGGTAGCAAAACATTTAAAGTGTAAATCCCTACTGAGTCACACAGGACAGGAAGGCAGATGCAACCGCTTTATAGAATGGGAAAAAAGCCAATCTGAGTATTGTAATACAGTGTAACTGATGCTGAACACTACCTATTTTCAAACAGGCATAACAAGCCTGATGTTGATAAATCGCTGTATATAACATGCACAGAATCCTGAAACCCAAAGTAAAAAACATCGGGGGAAAAAATCATATTCTTTTAGAGATTCAGACCAAGAAATCTCACCTATCCTGCTGCAAATGGTAACCAGCAATTCACCAACAGTTTTAGAATCATCCACCATAACTGTTTTCACTGCCCCATCCAGCATTCGTATTTTCTGAGGTCTCTGTTTCTTTTTGTACTCCAAAATATCCTAGGGAATAAACCACACAAAGAATTACACCCCTTCAGAACCATTCCAAGCCAGAAAGCCACTGAAATCTGGAGCAAATTGAAGTTTTAATCTGACAAATACAAAAATATTATTTTTTAAGAACTATTTAGACAAACTTTAAAAGTTTGTTGCCTGAATCAGGGCCTAGTTCTAGTATTGACAGTCAACATTGCTTTAGTTTAAAAACTGCATAAGTGACTCTGTCCAGTAAAGGTACTGTGAAAAACCAGCCATAATGGTGCTGACGACCCCTCACAAGCCCTGGCATACAGGACATGTAGAGGTGGAGCTAGAGTCAGGAAGGGTGTGTCAGGAGTAGGGCTGCAGCACTGCAGAAGTTCTGGCCAGCTGTTACTTAGGCCCCAAAGGTTGTCCAAGTTACACCTGTGGTCTCTATGGCCCCTAGAGCAGCCCATGATTGGGCAGGCAGAAAGGTGGCTTAAAGGTGCTAGTTCTGCACTGCACCTCTCAAAGGCTCGGCACAGACTCTCACCCAGGAGTTCAAATCCTATGAAAAATATCAGCCCATTTCTGCTTCACACTCACCCCTAACAAAGTAAGGAGAATGCCTTCTTTGGAATGAAAACGCTGAACCACCTCTTGGTACCGTACCAATCTATACGCTTGGATGCAAAATGACCAACATTTGTGTCTTGCTCGGAAAATCAGTGGGTATTTTTCATTCTTTGAGCTGGGTATTCTGTTCTACCGTGGTTGCCAAATCTGACACTTGTAGGATAACAAATGGTTTGTCCTTGCATCCAAATGTTTTTCAAGGACTAAAGTTCTTTGTACTGTATGACTGTCTCTAAATCTGTTGGTGAAAAAAAGATGACAGAATTTTGCCTTACCCCGCTTCGCAGCATATAATAATCCAGTGTTCTTCCAGCTTCCAACCAAATACCTTTCCGAGGATCTTCATCTGACAAGAACAGTCCATAGTCAGAGGCTGAGGAACAAAACAGAAAAGGCACTATTACTGTGGTAAAACAAACAAAGAAAAACAGTATGTTGACCAGAATTCAAGTTCAAGCTTCTGTCAATTTACCGTCCACTCTTAATGAGTGTTTGGCAGAAGTATAGTTACTCCAGTTAAAGAAAATGTAGCTTAGACTACGGAGGGCAGGATTTTAAAGATAGGCTTTACTCTAGACTGAAGTGGATGGCTCATCAAGCAAACCTCATCCTGCATGTGTAATACATAGTTATAATTAACTATACTTGAATAAGATACTTTTATAACCATCAAAAATGCAGAAGAGTTCAGATTTAAGGCTAACAGAGTTTTCAGTCACTTCATACTATGAACCAACAGTTCAGCTTTAAAACATGCAGCGTTTACTTGATGGAAGTGTTTCACTGAATAAACTAAGAATCCTCGAAAACATCTAATTCAATTGATAGTACTTTCCTGGCAATTTCAACTGTGTGAAGTTATTCCTCTTTTGTATCTGTCATAACAGTGTCTGTGAGTATGCTGCACATACTTTAGACTAAACACTTCACAATCTCTTTAATGACACATGTTAAAAGCAATAGTGTAGAGTCAGGTCTGTACAGACTACCAGCCATTAGAAGTGCAACAAAATAAAGACCATAGTTCCTGCCAATAAAGCCTAAGGAGGTTTATCTTCTTGTTTAATAAAATGGTTGAACACCTAAAGATAGTGAATTTTTATACAAACTGCTTTGAGCCAGCTTTCAAAGAAAAATACTGCTTGCGTTTTTAATAGATGCTGTGTAACCTGTCTCAAATATACAATTTATGAAGAAATAAGCTTCTCAGAGGAATTTAGCCTAAAAATATGGAGTTTTAATGGAGAAATCTTTCCCAAAGCCCCTGACAGTAAAAAACACACCAGAAAGTTCCTTACATACATTAATTTAGGAAGCTAATCACTGGAAAGCAAACCCATACACACAGTGATGATTTGGAAACATAAATTCAGCATACAGTCAATTACATCAAATCATTCCACAAATTGTGCATCTAATATAGCTCCAAATGTTCATTCCTCTCAGTTCAATCATGAACAAGCAATGACCTTTGCACAGTACATATTTATTGTACAGAAAAATCAGCATATTGTGTTTATTGCATTCTGGTACTGGTGTGACAGTGACAAGCCAATCAGTCTGTGTCACTTGGTGTAATTTTGTAGTATCCCAAACTAACCTGTCATGACAGTCTACACTATAATGCTCACCACTTTTACAAAATTATGATAAATCTTGTACAAAGTATGTCTTGTGAGGTATCCTTGGAGAAGTCATAGTCTGCTGAATATGACTGCCCTGTTTAAAATGTGTGCATCAGCACTGTATATGGAGTTATGAGATTTGCCACGTGTTTGTTACTGAAACATGCTGTGAGTCTGGGGAATGCCCACAGACTCGCTCTTTAGAAATAACAAAGGACTGGCATATCATCCCCAGAAACACCTCAAGCTGCAGGTATACAGAAGGTGCAAGCAAGGATTTCCAATTCATATGAAGGACCGAGTGCAGCTCAAATAGGTAATGGATAGAGCTCTACGCAGATACTAAATTTTTTATCTGCATCAAATCTGCAGTCCCCAAATTATCTGCAGATACCCGCAGGGCTTTAGATATAAATTTTGTATCCTCATCCAATCCGTGATTTGCAAAAATGAGCTGCGGATATCCACAGATTTGCACAGCTCTAGCAATGGGGCATCCGGACCCCATGAAACAGCAAGGACTTTATCAGTAAAAAAGGGTCAGGATATAAAAAGGGCCCGGCCAACTCTCTTCTCCTGCACCTCTACAGAAACAAGATTGCTTGAAGGACTTGGAACTGGGAAAAATTAGTCTCAGCCTGGGAAGGGACCCCAGCCTGTGTACTAAGAACTGTGAACTGCCTGCAACATTGCGAGTGGTGAGAAAAGCTGTTTGTTTCAAATTTAGTCTTGGTAAAGTTCAGGAAACAGCTTACGGTTTTTATCTTTAATTTCTTTTTGTAACCAATTCTGATCTTCTATGTCTACATCACTTATAATCACTTAAAATCTATTTGTAGTTAATAAACTTATTTTAATGTTTTATCTAATCCAGTGTGCTTTTGGCAGAAGGGCTTGGGGAATCTACTCAGGTAACAAAGGCTGGAGGCATAATAATTTTCTTTGTTAAAATGATGGACCTTATGCACTTGTATTGCTCAGTAAGTAACTGAGCAGTATAAGGTGGTACATTTCTGGGGTGCAAGGCTGGTACTAGGGATATGCAGGTGTCGCTTGACATGTACTTCAAGAGTGGGCAGAGGTGAAGCTCACACAACAAAGGAGTGCATAGCATACACCACACTGGAGAATTAATGGGGCACAGCTCTCCTATGATCCGGATTGTACCCTGGGGAATGTCAAACTTGTCAGTTAGCTTCATCAGCAAAAGAGGTATTATACAGTAGCTCAGTAATTATATTTCTACTTAGCAGTGTCATTCACACACTTATTGCAATGCAGTTGTATGTTTTAAAAAACCTAAACAAGAGAAAAACTGTAGTTAGATGAGTTCCCTTCCTCTTGCACCTGACCTTTAAAAGATATGCAGCCCTAAATATCTATTGTTTTCAACAGAAGTTGAGTACATTCAGCACCATATAAGACTGGACTAATAAAATGCCTTTTCTTATATCCATATATTAAGGCCCTGACATGCTAAAACAGTCCTCTTCAAGGGAGAAAATATTTCTGTACTGAAAACATACCACTATTCTTGTGATAATTAGACTACCTAGAGAAATAACAGTATTTTAGTAACAACTGCTTCAAAATGTATAACAGAAATAATAGCTCTAAAGTAGGAGAGGTATATGTCATCAACAGCTTCATTATTTTTTTTATTTGTATTATTGTCACACTTAGGGACCTTAGTGACAGGCCAGGACCCCATTCCTGATTGTAAGGGCTTACATTCTAGAGAGACAATATAAACAGCACAAAGCTAGAGGGTCGTGATAAACCTGAATTGGTTCAGCAAATACTTTGCGTAGCCTGATAAGAGTGAATTTATGTACTACGCAGTAGCTTGAAAGGGTTCTACTGCTGAATCAGGCACAGTAGAAAAGTTGTCAGCAGAATGAGGACCTTGAGGAGCAAACGAGAAACTATCCGTTACATATTCTCTGACTAATAATGTTATATATTTTATTAGCAAAACAAACAAGATCACAAACGCTGTAATATAGCAAAGGAGATAGTGCCAATACAAAATGGCCAGCACTCGCATATCCATAGTGAGGAATCCCGGAACTGGTGAGGCGATCAACATATTGTCATCAGGGCAGCACATTCCAACATTTCCTACTGTCATCAGACAGGGTCTTAGCTTTTATGGTGGGTTATGCTAGCGCCAACCACGTCTCATATATATTAACAATGGTTTCAACCTCCTTTCCTTATATGTACCTTCACACCTCTATACTTAGGGTCCCTACCTTCAATAGGTCAATTAGTCACTTATGTTATACTCATTAGCATTTACGTCAATTTGTTGCCATGATACACCTGCGGTTAATTCATGTATGTTTTGGTCAAATTCAGCATCCTTTTAAACTTTCCCTAAAATTACTAAACTATACTTCTGAGGCATCTTACGTCACCTGTTCCCAGCACGTACTACTCTTGTTTATTTTAATACTTATCTTGTGACACAAAGTCAAACTATCAGTTAATTACAATGTACCTAATAACCACCTACATCATTACTGCCATTTTATATCAAATTATCTAGGGCTTGGTTATGCTAAGTTAAATGTCATACAGGCCTCAGGCCTGGAGGTCCTTGTGTTACAGGTACAATACCTGTGCATTACTTCTAAATAGCTCTTACAACATGGCTGGCTAAAGTCCTTTCTGTGTCCACACCACAGTTCTCAACTGACTTTGTAACCAGAGAGCAGCATGGTTTCACTCAACACAATTTGTATCTTCACATGGCATGTTTAACCTAGGTTAGTAACTATGGGAGCCAACATTGTTTTGCCCGTTGCAGGCCTAGGCTGGCACATAGTTGCCTTTTTTGTAACCATTTCAGCACTTTCCTTTGCTGTGCACAGCGCCCTCCAATCATGCTTGTGTAGTCTGTTTGGCCCAGTCTCCTCCTCAGCTCTGAGTGCATAGTGTCCCGTTTCCTGCTAAAGTCACTGACTGCGCATGCTCCAGGCAGTCTCCACTCACTGCGGTACTGGGGAACAGCTGCCCATATTTCCCCAGACAGCCCTGTTACCAACATAGCTTGACAACATGGTGGATGTGGCTGTGCAAACATGACAGGGAAAGCTGCTCTGTGGACACAACCTGCATCTGAGAGAGCTGGTCGGGAAGTGAAAGTTTTGCTGATGAAAATTTTCATCAAAAACCTAAAAACTGAGCCTTCTGGTTTTTGGCAGCCAAAAAAAAGTTCATTTTATGAAGATCTGAAAGTTTCACAAAAAAGAGTTGTTTGTTCAAACCCATTTTTCATTAAAAAAGTAAATGAGACAGTTGACCCACTCTAATTGTAACCAGTTATAGATTTACACTTGTGGTTTTAGCGCATATTAAACCTTGAAACAATGGGATTTTTAAAACCATTGGTATTCAACCAAGAACATTAAGTGCAGAGAGAATGGAACACCTTTCAAGTAGAACAAATTGCTGAAGTGCATTTTTTTTTCTTTAAACAAACCTGGGGTGGGGGATATAGATTTACAGACTCACCTTGCCCTGTTTGAGCCTCAGGCACTCGCTCACGAATAACTCTACATGCATCATACACTGCTGTGGATGGTTCAAATTGCATCGTCTTCACCACATTGCAGTGGCGGACGCAGATCTTCAAGGACAGGGCCACCATGGTGCCAGATCACTTGTAGGAACCCGCTAAAAATACCTGAAAAAGTAGTAATAGAATTTACATTCTCTGCATTTTGTAATTAATGTTTTCACACTTACATCTTTCAATTAATTTAAAAGGAATATTGAAATGAAGTGCATACAAATTAAACATATTCAAGTATCAATTCTGTAGAAACTCTCACTAACATATCACATCTAGGAGATATTCAGAAGAGAGATTTTTGTTGGCATGTTTTAAAGTCACTTTAAGACAAGTATGTACATAATTTTACAGATCTAACATATTGTCTGAGGCATGTCAAATACCACACCAGCTGACAATACCTCTTCCTTGGGCATCCATCCAACAGCACATCCTTTAGTACTGACTGAATAGTGGTTTCATGATTTTAACTGAATTACTTCATTAGTTTTGAACTCTTCAATACTATACATTCATATTAAAAGCCCTACTTTAAGGAACAATGCATGCTTATATCAAAACAAATATTAACATGTTCTCTTCTCAAAGCTACATATGGATTCAAAGTAAAGTTCTTAATTATTTTCACACACTCATAGATTTTAAGGCCAGAAGAGACCACTCGGATCATCTAGTTTGACTTTTTCTATAACATTGGCCATAGGGCTTCCCGTAATTAATTCCTGCTTCAGGTCCAGTAGCTGTGGCTGAACTAAAGCAAATATCTTCTAGAAAAGCATCCAATCTTGATTTTAATATTTCTGGTGATGGAGAATCCACCAGAACCCCTTGTTTAGTTCTTCTACTGGTTGAAGAACTAAACATGCTCACTGTTAAAATTTTTCACCTTATTTATTTTCTTAATTCCTCTAGTTTCAGCTTCCACGTGTGCTGTTTTCACAGTAGCTGGCTCTGGCTTATAAAAATTAACTCTCAAAACCTTATAGCCCTCTTCCCTGGGCTCAATTACTAACAGTTTGTAATAGGCTCCAGCATCTGTATAGTCCCCCGGCCCCCGGGCTAGACAATCTCTAAACTGAGACAGCCTCTGCAGTTCTCCTCTCCCAGAGAGCTGCCTGGGATTTCTGGAGAACTCTACCCTGTACTCCTTCAGCCACAGATTCAGTTAGTTACAGGATTTTCTGCTGTGGCTGGTCATGTGACTGCCACCTAACACCACAGATCCCTAGTTCGGTCAAGTAACTACATTTCCCAGCATACCTGGATTTAGATGAGCCAGACCTCTCAACAGGGCTGACTGGCCTGGTTCTTCTACCCTAAAGGGGTGAACCACCTTAAGAACATAAGAATGGCCACACTGGGTCACACCAAAGGTCCACCTTGCCCAGTATCCTGTCTTCCAACAGTGGCCAATGCCAGGTGCCCCAAAGGGAATGAACAGAATAGGTAATCATCAAGTGGATCCATGCCCTGTTGCCCATTCCCAGCTTCTGGCAAATAGAGGCTAGGGACACCATCCCTGCCCATCTTGGCTAATAGCCATTGATGGACCTATCCATGAATTTATCTAGTTCTTTTTTAAACCCTGTTATAGTTGTGGCCTTCACAAACTCCTCTTGCAAAGAGGAATACAAAACAAAGACAACCTCCTCTTGCAAAGGAAATCTTGAGTAAAAGGCGAAAGATTTATATACTAAACAAAGAGAAAGTTCAAATGAGCATGTATCTTCAGAAAGTTTGACACCCTGCAGTTATCACATCATGAATGCCACCACATTTGGGCCCCACTTTAAGGCTCATTGCTGTAACTCACTTACTTCTCAGATCTGCATCCTTTTATCTAGTTTCAGAAAATGAAGGCTCAGCCCTAAAATTAGGGTCCATGTAAACACAAGAACTGAACTATCTGATTTTTTTAATATAACCTTTCCAGACGGAACACTCTCAGTAAGCTGACCAGGACTGGTGAATCAGCTTTTAAGGAACTTCCAAATGCAGTCCCTGATTTGGAGAACAGTTTTTGTTTGTAAGGGAGGGGGAATATGATGGGGGAAGTTTAACCATCGCTCTTCAATATTAAGAGTCAAAAATACTCAACTGAGAGTGCTTTCTGATAAACATAAGATACTGAAGTTGCAAAAAGTTAGTACTGGTTTTAATACAGAACAATTCCCTTTATAAGTTTCTCTGAAACTTTCAGAAGTACAAACTTCAGCCCAATACTAGATCAGACTAATAAAATCTGAAAAAAATAGATCTAAGAATGAAAGCATGTCCTGTGGCTTCGTGGTCGAAGCATGAAGGGGCATACAAATGTTTAGCATATCTGGCACATAAATACCTTGCAGTACGAGCTACAACAGTACCATGTGAACGCCTGTTCTCACTTTCAGGCTACACTGTAAATAAGAAGTGGGCAGCATTATCTCCCAGAAATGTAAACAAACTTGGTGGTCTTAGCAATTGGCTGAACAGGAAGTAGGACTGAGTGGACTTGTAGGTTCTAAAGTTTTACTTTGTTTTGGTTTTGAGTGCAGTTATGTAAAACAAATTCTAAATTTGTAAGTTGCACTTTCACAATAAAAAGATTGCACGACAGTACTTGCATGAGGTGAATTGAAAAATATTTCTTTTTTTACAGTGCAAATATTTGTAATAAAAATAACAAAGTGAGCTCTGTACACTGTATTCTGTTGTAATTGAAATCAATATATTTGAAAATGTAGAAAATATCCAAAAATATTTAAATAAATGGCATTCTATTATTAACAGTGCGATTAATCACAATTAATTTTTTTAATTGTTGGACAGCCCTAATTCTATACATTTTATAATGAAAAAAATCTACAAATCAAGGCTGAAAGCAAATTCCTAGAAATTAGGAATGAGGGACACCATTTGGTTTTTACTATTCTGAAAAGTTTCTCCACAAAGATTCTCATAGACCGTAAGGGCAGAAGGGACCATTGTGAGATGCAAGAGAAACAGAAAGTTTGAACTGCTTGCCAAAGTTTTGTGCAGGAACAAGCCTTTACACAATTCCTTTTACAAATGCTGTGATACGCAACACCTTTATTTTATGAGACCAAGAGGAAATTTCTATCTGTAGTTTAAAATGGAAAGCCTGTAGCAATGAACATTCTGAGTTCTGATTTCAAGTTAATCACTAGGATCCAGTAGACTTGACAGAGAAAATTAATATCTAAGTGTTATTTAACCTGCTTTAACATTGGTGTATCAGAGTAAAACCACCATTCAGCTTCACTAAATTCCTCCAGAAATATTGCTTGGTATTGTCAATGGGTAAGAGGAAATACTAGAAATGCTTGGTCTGTAACACAGATGTTAACCACCAGCTGTATTAAACAAGGCAACAGAAGTTCCAGCTCAGGGATTTAGTTCAAGATTAATACTCGTTGCTTTTCACTACCTCACGCTCCATGTTTGGGCCATATGACAATTTTCAAACAGACCTTCTATAAGAAAGACAACTCATTACAGCTAATGTATAATCTTTATCCAGACACAACAGTTTTGCATGAAGCTGAGTCTCTGGTGACACCTCTTTCTGTAGTGGAGAATGCTGAATAAATTCCTTAATAAGAGCACACAGAAATCCAACTCAATCTCATGAATTGTTCACTTCGTTACATAGGGGAAAGCTCCTGTTCAAGAAAGAAATGTTAATTTTGATATGGTTAAAGCAACATCAGAATGCAAGAATTATGCCTACTATCGTAAAGTTAGTGTTGAAGGTCTGAGCAAGACACAAAACATACTTCAACAATGTTTAAATATTTCTTTTCCAACTGCAAGCTCTTCAGGGAAGGGCCTCTGTCTGTATAGCACCTAGCACAATGGGGCCCAAACTATATTTGATCCTTTTGAGGGCTACAATTCTACAAATAACCATAGTCATTTGTCATGCTTGGGTAACAAAATGGCAGATGAAACTCAACGTTGATAAATGTAAAATAATGCACATTGGAAAACATAATCCCAACTATACATACAAAATGATGGGGTCTAAATTAGCTGTTACCACTCAAGAAAGAGATCTTGGAGTCATCATTGGTAGTTCTCAGTAAACCGCTTAATATGCAGTGGCAGTCAAAAAAGTTAATAACATTAGCAACCATTAGGAAAGGGATCAATAATAAATCAGAAAATATCATAATCTCACTATAGAAAGCAATAGTACACCCATACCTTGAATATTATGTCCAGTTCTGGTTTATTCTGATTTATTCTGCTGAGCTATTATGCAGCCTCTCACTTATTTCTCCATTTCCTTTCCCCACATTCAGCTTCACTGAAAGCACGTTCATTGTGGGTTGTAACCCACAAAAAAGATATATTAGAACTGGAAAAGGTCCACAGAAGGGCAACAAAAATGATTAGGGGTATGGAACAGCTTCCATATGATGCAAGATTAAAAAGATTCAGCTTGGAATAGAGACAACTAAGAAGAGATATGATAGAGGTCTATAAAATCATGAATGGTGTGGAGAAAGTGAATAAGGAAGTGTTATTTACCCCTTCATACAACGCAAGAATTATGTTAGTAGACAGCAAGTTTAAAACAAACAAAAAGGAAGTACTTCTTCACATAACACAGAGTCAACCTGTGGAACTCATTACTAGATGATGTTGTGAAGGCCAAAAGTACAACTGGGTTCAAAAAAGAAGTAGGTACGTTCATGGAGGATCAGTCCATCAATGGCTGTTAAGGCAAGATGGTCAGAGGTGCAACCGCAGGCTTTCGGTGTCCTTAAGCCTCTGACTGCCAGATGATGGGACTGGATGACAGGGGATGGATAAGTTGATAACTGTCCCGGTTCTTTTCATTCCCTCTGAAGCATCTGGCATTGGCCAGTGTCTGAAGATAGGTTAGAGGGCTAGCTGGACCATCAGTCTGTATAGCCATTTTTATGTCTGTGACTCGCAAATCAGCCAGTAGTGACTTGGAAAATGGAGCTTAAATACCAAGGTGTGTGTATGAAGAACTATCATCCTCTCGCTTCAGAAAGTTACTAACGTGAAGCAAATTAGAAACCTAAATACATCACAGTGGTGTCCAAGCACTGTGCATCAATTAAATGCAGCACTAA